ACTCTTTTTCCAATTCCTCTTCCATCCAAACAAAGCATTATCAAATCATACCGAGAAAACCAGACATGATCAATATTCTCGTGCATACTCGACAGAAAAAATGTTCCTATAATACCATCATCACCTTACGATATCTCAAACAGATTAAAAGTCTTGGACGGAGAAAGCCAAGCCATCTCCGAGAGACATGTAGAGACCTAGTATTACATCTAAACCCCGATGTCAAGCCATCACTTAGAAGCACATCTGCGCCCACTCACCAAATGCGACTGTAGTTTGCACACAGAATGAACCATCGCCTCTTTGTAGTAGTAAAATCTGAGAATCAGACTCGGACGTACCAACTATAAACACATACGTGCGAGAATATAGGTACTATAAACACAGAGACAGGGCCAAAGAGGCAAAATCCATCCTTCGCACAACTGCAAGGAAAAGCTCATGGACTTTGACCTTACCACGAGAGTACTTTCTACTTCCTTTCACCTGGGATTCTATTCTGAAAAGCATGCGAAGAATACGGTTCCTAGAATGACAGGCAACGTTCACAAGATGCTTATGTGGGTGGATTGGATATGTATATATGCAATACCGAACCTTCCCTACACATCGGGATGTAATCTACAGAACACCAAACAGCCGTAACATACCACACACCCAAAACCCACTCAAACATCCGTACTCCCCGGATCCCTACCCATAAAAATACTATAAACCCTCCTCGAAATACTCGGTCCAATCCTCTTATCCGTAACCGCACCTATATAAAATCAGTTTTCACCCTTCCACATCACTCAACCCCTCTCCTCTCTCCTCTCCCCTCTCCCCACTCCACCACCACCAAAAAGAGAAATCAGAACTCACCATTCCTATTAGCAACCTTCCTCAAATCCTCCAACATCCCCGGTCCATGCTGTTCAAACCCCCTAATCAGCGCCGGCACATCCGGGTACTTGCCCGCAATACCATACGCGCAAGAACTCGTAAGGCGCAGAATCTCCTGGAGCATCTTGACGAAGGTGTCTTCGGCGTCGACGCCCGTTTTGACCTGCCCGGATTCCATGCAGAAGGCTGTGTCGAGGGCTTCTTTTTCGGCGCTGGATTGTGTTAGTGAGGGGGCAGGAAGGAAGGTGGAAGGTGGAGGGGAGAAAGAGGAACGGGGAAGGGGAGTTACCGGTAAGGAATCGTAGAAATATGCTGCGTAAACGCCATAATCCACTCCGCAGTCTCGATCCTCGCCGCGGTATGGTGTATCAACGCCTCGTGCACGATCTGCAACTGCAAAAGCGCCTCTTCAATAATCTCCTCATCCACATAATCCGGAATTTTCTTCTTTCTCTGCGTGCCTGTCGGAGGAGCTAGATGACTGTTAACCGCCGCAGCGAACTGTTTATTTTTATTGCCTTTGTTCTTCCGGGACCATGGTAGCATGCCCTCGATGAGATAAATCAGTTTGGCATTTGGATGTTGGGATTTAAGTTGCAGAACGTGGTGGTCGAGGTTGTTTTCCTCGTTTCCTAAAGCCAGCTCGACGAGTACTTTCATTTCCATGACGTATAAGATGTGATTTTCTGGTTTGATCACCAAAGGCACGGGTTCCCAGTGGCCTAATTCTTCATTGTATTGCGAAGTGACTTTCCTCTTCCACTTCACAATGGGCTTCGAACTGTTCCATTCTTTGAAATCAACTTGCAGTGATGAAGCCATCTTTTCGACTTGTGCTTTGATAATTGGATCAATAGCCGAAGCGACCTCAATAATCATCTCTGGAGTTGATACCTTCTTGTCAGTCTTTGCAGTATTGACTTTAGCAAGCTCTTTAGCGAACTCTTTCTGTCGATCAGCTTCTTTTCTAGCCAACCGTTTCCTTTCCTTTTCTTCTTCTTTAGCAGCTTCCTTTAGTTGAGTTGCTTTCGCCTTATCTCGAGCTTTCTCTTCTGCGGATTTCGCTTTTTCCAATGCCTTCTCTTCAGCAGTCTTGGTGTTTACTTTCGCTTTCTCTGCGCCACTTCCAGTTCTGCTTATCGGTTTCACAACTTTCTTGCCCGTTTTCTCGGCTTCTCTTGCATCATTGTATTTCCTTAATGCGGCTGAACTTTGGTAAGTAGTTGATCTTTTCGGTAAGGAAGAAAAGTCGTGCAGCTCCGGAAATCCCTCCTCGTCATCCGTCAGAGAGAGAAATCCATCATCATTGACCGTAGATTTAAAGATCGCAGTTGTTTTGCCCGTAACCGGCTTAGTCTGAGAGACACTCTCTTCATTGTCACTACTTATCTCCCAAAACCTATCCGACCTATCCTTAGCCTTGTCCTTCCTCTTCTTAGTTATATTCTCATATGGATCAGGCGAGCTCGTAAAAACAATCGGATCGAGATCTACGACATTTTTCGTAACTTTTGCCTTATTCGGTTTTGGGACCGGCGGTGGCTTGGTTTTTGAGGGTTCTATATTCGATATCGATCGCTGGTATGGGCGTTCCTTTGGCGGAAGTAGCGCTGGGGACGATGAAACTCGTCTTCTCTTTGGGGCAGGTTCTTGTTGCGCAAATGAATCGTCAAAGTTGACAGTACTATCAAAGTCATCGGAGAGGAGGAAGAAGTCGTTTGCTCCCGAATTTTTTGAAATTGATTCTGCGGGTTTCGATGAAGTGCTGACTTTTGTGACTTTTGTAAATGAAGAGGCAGAGGTGTTTGGTGGTTCGAGCGATCGTTTGGGGAGGCTGTATGTATCGGGTCCCAGTCCATCAGAGGATATTGTAAACCAATCATCCTTCTCTACAGGCTTTGTCGCAGACGACAATGCTCTCGCAGCAGCTGCAGCACCTGCCAGACTTCGTATCGTGTTATTTTGTCCATGCTCTTTGTTTGCAACAGGCTTTGGTGACTGGGGAGGTGGACTGGAAGAAACTAAATCAATTACGTCTCCTGGCATGTCACTATAAGCGCTCCATGAGTGTGTAGCGAGAGGTTTCTGAAAAGCAATTGAGGAGAATTGTGTCAAATGGGAATCAAAACATGTTGTTTTGCCTCTCTAAGTTGTCGTTATCGAGGACGCGACGCGATAACAGTTAGCTCGCGCAATCACGTGCTGGCCTATCCGCAACTTCGTATCCAAATGACTTGACACCCATCCCGACGTTCATAGATAACAAATGTTAAGATCTTGTGAACTTTAAAGATGCACTGAAATTAGTAGTCTATTGATCAATGTGCACTAGCAGATTTGACACTAATAGACTCATGAGCAATTCGCAGGTGACGCTCTAGCGACCTCTCCTCCACGTAAGCTCATAATTTTCGAATTTTCAATCCCTTAGTCGCTAATAACCAATTTTACTACATAGCTATAGCGTAAGCCTCCAAATTGTATAGTGCTTTACAGGTTTTATACTCTCGCTCTTCGCGCATTTCATGCACTATATAAATTGGTTTCCACACTCCTACCTACTTATTCCCTCAGCTACAGTAGTAGTATCACGATATGCACAACCATAGAGTAGACAAGCTAACGGCAATTGATATCCGTTAGAGTCGGTTCGTCCCTCCAAGTCGTTTTAGGTCGTTTACTACGAAAGACCTCCACCTCGGTAGCTCCCACAGTTAATTCACTTAGTCGTGAAGAAGTAATGCCTCTACCTTTCCCTTCTAACCTTAAATATGACCTCGAGATTGGTATTTCCATAGACTGCATATAACAGGAACTCATATGACCCGTGGAACGTAACCTGTTTTGAGCTTTTGATTTATTGAACGTACTCCCTCCGATCTGATAATTGATGCGCGCATACATGGAATACACAGCCACCACCACTCTCCCATCACACTATTCGCAAATCCCCACCTCCCATTAACCTTCTTACCACAAATGCTTCTCTTCACTATCAACTAAATTATCACGGCCTCGTCTCACAATATGTCATTCGGCTTCAGCGTCGGAGACCTAATAGCCACTTCGGAGCTGCTAATCAAAGCCCACAACTCCCTCCGGGACCATTCGTCTCCTTTGGAGCTAGTCCATCGCATCGAAATTATTAGCAGTTCCTACCTCGAAATCGAGCGTATCGGCCTAGATAACTTCACTGAGCCAGAAGTCCAGAACATTGAAGAGATTTCTGGCATGTCGAAAAGCTTGACAATGGATATCCTCCGCCATTTCCCCGAACCCACGGAACAGGAGCGGTGGCAAAACCTGAGACGAAAGGAGAAGGAGAAGGGACTGTATCTTGAGTGGGCGGCATTGGCTGGAACGCTGGCGCAGGCTGTAGCCGCCGTGCTGTTGGAAAACGCGAATAGGTAAAGCTTGAGAGACGGGCAGATGACGGTAGGGAGATTGACGATTGTGCAGGAGGATTGCAGCCCCTTCAGTGAACGCCAACACACATTCCGCTCGTAAAGCGAGTCCTCGCCGCGTAGACACGAGACCCCCACGACCTCGGACATGTATCCTGATAATCAGCATGGTAGTTTGTTTCATAACGCTCAGCTGTTTCTTAGGCATCTATTTTACCGTGAATAAGAGCTACGGGTATAGCATGGGCGATGCGTTTACGCTCGCTGGATTTGTTGTTGCGGTGGGTGCGATGGTGTCTTCGGGAACGATGGCACTTCACTATCCACGATGCGAGTGTTGGGGACGGGGGAAGGAGGGGAGGGTGGAGATGCAACGTCTTATGAGGGAATCTGAATAACAGGGAATGTGTGTAAGTGTGGTGGTGTGATGCTTATGTAAAAAGGTTTGTTGATGAAGGTATGTTGAGACTTTTCTCGACTTTAGTCAAGTGATATAAGTTGAATACTAATGAATTACACTAAAAGAGTATTATAAATTCAGACTACATACTTGCATCCCTTTTAAAGCGTATAGGTTGACTTCAATAAAGAGGACTTTCCAGAGCTCAAACCGGGTTCAAGAAAATACACATCGCAGCATCACAAATTACACTTACTTAAATCTTACATTGCCAAACCGGTGAAGTCCAAAGTAACGCTTCATAATTATCTATTCGCTACCTACCAACTTTCACCCTAATATACATATTTTTCATTCGGGCATCAACCACCTAAACCGTGCCAAGCACCCCTAAAAATATCCCAACACGACAAAAGAAAGTGATTTTTGTATTTCAGTCACACATCTACATCTACAGAGCAGTTGCTTCGTTTCCCTCGCTTGCAGGCTTCGCAACGCCAGTATCAGACTTGGCGATGCTTTCCTCCTTGCTTTCATCAGCCTTAACATCTGGCTTGCTCTCCGTGTCTGCTTTCTTCATGGTGGAAGGGTCTACACCCTCGACGTCTGGGTGGGGAGGAGCGACACCTGCGTCTTCAGGGGAGTTGATCTCGTTTCCAGCGGCGTCAACTAGACGAGTTCTAGTCTCGTAGCGAGTCTTGAAGCTCACTTTTCCTTCTAATTCCTTGACTTGTTCTTCGTTCAAAAGATTTCCGTCTTGATCTCTGTACTCAACCTTTTCCTCGCGCTTGACAATTTGTTGTCCAGCAGGTAGAGGAGCTTCTGGTGGTGGGGAGACAACTGGTTCGGCTGGAGCCTCTGACATGCCGACGTGCTCGACAATTGGCTTCTGTTCACCTGCGTTTGGTGGAGGTGCAACGGCAGCCTCAGATGGCTGAAGAGGCGATGAGGTTTTGTGAACGTTGTCAATCGACTTTGAAATTTGGTTGGAATATTGAGAGTACTAGATATGGTTAATACAAAGATCCTACTGATTGTTTGATGATGCTTACCTCGGTCAGGAAAGTGTTGCAATCAAAGTCCCAAGACTCAAAGAGCTTGACTTTGTTGCAGGCAGACTGAGTCCATGGATTACCGTATGCAAGAGGAGAGTAAAGTCCAAAGACGACAACGCTGAGAGCCAAAAAGATGACTGCGCCAAGACGACCAATGAACAAATTCTCTCGGAGACCGATTCCAGGAATACGAGCAGTAACATAATCGTAGAGCTGGCAAAGGGCGATAACAGCAAAGTAGAGTGCTGGGAAGTAGTGGTGAAGGAACAATTGTCTTTGCATGAGGTAAAATGGGAAGTAGTGGAAAGCCCAGCCCAAGACCATGGTACCAATTTCGTAGTCGAAACGCTTGAAGATCGTGTTGTCATAATCTTTGAAACCACGTTGCCATCTAAGGACTGCAAGACCCTTAAATGCAACAAAGACGAGGATTGCCAAGGTAGAGCTCCACCAGATAATTGGGTTACCAATGAGGTAAATTTGACGGTGGTCTTTACCCCAGAAGTTGATACCACGTTGAAGAATTGGCCAAGAAGGTGGACGAGAGTCCCATGCGTGAGATTCAACAAGACCAGCATTTGTGTGCCACATGACCTTTTGCAACTCCCAGAACTTGCCGAAGAAACCAGGATTTCTGTAGTTGACCTTCTCGGCGTCCTCACCAAGTTGAGGGTGCTCGTTTTGTTCGACATACCAGACACTGTTAGGAAGAGTTCCACCCTTGGCGCAAGTAACTTCTTGTTGCTCAGATGCCCAATCTGGAAGCTTGACTTTGTGGGAGAAGAGTACACAGCCAGTCATGACGTGAACAAGCTTGAACTTTGTCTGAATCGTACGAACGCGTTTCTTGGCTTCCTCGCCATCAGACATACTCTTGATAATTTCAATACGGAAGAAATCATTAGCATCTCCTTCGAATCCTTCGTAACCGTAGGCCGAAACTTCATTTTGCCATTCAGCTTCGGTGACAGGTGGCCGAACATCGTGAGAATGAAGTCGTCGGTGGGTTGGGGTGTGGTACAGCTTGACAGTATCACCGTTCTTGATAAAGTTTACAGGGCTGATGTTGTCCCATGCAAATGATCCATTGATCGCGTTACCAGCGGCATCCAGAGGCTGAGTGGTGTTTTCCAATAGCCACAAGTTGTTCTCGTCTTTGTGTGGGTAGAGAGTGATTTGCTGTTGCTTACTTCCGGTGGGGTACATGAGGTTGTGCGAGTGCAAGTATCCTCCTTGTGTGTTGTGGTGTCTAATGCTGACTCTGCTTCCGAAAGCAACATCAACTGGAACATCTCCCATAGCCTTGGAGTTAAGAGTCGCCTGAAATTCGGAGCTCATGAATCCGTCTCCATCACCTGGGTTCGTAAGGCAGAGGAAATGAATGGCGAACATGGCCATGTAGAATGCGATAGGAATTACGATGAGGCAGAATACTCGTGAAACAAAGTGCTTGGCGAAAAGGCGCTGTAGAAAATTAGCATACATTCTTTGACAGCAACTGGAAAACTTACAGGAGTGACTGTCTTAACATCTCCGAGAAGAACCCACAATTGGAGAAGGGTCAAACTTCCAACCCAGGCAATTGTGAAAAGTCCGACCCATTTGACACTAGCTGTTGCGCCCAGACCCAAACCAGTCATTGCAAGCCAGAACCACCATGTTGGAGAAAAGGCCTTGGAAGGTCCTTGCTCGTGTTGATTCGTAAAGGATGTAAATGCCAATGCAGTGAAAGCTGTCATAATCATAAGGGGAGAATCGAGGAGGATCAATCGTGCTTGCGTGAGAAGGCCGTTTTCTAGTCCAATTAGCAATTGACCAGCAATTTCAGTTGCATGTCATACCAAAAATAATCAAACAAGACCCGAGTGTGGCAGTCATAGTTCTGCATCCAGATGCTTTCAGGGTCAAAAACATGGTTGGGACAAGCAGTATTCCGCAAATAGCGGGCAACAGTCGCATAGCCACATATGGTACACCAGGCTCCAAATAATCTTTTCCAATATCCTTAAAGTCGAAGTTGCCATCGAATCCAGCTAACCAGCCAGCGAGCGTAAGGAGTAGTTTTGCGAGAGGTGGATGAACATCCATGAAGAATTTCCCCTTTATGTATTTTGATGCGAACCCTCCGAAACTGTAAACATTCCTCATTAGCACATATCATCGAATCTGCAATTGCAAATACATACTGGACTTCATCAAACACCACACTGCTTGGCTGATATATCCGGAACAATCGAACGATGGTTGCCAATACCGTAATGGTGAGCATAATCTGGTAATCCGATCCAGGTAGCAGGAAAACATCATGATCCACCACCCCCTCCGACGTATAATCCACAGGCTTCTTCGCGATCCTAGCTGGAGGAGGTTGAGGACTCCTCGATGCCCTCACGGAGCCCGTAGGCGTCTTCGCTGGTTTCGCCATGGTTGCGATCCGTGTAGTTGATCAAGGCTGAGAAACAAAGAGCTTCAACAGCCAGCGCGTCGACTCCTGAAATACAGCCAACCCCGATATAATCGTGGCACAATCAAATGAAAGAAATAAATCAAATTAAAAGTGCAGCATTGGAAGGTCGAAAAAGTGGTGGTCGACTAGAGAGGTGCCGACAAAAAAGGTGTTCGTGTTCAGGAGAAATTTCCCCAGCGCCGCGCATCCCTTACACGAGGGATCAAGCCAGATCGTCTTGCGCTGGGCTGAGCTCAACCCCGTAGTGGTTTTTGGGGGAATTTTACCATTGCTTTTTTCACAAAATCAATATTTTAGAGTCACAACAAGCTGCGTTAGGTCTACGAATTCTTTCATTATAATTATTAGACTTGTAGAGTCATGTAGGAAGAACTACTATGTCATACTGACCTTGCGAAACGCTGATTCTTGGGAACAGACTGAAGAAGTTCTGTCCATATTTAGAAATGCGTGATGCCTATTTGGGATAAGCGCACCCGCACTTCTTCGGCTAGGCTGGAGGCTGAACGACCCAGCAAACAACAACAACCCCCAAACGCAACATAATAAGCGAATTGGGAGACACATCGTCCGTAGTCAGCTTCTCTTGTTAGTATACTCCAATTGTCATAAGTCTGGGTGCCAAAGTTCAAGTAATTATCACACCGAAAAGTATGCTAATCTGCATGAATAGCAAGCAACCTTGGGAATTGCAGATGTATATAATTTAGTCCGCTTTATCTGCTATTTTACATATAAATATAAAAGAACTAGCTATTCATGCTCTTCATCCTAATACTAAGAAGTAAAAAGCCAAATAAAAGTAGACACCACACAGATAAGATAGCAGACATCTCGCATTTTCTTGAACAAAACAGCTGGTGACGCCTCCAATTAGCATGTAGCATAACTGATATTAGGTATCTTAGCACTCCTCACTAACTTGAATTTCATCTGTTCGATGAAACCCTTCACAGATATTCCACCTCGAAGGTAATCCCATTTGAACACCTCTTGAATCGGCAGCAACTAAAACTTTCGGCGACAAACCCTCCCCACAACTGAATCTGTCGTTCAGAGAACTGAAATAGATGATACGCATCACCACAATCCCGAAAATTCATCCATATTTCAATTATTCGGAGCTCTTCCAAAACCCCACCTAGCTTCACCATGCTTCTTGACATCTGTTTGAACTCACGAAACCGTTCCATGCGGCAGCCGCTAATTCCATGCGAGTGAAAGCTTTTTAAAATGGTTTGAATGGAAACTTTCGGCTTAATTCCATTCGACTAAAAGCATTATAAAATGGTTTACATGGAAACTTTGGGCTACGACTGAATATTCTTTCTCCGGGTTTTCTTATAACTACACCTAGGTATTAAGCTGTCTAGTGGTGCAAGATATCACAGGTACGGCAACTGAGGGAAGCTCTAATGAGAGAGATATGAGTATTGCTGAAGTGTAATCTTTGTGGTGATTTGCTCGTCCAGCGGCTTAGGTAAAGTCCTGATCAGGGCGATACTAACAGGACGTGTGCTACACCACCTGGTGACGACTAGTTTCGATAACTAAGCAATCTATCCAGGTTGAGGCACAATAAGGTCAATGGTAGACAGCTCAGAGAAACGTGGTAACCAGTTGCAAATGAAGTGGTTTCATGTCCAATAATAGTAGGAGGGTTGCAGGTTCAAGACTTTGTTTCAACTTTCAATTTCCTGTATGTAATCGCATAGTACAAACAAACAAAAATGCTCCCATTCTATCATATCTACAATTGGGACTTCTCCACGACGCTATAATTGCTCAATTCGGTATCTAGCTCTAGTATCCATCCTTACCCCACTTGTTGTATTTCTCGTGAAGCTCCTACAATATGTTAGCCTCTACATCTTCGAATGACCCCTACGACAACCCCGCGCAAACACCGAATTGTATATAGCGCTTACCTTTGGCAAATTGACTTTTGGTACAATGACTGAGTGAAGAGCACTTGGAGCATCCTTTGGAGGGTTCTTTGGGTTTCCAGCCTATACAATATGTTAACAACCATTCATCTGAAAAGTATCCGCGTTTCGTACTGGGTGGTAGCTGTATTTGAAATCTGCTCTAGCCTCATCCCCATCGGTCGTCTCGCGCTGCCATGGCATAGAGTTTGGTGCCATCGCGACATTGGCCTCGGATGTGGCAGAAGTTGGCTTTCGGCCTGTTAGGAACGTCAATAACGCCCCATCAATCGCGAGTTCGTGGTCGGCATACCAAAGTAGAAACCAGCAAGACCGAATGCACCAGACATAACGCCTAGGAGGACCTAGAAAGTCAATTGGTCAGTAGAGAACAGCGGGCGCGGAGTGGGACTGCGTACATAAAGCTCAGGATCCCTCTTTGCACCTTTGTGCAACTGTCCTGCTCCGGCTGGTCCCTTACTGGCAGCACTGCTAGCGGCCTTGCTAGCGGCACTTGCGACTTTTCCGACAGTTGCAGACATGTTTGTAGTATATGGTTGTATTGTTAATGTGGTGATGTGAGCTCGAATTGACGTCGGGTGGTTCGACGATGAGGTTGCTTCGGCAAGCTAAGGTAATCTGGAAACTGACGATTCTCACGTGACATGTCACGGCTTCAAGGTTGCTTGTCAGCCATTTCTTGGCCCACCTTTCTGTGGCGCGACAGCTGAAATTCGGTTGCTCTGCCGGGCATTTCCCACGTTCACATTAAATTGTCTGACATCAAAAGCTTCATCGTTGACTTTATGGCTCGCTTCTTGCAAATTGCTATGAAGAAACTATCTAGGTATCTAGCTGTTGTGATGTGCGATTCTGTCTTCCAAACTTGCATGAATAGTTCGGAGGTCAACCTCCCGCAGCCATCCAGATCCGCTCTTTCCTTCGTCAGCAACTCCCATCTTGTACCTGCATGGCAATAGAACATCTCAATGATCTCTGGATTTTGTCCCTCTGATTGATTTCTTTTCGTTTGTGTGGCCTCATGCGTCGCCCAATTCGGATTCTGGATCTTCTGAATTAATTTCCAACCCTTGCTAGCAGCCAATCGACAACCATCCTCTCGGGCGCGATTCGATCTTTTCTGAGAGAGGCACAGCGCTTGGACCGGCGTCGCGGTTCATGTCACTGACCCCCTTGGCTCTCGAACTCTTGAGAAGAAATCTATCTTTTGTCCTCCTCACCAAACCGTCAACGCACAATAATTTCACGCAGACCAGATCTGGAATCAACTCTCCTTAACCGCTACCGCGATCTTAATTTCTCTACATATTTGTTCACTTCGTCACGATCCATTACGCCTACTTCTGCGACTTCACGATTGCGCTTTGCGACACTACTATTAATTTCCCAACTCCGCGCTAATACTCCACAAACCAAACTTTGAATCAGCGTTTCCAGATGATATTTGCATAGGGATGAAGGTGGTTATAGACAAGTCAAGTTAACCTATCGTGGCGAACCATCTGCCAGTTCGAAATGGCTTCGAGAGACGCTGCTGGAAATAGACCACATTCGACCGATATGGATAATTCATTTCCCAACCCCGTACCCGACAGCGATCGAGGCGATGGCGAGAGTATATTATCATCTCGGATGACCGACATAGCCTCAGATGATGGGGGTGAACACGGAATGGCACCTGCTAGTCGAGGCGCACGCTTGCCAGGACACCGAGGAGGTGCGGAGACATCAAGACCGAATACTGCTGTGACAGGAGTATCATCGCAGAGAGGAGGTTGGGGCCAGTCCCCCCCGTCTAGAAGAGGATTTGCCGCTGGTAATAATATGCAACGTGGGAGTACGATGGGCAGTGTTGCTGGATCTGCGACGGAATCGACCGGGACTCGACCACAGAGTTCGAGTAGGACTCATGTGCCATCATTGACGTCGCATGCTTTTTTCCGCCCCATGAACGCTCAAAGGTTACAAGCTCAAAGAGGTGTCAGACCTTTCGTACCACAGCCGAGCGACGATGGATCTGTAGATGGAGGGAGCAGTGTTGCAAGGAATAGTGTTACCTCGAATCCAATTGGAAGGATACAGAGCACTGTGGATGAAGATGGTCTACCACCGCCATCACGAGGTACTGAAATGACAGAGCAGGAGACGGCGGAGAGAGTAACAGCAAACACTAGCCCTACTCGTGGACACTACCCGACCGGAAGCTTGTCGGAAAGTGTGAGACCACTCCAACGACCCAGCAACAATAAAGGCTTAAGCCTGAATATTGATAAAAATTATAAGCATGGGCTTGGGGCAAATCTGCCTACTCCTGCTAAATCACCTCGGTCTTTTCGATCTAGCTTTCTCCTACCCAGCCGAGGTGATAGTCAAACTAACCATCCTGATCGCAATACCCAAGGGAGAGAAAAGTTGGCTTCTGTCGCTTCTTCTCCAGGCATGCCACCAGAACCACAAAAGCCCGTTCCCAAACCTGCAAAACTCGGTACAAACTATCAATATTTCACTGGAAACACCGTCTTCTTCTGGGGCGGTCGATTACAAAACTCGCGAGATAAACCAGTCAATATAGCTACTGGCTTGCTCACTATATTACCTGCGGTCCTTTTCTTTACAACTTCTGCACCATGGTTATGGCATAATATTTCACCAGCCATACCTATTGTCTATGCTTACGTGTTTTACATCTGCATATCATCATTCATCCATGCTTCCGTTTCGGACCCTGGAGTAAGTTCCACTCTTTATGTTAATTTGAATTCCGCTGACTCAACAGATTCTACCACGAAACCTTCATCCCATGCCACCTGTTGACGAAAACGAGGATGCACTCGCCATCGGGCCATCATTGAATGACTGGACGATGATCAAATCAGCACAATCAAGTGCAGCTGCCATGGAGGTACCAACAAAATACTGCAAAACCTGCAATATTTGGCGGCCTCCTCGTGGCCATCACTGCCGAGTATGTGACAATTGTATCGAAACTCAGGATCATCACTGCGTGTGGCTCAACAACTGCATCGGAAGACGAAATTACCGTTATTTCTTCGCCTACGTTAGCTACTCTACTTTAATGGGTGCCATTACCATTGCAGCATGCCTGGCGCAAATTCTTGTCTATATGAACAGAAACGACATAAATTTCAAGCAGTCAATCAGCCACTTCCGTGTCCCGTTTGCCACGGTCATCTACGCCGTTATCGTCACCCCTTATCCCGCAGCATTAATGGGCTATCACCTTTTCCTTATGGGCCGTGGCGAAACCACCAGAGAATATCTCAATTCTCATAAATTCCTAAAGAAAGACCGCCACCGTCCTTTCACCCAAGGAAGCGTCCTCAAGAATTGGTTCGTTGTGCTTTGTCGACCAAGGCCTCCTACGTACCTAAACTTCAAGCGAAAATACGAAGAAGGGGATCAAAGATTCGGCGAGAGAAAAGGAAAAAGAACTGCACCTATCAAAAAAGAGTTTCAAGGCGGTGCTGCACTTTCTGCAGCCGACGTCGAGATGCAGAATGTTAATAATGGCAGTCGCGAATTCCAGGGGTCGAACGCACAGTAAATGTCGCTGCGACCCAAACTTAAAAACTAATAATTAATCGAAGCCGGAGGAGGAGGATCTGTAACATATCTTGATCTCGTTATTTGACTGCATTTTTAGCGCTGCTGTTTGAGCCTTTGAATTTTGCAGAGTGGCAGGGGAGCAAAGAAAGGGATCCTTAGATATATCTATGTTTTTTGCGCTTGCTGGATGGGTGAATAGGTGGGGGTTCTTGCGAGGTATACACACTGTACTATGCTGTACATTTTCTTTTCCTTTTAATGTCTATACTAGGGAAAGTCGTCCTTGTGAGGAGAGGATGAGAGATGGGTGATAGGTGTGCGGCCTTGATGGCTTTTTCTTTGTATCATATTCTTAGATGCCTGAATCTGGGCGAGAGGGGGTGGGGGGAGGGGCATTGTATGTATGTATAGTGGGTGAGTGAAATAGAAATACTCGTCAGAGATGTTGAATCTTCGCAGCTTGATGTGAATTTGTGTCTTATTTAAGGATGTCTCATTTACTGATCTCCCTATAAATCTATATATGTAGAATAACATACTGGATACCGAAATAGTCGCCCTGCACTAGTACTCACTTAATGACATGCGTTTAACAACCGTTAAATAAGGTTGTAGTAGTTAGATGACCGCTTAGAGCCGCTCAATATTGATTAACTAATATGTATTGCGAAATTTGAAGATTACTTCAAATCAGTGAATGCCGACTTCCGCCGATATCAGCCAGCTAATTTCATTAAACCTGTTTTCTTTAATATCTCCTCACCAAACCTTCGTGTCTCCCCTTTCAAAGGTATTCAAGTACACGCAAAAGTATCGTCTTCAAGCACAGATATTCCTTACCTCCTTTATCTCTTCTTTTCTTCACATTCTGTAAAGAGATTCTGGCACTCTGAGTGTTTAGAGACTTAAAATAGAAAGGAGTCGGAAGACGTGCTAGGGTGTCCTACAGCTTAAGTTAAAGTTTGTGTGTGGACATAAGCACGTCTGAAATGACAACTGAATTCAGGTGAATCTACTTTGCAATCAAGATATGCCGACCGTGTGATCTCCGGCCGAATAGCTGTTTATAAGGTACTAGAGTGCTCTTTGGTTCTTACAGTATCTTTTTAAAAAAATTCGGAATGTTTCCAGGTAGGTTGGATTATTGTTTACAAAGTCACAAAAATGGAACTTTCTGTCTACCACGTGGTAGTCCTCACAGCTGTTGCTAATTAAAGACTGGTGAACCAAGTTACACAGTCCTCTTTCGATAAGATTATGAGGAGTACAAGCGCAACGCACGTGCTCATGTTTATGTTACATCCTTCGACGCGGAGTCGCGGACGTCTTCACTTTCTAATTTCTACAAACAAAACAGCGATCTATCACAGAAAATCAAACGCTAACGAAAGAAGAGATGGTGAAAACTAGTACGCATATTCGGGCTCAATTACAGAGTTTCATCTACGATATCGCAGTTCCAGACCCAAAGCCATTCAAGGAATATTACCAGCAGTCAACCATCTTATACGGTGGATGTCCAGAAGGCGAACCTCGCGACCATGTGAAGCTCCAGCACATACCAGCGGTCCCAAAATATCAAGAATACGAGGATTTAGCTTTTGTAGAACTGGTGGACCGGGTTCTATTTCAAGTCACTATTCACTATTCTAAACTGCGTCGGTGTACACTCATTGACTGCACTGTCTACGGAGGCGAAATTGAAAAGTCCAATTTGCAAGATTGTCAGGTTCGAATGAAAGGATTTGGCGATGGTACATCAGAGTTCGTCTATAAAGATCAAATGTCGAGGAAGCCGTATATCTTGGACAGTCAAATCAATCACACTGATCTCTTTGACGCCAAAATCTTTAATTCGACTATTGTCAGTAGCGGTTCCATGCGAAATTGCTATATAAAGAACACATTGGCTGCTCGTTCCTTCATGAACGGATGTGTCTTGGAGGAGTGTGGTGTTGACGATTCTGAGCTTCGCAATTGTGAAGTTGTCGGTACCATTCTCACCGCGTCCGTTATCGAGGTCAAAACTCTCATAACATTTCACAAACTGCCTCCCGAAATTCGCCAGATGATTTACTCACTGTTGATCAACATCAATCCCTGGAAGCAAAAGCTAATCTCTGCGCTTCGGGCAGATCCTGTCCTACACAGAGAGGTACTTGAAGCATACTTCAAACAGCATGTTTTTCAACTCTCGGTCAAAAATCACAGGAACTACCGTTCAGTCCCGATGAATATTATGGTCCGGATCTGTAAGATACACTTAGAGTACGTTACGCAACCCATTTTTCACAAGCATAACTGACATGATAAAACAGTGCCAGGGAATTCTTTCCAACAAGCGACGTTTCTACAAATTTCCCCGCTGGCACCAAGATAAACAGCATCTGTATTGAGTTTTCCAATGGTTGGGCAGACTGTATTATGTTCTACGATATTACCAAACTCTGGTTGTCACACTTTAGCACTGTCACCAAGCTCAAGGTCGTGTGGAAGTTGTGTGAAGCTGGGGTGAATTATTCTCCAACGTGCCCACCACGGTCACTCCAAGGCGCAATCAAGGTTGCAAATAAATGACTCAAGACGGAAGCGGTTTTTTATGAAGAGTCCAACGTTAAGCTGCAGCCTACTATCCCGCGTATGTCGGATAACCGCATAACTTATGCCTATACGTGGACTTGGACTGCTGGGAAGGGTAGCGTTCTAAAATGGAACGCATAAGATCCTATTCACATTGTCGCTCTGCACGCTAGGGTGTTGACCAAGGCTTACCTTGATTGCAAATTTGTTCGGCAAGTTCATTTGTCATCGAGAGAGTTTGGAACTTGTTCTCGCACCTAGAGAATCTAGAAAGTCGATTGAGTAGAAAAGCTTAAGTTCCGCTTAAACAATAGGCGATGTCGCGATGGAAAATGCCCATGGTTTCTGTAATACGATACATAAAAAGTGTAGCAAAAGCTAGCTAGAAAGCAATTCCAGTTCCCAAGCGAAAAGTGTCTCATCAGCAGTATCTTTTAGTTCTTCATTGCCAGTTTATATGTCTAACTTGAGTAGCAAGTGAGTGCATTTTGTCCTCTATTTGGATGGACGTGTGGTAAGTGGGGCTCGCTTATGGTGACAAAAAGGGGGGATGTCGAAATTCCCGGGAAGGAAAGCTTGTGGATTACCGAATGGGAAAGGTCTATTGATTTTGTTGAAATGTGAGATAATAAGGTACAATTTGTCAATCTAGCTAAAGATCGTCTAGAAGTTTCTGACAATTTCATTACTTCTCCTAAACCGAGCAGTGAGCCGAAACCAGTTTACTTATCGACTTTGCGATTAGGAGCTGCTTTATCAACTAAAAGGCTTCATTTCCAGACAATATCACGAATCGGATATCGTTGTTTTTAGTTTATGCCACTGTATTGACTTGAAAATATCCCTATGAAATCTTTGAAGCAACTTCAAATATATCAGACTCCTTGATTAATGCTTCCCAACTCTATGCAACCCTTCCTCCTCCTCTTCACAACCCTTACTAATCGTCTCCCCATTTAGTAAAATCTTGACAGTCTCGCCATTACCATGTGCTTCTTCCAACGCTTCACTTTCGACCTCCCTCCTTGGCTTGAAACCATCCATCTCATCTCCATACTCCAGCGAATTGAGACCAGGCTCGTGCTTATGTCTAGGCGTTAGAATGGCATAATACCCACCTTGACTGCTGCGTGATCCATGTAGATGTTGTTTACTGGAGATCCAGTTTCGGAGACGGCGGTAGAGGTGATGTAGGTGCATAATGAGCTTTTGCGGATGCTGCGTTGACGGATCTTGGGTTACTCTTCATGGATTCAAGCACAAAGAGAGGTTGGGAGCTGGTGGGGAGTTGGTTATTACAACATTCTACAACTTTTGGAGAGGTATGATTGTAATGGTGGATAAAGGAGAAGTAAAGGCAATTGAGTAGCTAATACATTTTGTGTGTTATAAGTGTTGCATGCTAGGAGGTACATCACTTCATGACCAGTCCATCACAAGACAATCCCATCCTTCATCTTCACCTTCATTATGCAAACACTATATTTGCCGTACTACTCTTATCTCATTGTATCTTCAATCTGCAACTACCCCCCACCCCACACCCCAAAAAGTCAAAAACTCCTCATCAAACCAACACAAACCCAACAAACACCACAGCAGTCACAAAGCTAAAACCCCTGCTCAAACAGACACCTACGTTCTTATGAGACTGCGCACCAGCGACTATTGCGGGGAAGAGAGCTACGACGGCTCGTCTAGTCTCGTTAGTGAGATTGGAATTGATTTCTGGAATGGCAGGTGATGATGAGGAGGTTAGATGAGATGTTATTGTGATGGCTCCAAGGAGGGCGAGTGCGATGAGGCGTGGAATTCTCATGCTGGGGGATATGCGTGATCTGGTTTAAAATGAGCGTGAAGTATGTGAGGAATTTGTGATGGTGATTCAAGTCAGCACTGTTGTCCGTAAAACTATTTTCGCGTGCGGCATTTTAGACAGGAGACTTCAAAGTACGAGAAATTTTATGTCCAGACAAAGGCCCGAATTGTGGGGTGTTAATACCTATATAAGGACCGCGGCTAAGAGTCGCGCGGTAAACAGTTCTTTGTCGACGAGGTTGAAAATGCATAGTTCCAACTACTAACGCTTTGAGGTGTTGGAAAGCGCTTCGTGAGGTCGAATCAAAGTGGCGTACAGAAGGTAATACGAAACATGGAATAAGATGATAGTACCAGTGATCATAAATGAAACAGTGTATGAAAGTCCTAGAGCCTGTGTATTGGAAGTTGTCTAGGTTGTCGAAAGGCTTTGTTTGCAAAGTGCACAAAGCTCTCTCTTGTACTAGATTTCAACTACTTCGGTTGAAATGATGCACCCTATGCGTTGATAGGAGTGTTTAGCAACACAGAGCAGTTGCAGAACCATGAGACCCTAGATAGTTCACCGTAGCCATGAGTGTTTCAGTAGCATGGCTTTTGAGAAAAGTTTCATTTTTGGGTAGATATTGACCCAACTCAAGCCCGCAGAATCAACAATTCCAACCCCCATCAACAGAATAACAAGCCCCAGTAATAAAACTCGCGTTCCCACTCAACAGAAACACAACGAGATTAGCCACCTCCTCAGGCTGTCCCTTTCTCAAAATAACCGCGCCTCCAAACCCGATACTGCCAGACGTGTTTGTCGACTGATCTAGCATGGGCGTGTCTGTAACTCCACTAATCGCAGTCAGTTTTGAGTTTTTGATGGAGCATCAAGGGAATTGCTTACGGAGCCACACAGTTCACTCGTACATTTCTGGCGCCGACTTCCTTTGCGGCACTTCGAGTCAGGCCGATGACGGCGTGTTTACTTGCTGAGTACGCACTACATCCCTTTGAACCCATTACGCCGAGGATGCTAGCTGCGTTGATAATTGAGCCACCATCTGAGATGGAATTGATTTGAGCTCTCATGCAGTTCCTGATTCCTGGAGTAGGTCAGTGGGTCTATTTTTTCAGAACTGCAGTGTGGAGTGTGGACCTTTCACATTAACATCGAAGATAAAATCCCATTCATCATCGTCGTGGTCTGCGAGCTGGTGGAACATTTAGCTTACCATACCACAAACATGGTCTCGAAAACATACCATCATCTTCCCATGATTCTTCCCAATAACTCCGGCAAGGTTCGCAGCACCATCCAGTCCTCCAAATTTGTCTACAGTTTCCTTTATCCAAGTTTCCACGGCGTCTCTCTTTCTCACATCTGTGGCTTTAACAAACACCTCGCCGCCAGACTCTCTAATCTCCTTGGCGACAACCTCGAGAGCGTCAGCGGAAAGATCCGCAATCGACACTTTGGCACCCAGAGATGCTAGTATCTTTGCAGTTGCTCTTCCAATTCCAGATGCGCCTCCGGTTACAGCTATTACCTTGCCGGCCAGACTTTGCTCAGAAGGTGGTAGCTGCATGTTGGAAGAGATATGGGGAAAATAGTTGATGAATTTGAAGAATTCTGAAGACTGATTAGATTATGAATGTTTGTGGGAAGGATTGACTTACAATAATAGTATAGTGATGTAATTATATCTATGAGTGTAGCCCGAATATGGGCTCGGTTGCTACAGTAGTGGTTTTCGAGGTTCGGAAAAGGATTGCCGCCACACAAGTGTTCGACCCCGCACTGCCCTGATACATGTATTAAATTTCCAGAAGATCGTAATAAAAAGACTTGAGTGTCGAGATAATTGTTTCCTAGGATTTTGCTATGAAAGCAACACAGTATGGCGATACTGTAGTATCTATCATCTGAAATAGTATGCCAGAAAGTACGCCTGACCTGAGGGTCACCAAAACCAATCGCCATGCCTGTTTTAAAGCCTGACCAAGCATACAGAGTTATCTCTGAAGTTAAATCCCATCTTAGGCTGTAATTCTCCATCTGATGGCGTGGTTGAACGATGATGCGTAAGGGTTCCACGGCCACCCTTAAATTTGACTTCCAACACAGATGACCAGCCGCATCACAGCATATATCTAAGCGACAACCTGCAAGAGAAGCGATCCCACTAAGGGATTGCTTAATGTCTAAAACGTATGTTAGTTCTGCATGCGAGATTGTGACGAGATTGACGCTGAAATGGGGTTCTCGTTAGGGCATTTCGTTCGAGTTGCCGGCAAAATCCTCATGTCTAAAGACATGTTTCCCACAACAACTCTGATAGACATGTCCAATCCACTTGCTTTCGTCCATCGACTAGCAATGCAATAAACCCCAGGTCTTCTGAAGAACCTGAGTATTTTAGCATCAACACGCGGCACAACCCTCAAAAGACTTACTCATTTCATCAATCCTCATATTCCCAGCCCCCCCATACTTCTTTACCTCAGCATCACACAAAACTTCTTGACGCCGGAACCTCTTCAAAGTTCGATTTCCAAAAGACTGTCCAACAATTCAGTCCCTCTTCTCATCAATCTCACCCCGGAGAACGAGCGGATCAATCATATTCGACACAAAAAACACACAAGCCAGCATGACAAGCAACCAGATGACCTGGATCCTCTCACTAGACGGCGCCTCTGAAGTAGCTCTGGCGCTGAGCGACGAGGTTGAGATGTCCATCGTGATGTCTTGGTGGATGTTAGAAGTGCGGTGAGGGAGGGGGGATGTCTTACCGAAACACTATATTCCAAATAGGTATTCGTCAAGGTGTATCATCCAGAAATGAACCGAAACCCCAGAAATTTCCCACCAAAAACAAAAAAATCGTTCCAAAAAAAAGGGTTGTTCTCTTCCAGGCTCTTTCTTCCCCTCTTAAATTCACAAGTCTTGGCTTACAGTCATCATCCCCGTACACTCAAATCATTCCCTAGCGGCAAAGCGGCAGGTGAGCACGGGGTCAGATGGTACACGCCGAGCTTCGACAGATGACAACTCGATGTGGAAAGTTCACAATGATGTTGTGGAGAAACTAGTTGTCAGCTTCTTACATTTTCCCGATCCTCTGTGATAGGTTCAAGCGTTTATGTTTGGGTGCAGATGGTGGGAAGGGTTAGTCAGCATTTTGACTTTCAGCATCCAATCTCATTGAGTGGGAAATCGTTAAAGTTTGGTACTTTTCCATAGACTAGACGCATGAATTCTGCGAGAATTATTATATCTATAAAAGTTAATTAGTCTAGACTTATTTACATTCCTACTACTTATTAGGATAGCCGTTTTATACACTTATGTAAAATTTCCCTCTCTATATCGATTTCTCTATTCTATAAATACTATAAGTATAAGTAAATTCTAATTTTATAGAAACTAGAGATACTAAAAGAAAACTAGTTTTATCGTACCACCACCCAAAAATTACAACTACATTCTCCCCTCTACCTAATTCCCACCAACCCAACCCCCCCCCCAAAAAAACCCCCAAGCCCTTGAAACCCTCCAAAAATGAACACGATGGGATTCGAACCCATGCGGATCTCTCCAGTAGAAAATACGCGCAGATGTTTTTCATCTACCAAGCAAGAGCTTGAGTCTACCGCCATAACCACTCGGCCACATGTCCTATCCTGATTGGTTGAGGAAAATTGGGTTATTGGTGTTTATTAAACAAGAATGAAAATAAAAAGTTGTTCTTTAATGTGAGGCAAGTAAAGATGTTATTTGTGAATAGTGGAGTGGGGCAGTGGGGGTCGCTTGGTTTTTGATGCGTCCGGGAATTAATAACAATAATCTTCACTTACAACCCTCGTAAGAGAAAGCTTTTAAGAACAGGGAGAGATGTATTTATTTGTTAAGATAAGGTTTCGTTTCCTCACAACTTTTGTTTTACATCATGAAGAGACGAATACCTGGGTAGAAGACCATGGCTTGAAATTTCAAAGACGATCGGCAGCTCCGACCAATTATCACGATAAAACATATCACAGCACTTCACATTTGCCACAGAAACACGAGTTTGATTGTCAATGAATATATTCCCTTCATTCTACTTCACCATATCCCTCAACTGCTTGCCAATCCACCACCAATCAACACATACCCACCAAACAAACCCACATCAACCCCCTGAAGTGTATACAAGAAAAGTCTCTCCCCATTCCACCCACTGTAACCCAAAAAGAACGGACGGCATAACCAACGCCATTACATTAAGAACCCTGGTAGAACTGAGGCAGAGAAAGAAAAAGGTACCCCACACACGCAGACACAAAAAATGCAACCCCAAAAGACCAAACGATGTATGCATTTTTAATCCAACTAAACTATCCCAAGAACAACAGAAAGGAACTCGCTTACAAAGCCATCATGGCGACCAAAACAACAACACCAGCAAAGAGGCTACCCTTGAGTGCCTTTTCCTGAGATCCAAGTTTATCCGCTCCACTGGCTGTAGTGCTTGATCCTGATGCACCACCACCTTGGTTGAATTGTCCGTTGCTCTGGGCTGTAGGAGTTGATGCTGCAGCGTCGGCGGTTGAAGAGGCAGCATTGTTGGCGGCTGGAGCTGCAGAGGTTCCGGGTTGGGTATCTCCAGCGTGATCATCTGATCCAGTTCCTGATCCGGTCAAACCAGGAACTTGAGCGACAGCGGTTGGTGTAGCAGCGGCGGATCCAGATGCTGATTTGGATGACGCTGGATCACCTGCATCCATGTTCTCTCCTGTACCAAGGAGAGATTTGAGAACAGTTGGAGAATCTCCATCCACAACAGTGTCATTTGTTCCGGCAGCATTGTTGTAGGTGTAGGAGGTACCACTGTTTGTTCCTGGTGCAGTCTTGGCATCGTAACATTTGACAGATACCGACTGGAACATTGAGTAGTAATAACCATTAGACTTGATATCAGCTCCATTCCAATCAATTTGTCCACCAGCCCAATCAACGGTACCCTTGGCGTTGGAAGCAAGTCCACCAGGCCAGAGTGAAAGTTGAACACGAGCTGGCGTTTGTGGATACATCCATTGGTTGGTGGTAGCGTTCCAGGTATCTTTTTTCTCCAAGGTACGTCCTTCCTGTCCATCAACTAACCAAGTAATCTTATCTGGAGTCCAGTTGATTTCGTAGGTGTGGTAGTTGTTGAATGTATCAGAGAGGGTGATGTTTTGGGAGTTTCCGTCTGCGGAGCATTAGCAATGTAAATTATCAGAGCGTGTTTTACCTACAATTCGTAATTCCCTGGAAGTAATAATTGGTCTGAGCAGTCTTCAAATCAACACCAACAAACTCGTAATCAATTTCGTCCTTGACATCAGAAAGCAAGATGAACGCAGTAACGACACCAGCTCCTCTACTTGTCTTGAATGTAGCCTTGACATTTCCATACCACATGTAAGTCGAACTTGCAAGCAGGGTACCAACAGTATCAGGCGCCATAGTCAAAAGAACATTCTTGTTATAGATGACTGGGGCTCCAGAACTGACCCAATCCGCCTTTGATGCATCTCCGAGGTATTTCGTATTAGGAATGATTCGGTCGAGGGAAGTGAAATCGTAATTCTGGCTTCGGCATACAGGTGCTGGGACACACGAAGAGAGCTTGTGAGATGACAGAGGATCGCAACCTCCCAGGCAATATGCTCCAGTTCCACAGGCTCCGTATTCTAACCCAAGTCAGCACAGTACCAAGATCAGCAACACAGGAATACCCACGAGAACAGCATGGCGCGCTTTCCGGGCAGTGTGAACTGAGACTACATTTAATCTCCGCCGTCGTCTGAGCAAGGGCCGTCGAAGCCGTGGCCAAAGCCGTGAAAATTAAAGATGATCGGACCATTATGAAGGATGTATGATGCGAGTGAAAGATGTATTAACGTGTAACCGCCAACTGGAACGTGCAGCGAGTAAACGCGATGTTCGGTCGTCGAGATGGGTGCTTGCAGATGAGCTTAAAAAGTTTGCGATGCGCGATCGAGGGACGTGGATGCTGTGCGATGAATGTCTGGGTACGCTTCCAAACGTTCCTTCCTGATTCGGTATTTCACGCGTCGGTTTGATGGGTGAATGGTTCGCAAGTGTGACGATAAACGATTGTCGATAACCCAGATTCGATTCGATTCGCAAATTACCTGATTCTCCAAAAAGGGGGCAGCTCGCTCGTATTAAAAAAAGATTATTCAGTAGATTTCCGGTAGCGAAAGTGGTTGACAAGATGAGTCGAGCGAGAGATATTAACGATGGACCGGTTCGTCGAGCTGTTTGTCGAGTAGTAAGGAGGATCGTGGGATTGGGCGTGAGGGGAAAGAAGAGAGGAAGAGGTCAGAGAAGGACTTGGAAAATGGAGAGAAACGCATGCATTGAGGCGAATAAACAGGGGTTGATGCTATTTTGCAGGGCAGAGGCTAAATTCTTGGCGGATCAGCGGCCGTATTAGTGCTAGCTGCATACCAGGCGACCCATATATAGGCGAGTTTATCCAATGAGAGGGCAATCTGCATCGAGTCTTTCCTGTTGTGGCCAATGAGCGGTGCGACCAAGAAGTTCCTATTATTATCCCACTAGAAGATACGAAGAACATAACATAGCTCGAGGTACCCTTCGTACGTCGGAACATATTTCTAGCTGCATTCTTCTGTCCTTCTATGCAGAAGCCGATTTACTTGTAAACATAACAAAAAACATCCTATCACCTAAATTCTCCCTAAATTCCTCATCTCGCATTGCTCCCCACAACACCACATCCAATGTCCCGCGGATCCACCCTCCTCGTATTCCCAACTCCCTCCATCGTAAAAACACCTGCATCATTCCTCGAATTCACACATCACCAACTCCCAAAACCCTATCCATCAAAAATCACAAATTCAAATTCCTTATTTCAAAGGGCAAACCCCATGTTTCCATCCTCGTTCCACCCTCCTCTCCCACAGGATCAACAAGGCTGAAAAAATCCCATGAAACAAACCTTAACTCCACGTTCCCGTTTCCACCTCCCCCTTGCTACAATATCAATAAAACCTAATCATATCTTCAGAAAACAAACTCTTCTCAGGTTTGAAACCTCAGCCCTATCCTATTGCCCTCTCAAACTTCACTCTTTACCAGTTGTAAGTACACTCGAGGAGACGGCAGAAAAGGGAATGGTTTACAACCTCTGATTCAAGGTATGACGGGTGAAGATGAAGGGATTAGTGGACGGAAAGCTACTGGGACAGCGCGCGGGTAGTCATTTTGATTCTCAAGACGACATGCTATGGTGGTTCTGCTTGACGTTTCGCAAACGATGCTTGAAGCTTTCGAGTCCATGCGAACCACTAAGACGCTGCACTCTTCGCACATATCGAATGTATTCCCTGCCTGCTGCGATTCTGCCAATATAGGATTCAGTATCGTCGATCTAGCATCCCAGCTGAGTGCGTCCCAAAGAGATGGAGTCACCCGAGGAACTTGGCAGAACTGCATACCAGACCAAGCCAAACAACAGTAATTATTTTGATAAAATCACAAACAACTCTCTTCGTCCAGACAATTGGGTATCCGTTGCTCTACCAATTCAATTCCCCGCACAAAACATCCAGCGTAGAAATAACAGAATTATCCTCCCACCAACCCAACCCTATGCGACCCTCTTCAAATCCAGAAGAGGAATTACGCAGATGCACAATCCACAATCGAAGATGCAGTTGTCGCAGAGACAACATCCACCATGACATGCTGGATCAGACATTGAAAACCAAAAAAAAAAGCACCGAACCGCGTCAAGTGTCCGGCACATTCGCAATCCCATGCGCGCCGTTCCAACTAAAAAAGCGCCAATGATGTCCCAGAATAATGGAATGGCGGTAAACCACGCGTTGCAAATTTCCTTGCGCCATCTCCGTATCATTGATGCCCCCGAGATCGAACTAAGAATCCATGATGGGAAAGAAGTAAACAGGTAATGGGGTGAAGACTCAAATATGGTCTCGTGAAGAATATTTCGATTCGTTACAAACACGTTGTGGGTTCGTAGGTATAGACCGTCGTGTTGCCCAAAAGTGTCTTAGGACTTTCCGAAATGTTCTTTCGCATATTGTTCGCATGCCTGGAAGCCAAGATTAGCTTTGTTGAGGTTGTGCTCAAAGTGGATATAACAGACCTTAGCTGGCTTGCCAACTTTTGCACCAATCACCTTCCATTTATTGGTTTCGTATTCTTTGATGGCATTGAGGAGAGCCTGACTCTATCTGAGTCTCAGCAATTGAGAATGATGTCGAACTGTTAGACTTACCTCGTCTTCTGCAAATTCCGCATAATGCATATCCTGTCATGTCTTAGTCGCTGATGATAATGCATAATTACCACCCGCTATAACTCACCTTGTACCAATGCTTTTTCACACTGCCTTCAGTTCTTGCTGGAAAAGTCTGTCGCATTCTAGCTTAGTTGTTGGACTTGCAAAGAATTTCAAGTCCACAAACTCCATCTCTCACCTTTGCAATTTCTGCCCAACTGTTGCCCGCATCTCTCATCGTCTTCAACCTCTGCTCTTCGGCAGGAGTCCAAGGAGTATTTGTGCGGCTTTTCTTCGCCGGTGGAGCCATCGACCCCATGTTTGCTTCCTCTGCACTCGCCGTAGGAGGCGCAGGATTTGATGGACCAGACATGGCTGATGGAGATGATGCCGGACCGGGAGCACGTCTTTTGTTGTTTCGGGGATTGCCTGGAGCTGTAGTCTCTGGTTTGATGGAACTGTCAATGGTAGAGGTAGATGGTGAACCAGAGTTGAGTCCAATGTCTGCTCGTTCGCCACCACGTTTAGACATCGAGAGGCAAGACGGGAAGGAAGAGTGTTGAGTCCGTTACCGATAAATATGTAAAGCTGGAGTGGAAAGTCTAGGTTCTTGCGCACAGGTTTGGAGGAAGCTGCAGGTCGCGTGTTTGGGGATTGGTTACAGAGGGTCGCGTTGAGGCTAGGGTGCAGGTACAAAGTACATTCGCCTCTTTCAGATGGGATCGGTTCTCGATAGCGGTCTGGACATGCTTCTCCTGCCAATCTCAAGCAAAGTATTGCGATGCTTGGGTCGGTACCGATGTGGTAAATCGGGCAAATGTAGCCTGTGATATTGCGGGGGGAAAGAGCGGCAATCGAGGAGATGTACTCAACCATACATATGTACGAAACATAAATTCTAGGAGGAAAATGAGGACAGAGGATGAATAACGTTGTGATCTGATGACTGAAAAGCCACTTTCGGATATTTTAAGCATGGTAGGGAAGATACTTTCTAGATACATGCGGGCGACAACTAGCAGATGTCATCGAGAAAAGAATTGACCCGGAAGGACACCCGGGAAAGAGTGACAGTGCGATCGGTACTTGACAGGGCTGGCTCGAGGGGACCTGTACGCTAAGGGGACTTAACAGGGTGAGGGGTACGGATTTGTTGGCTGGGTGGGCTGGATTTGCTGGTTCCTAAGAAGATCACCACACCCGAGCATGCGTCAAGTCTCCAAAGCGGTTGAGTGTTTGTGTGACCGCTAAGAGCCAGCAGCGCAACATAACGGCACACAGCCAACAACCACGACCCGGAGATGGTACTAGAACAAGAATTGCAAGTGGCCAGCTCAATGTCTTTCCAACCGTGAACTATGCAAGGTTGATTTCCCCAATGTTGGGAGACAACGAGGAAAGAAATGCTACGCAGACTTGCAGGCAAACGGAATGAAGTGAAGCGAAGAAGAAAGACCCAAGCCCCAAAAGAGAGGGAAAACACCAACGCAACCAGCGTACTATGGGACGCTTTAGGAACTAAGGGACTTAGGGACCTTTGTGCATGGCCAACAGCCATAACAGCACCGACAGGGCAGGCTTACAAGCAACAGACAGGCTGGAATGCAGCCCAGGGACTGCTCTGGGGAAGCCCGCAGATTGATGTGAACAACAAATGTAGCATCGGACGGGGGAGACAATAGCGGTATGGTACAGATGTAGGACTCTTCTCATAACAAACTGCAATGGGAAGGCCAGCGTCGGTCTACATCGAGAGACTTGCAGATGTCTGTGGTCTTGGCTCTGTATGCAACACGGCGTGTGGACAACGACGGGACGGCCTGTCAGCACACGCAGAAGGCTTGCCCGGGGAAGAGGGAGGGGTCTGATATTGGCTTTGGAGCCATCCCAAGAGCCTGAACAGAACACGCCCCGGTGACGCACCCAGCAGACCGTCGCCTGCAGTTGGATAATAAAGGCCGGCGAGCTGGTGCCAGTCATCACTGTTGGGACATGTCGCCATTGCTCCTGTCCAATATCGATCCGCAAGCGCGGCAGTCGGTACTTGTGCTTGGAGCAGCAGATGGAGTAGTATTCGGGGACTGGGTGAGGTGACGGGAATGAGGCAATGATTGCCCAAGTTGCTGGAGTATTAGATGAAGAAGGCCTAGATGCTGTGAGTCACACTCTGCTTTCAATATCCTAGTCGAACCTGGGTGGTGATGAATTCTTTGGCAGAAAAGCTGTATGATGTATTTACTGATGATGGTCGTACATTCAAACCAGGGAGGGAAGATACCCAGGAGGGATCGATAGATGAGCTTTGCTTTGTCCGGGTTCAGCTAGACACGCGGGGTAGTGAAGGGCACGTCAAGGGAAGCTAACCAGTAGTCGAGCTAGGTCTAGCTCCCCCCTGACTAAGTGGCTGGCTTGGTCCCCTCTGCGACCTGCCCTCTTTGCTCTTTAGAAACATCTCCGAGAGTCTCAACGTCGTCTCTTGGATTCCATCAATTGCATCCATCGAAAGCGCATTGCACTAAGTGTATTGTTGTCGCGATACCATCGTCCACCTCTTACCATTCCATGTGTTCGTTTCTCCTCTTCCGGGAGCGAAATTGCGCTCGATACATACAGACAGCTCTCCAACAACCACCGGCAACTTCCTGATCCTTCCAACCCCATGCATCGCAAACAAGTCGACATCCCAGCTTTTGTGTGTAACGGGTACATCGCGCTTTATTTCTTTTGCCGCCGAACCGTACATGGCATGACCCGTCTCCATTCCTCTGGCGCCGACCCTTTTCAATACACGGTGTAAATACCCTGGCGCGAAATCAGCGATACTTTAAAATGCCTCTCAAAAGGGGGTTGGCGTAAACATTTCAATCGACTGCATCTGTCTCGACGCGGCGAGTGCGTATGTACCGAACGTTGGTCATGCAAGGAGCAAGCACTGAGCAGACCGCCACATGCCAACCTCTTGTATTTGAAGGAAGCTTTATGTAAGGTTATGGCAAGGTACTTCCAGCTACTGCATTGGAGAGTAGCATCACCGGGAATCGCAATAATCCGCTGGGGATCTTCTCCGCGATTGGGAGTTACTTTATCGTCGATACTACCCTTCTTTGATGAGGTCAAGCAGGCAACCTTTGCTAAAATGTTCTAGAACATCTCGACAAGTCACTGGACTTTGTTTCTCTGGACGCATCAATTGGGTACTCGAGGGAAAACAAGACCTCACTGTCTTACTGCTCGCCAGTGTTGGTCCCCATGACCTCTACCAGTCTTTACACGTTTTACCCTATATTCAAAATACTGGTCTATATTACAGCAGAAAGGTTCATCGAAGTTGGCAAATGTTTCACAAATTGTTTGTATTCACTCATCAGTCTATATGATTTCTGTACGCTAGCGGCCCACATGGTTCTGTTTCTTTCGTCTACCAAGTCTGCGCCTTTTGCGGCTCGGTATCAGCAAACGCACTCTATACAGTGTGAAAAGCCAGGCCGGGCCGTTCAGCCCCCGTCGTTACCCGGATTCGGTTCTCCATTCTGTTGGGAAGTACCGACCATCTCACTTCGAAGTAGATCCCCCCTTCACAGTGCCATGTCAGCCACAGGAGTCCTATTTAACTTAGGTTTATCGGTCAGCCTCCGTGAAATTCCTTGGGAGGTGTTCTACGTAAGAATGGTCAGAGTAGTATTATCGCAACTCAAATCCATCCGGTCTGGAGCAATGATGCCCTTGCAATTCGTGTACATTTATCACACCCATATACGGTATTTGTGCTTCGACTTTGAGGTGCCTGTATTATGAACTTGCGGTTTGTTTCTTTGTCTGTCCATTCAGGCTCCCTTCGTCAATCTGACGCCGGAACCGTCTTCACTTTCGGTGTTGGTATGTTATCGTGCTACCCATCCGACCAGAATGATTCGTCTGAGGGCGGGCACTTGCAACTCACCGCGGGACTGATTATTTCGATTCCCTGTGCACACTGGCAGGGGAATCCTGCGGTATTTTCTTCCTTTGGCCCTCCAAGTTTCTAAGATCAGTCTAACAGCGACACTTTTAGGTGACTTCAACACCTTAACACACTCGCTCGCACGATACTCTCCGAAGCGATTCAGAAACAGCTATGCTTCCTCCAAACTGCTTTGGCCATCACGAGTTGATTTCTGGAGCAACTGTTGACTCGAAGTGCTTCACCGGCATGGTCTTAGCCTGTTTATCTGGCACAAAATCAGCGCTACCAGTTTGAGATCTTCAGGCAGGTACTAGTGTGAGTCCAGAAGACGATTGCGAGTCTTTTGGAAAGTCTGGCCTTCTCAAAAATCGGATCACGGCAAAAATTTGGTTTCACTTGTCGGTTAGAGAACTCGTCCGAAGTCTAGCAGGACATTGACTTTCAGAGACTCCTCTGAGGAAAAGGTACTTATGGTGGAAAGAGTCTACAGTCTCTGCAAAGCCAGGCCACCGCTGTTTCTACAACTAGCCATCTCTTAATAGGCTACACCACACGTTAAGCGCCTCTGAAAATAAAAGAGCGTTGATTTGCTGGCGAAACCCAATTCCGTCACACATTTAATTTAAAGATGCAAGGCTAAACTTGATATACATATCAGCTTACGGACGTACTAAATCTCAATGCTCACTGCATGGCTTCCCGCCTCCTTGATCAAATGGTAAACTATCAATTTAGAGCCTCAAGATGTTCGATAGGGACCGTTGGCAGGGTCTAGGACTTGAGGCACGGGAATATCCCAGAGGTACAGTGCACGTGATACACAGAATCCCCACACGTGACATGAAACATTGTGACTTCTGTCATTTCGTACCTCGTTTCACATCAAAACTTTCCCTCAAAAAAGCCAGATCGTTGTCCAAAACCGATCGCGTACCTGAGATTTGAAATCCCACCAGAAGTCGTACTACACAGCAAATAGGGAGAAACACGCCAAGTCGCCGGCTATTCTTTGTTAACTACATTCTAGGACGTTCTGAAGCTGGAATTGTCATATCCGACGATCTTTCTTTGCCGTACATACAGACTCGACAACAGTTGCAGCCTTCTTTCTGCTGTCTGATCATAACAAACCAACATGTTGAGAACGAGCAAATCTCGAACGGATGCCATGGCCCGTTCAGCGTTACAACGACTTACGGATGTTATGATCGCCGAGAGACGGAGTCACGAGCACGAATGTCGGAGTTGTGTGTTTCGAAACATGTTTTCTTCCGCATCCGTCGAAAACTTCGAACATTGCGGAGTATTCCTCAAAACGTCACTTCCGAGAAGAAACAACGTCTACGCGGACGTCCAAACGCATAGAATAGCCTTGGCAATCGTCCCAAATCGTTGTTCTGCAGCGCGACTTTCACCATCCGATGACGACCTCTTGCTAGGTGTTGTTCGGGCCTCTGACAGCGGTTAAGGGCGGATCTTATGCAGAGTAGTGTAAGAGACAAGCCTCAGACGATCTCGGTATCAGAAGGTCCGTCAAGCATTGGACAGTTCTCGAGGAGTGGCGCGGCTTAGAGAATAACCCGCGATTATTCTTCTCAACGATACGCGTCGAGTGCATGCTGAGTGTGGCCTGGCCATCAAAGAGGAGGTTCGAAATTCCTTCCTCGAACAATCCGATCACCCATGATCGCCCTGTTCGGTAGGGCCAGCAAATTAAGGTCCATCTTCAGATGCTTTGCACAGCATCGCAAATCATGGGATGGCACTAACAGGAGGCTATGGGATGCGCGCAAGATGAAGAACTACTCTGATCTTGTTGCTCTGCGCGTAATCGGCTCAACCCCTTCCGAAAGGTAGGCAATCTCTCGAAATCCACTGTTTGTACGTCTGATTTTTGCAAAGAATACTAGCTTTACAGTTGCTGAAAAGCTACGCACTCGTGTCGGCTGTTTTTGTGTGTAAAGATCAACTCTAAGTGCCTCATGTAAAGTTGATCATGATACATTGATATCCACTGTCCACGTTTTCAAGTTATCAAATTGGTAACGTGCTTATGTCTAGCATTTGGACGAGTCTTGAATCGACAGAGCGAGTCTCAGACTCGCCAATCTGTCTCTCTGTCATACTGCATGAATTACTTGTCTCGACACCTTCACTTTGGGGCTCTTTCTCCAATGTGGACTCGGTTATAGAGCCAAGATCTGCATTGGTGGATAGCTTGATCTCTGAAGCGCGCGGATTCATCATCGTTTCTTGGTCGTCTGTCACTTGAAGCTGGGGAAGTCAGGGCAAGACCCACCCACCCAACATTCTTCATTGGAAGTCTCCAAATGTTGGTAGCTTTTGTTTATCTGACGGGTTAATTATCACCCGCTGAAATCTCGAACCAAGGCGGCTTTTTGAAACAAATGTTTGATGTTGACCACTCAGGTTACTCGAAATCCTGCAAATCTCCACAACTGAGGCATCGGAATATTTATGAAAAGTTACTCGATGATATCGCTAAAGGATGATTAAGCCGTGGTGGCTCGAGCTGCAAACGCCCTGCACAAAATGCTTGGTGTTTAGACTGTCAGGGACCAGGCTCAAGCGAGGTTTCGGATGACAACCGTAAACACACAGCGTCAGAATATTTTGTGCGCGGCAAGCAATGATTGTTATGATCGATGATGAAGAGCAGATTCATTTTACAGCAGTTCACGTTCATGGAGCGGTTGATTGTTTTTGCAGTCTGGTTTGAAGACATCTGTCGTTATTCTACACGCGATTCTATATGAAAAGGTCGTCGTGTGCTCGATGTACAAATTCGTACCAAAACCTAAAACAGCATCCCCGCTTCACCCAAAACGCCAGTATGATGCAGAAGACCGGATGATGGGGACATCCCCATTGAGATGTGGGCACTGTGAGGGACGCATAATTGGAAACTGGTTGAGGACATCAGCCGCAAAATCCAATCAGTGTGCCTGGGGACTTGAGCAATTCGAGCAAGATGGCGCACGGATATGGACTGGCATACCCGGTAACCTCAGATGATCCCACGTTGAGCGATGCTTCATATATCAACTGACCTTGCCGCTCCGACAGCTCCTTCTTCTTTCTCTTCCTACACTTTACGTTGACTACACTTTTCCGCAGCTAATAATCACTCTCTTTTATTGCCCAACTGGCTTGGCTGCTTACATTCTTTACTGTAGTATATTGAGTTTTTAAATTTTTTGCATTTTCATTATCTCGACTTTCTCGTCCTATTACACTTAACGACACTTCGAAATAAAGATTAAATTACACTCTTACAGCAGCCCCGGACTGCCTTTTCTTCACACTTCGATTCTATTTCTTGCTGGATCAACGAGCCTATTTACAACCAATTATTTTATTCAAAAGTTTCGATTCTTTCACGATCCAACGATTATCATGTCTTCGCCAATCAACCAGATGAACACCTCCTCCCTTGTGGCTCCTACCAACTACTCTCCCATTGACGCCGTCAACCGACATGACTTTGGAGTTCAGAAGAATAGGAAGCCTGCTTCTACAGGAGGAGGAAGAGCATGGAGTGAGGATGAGGTATGGAAATTCATGCTTAGTGTTGTACATTGATTGACGAGGATTTTAGGAAGTTTATCTTCTTCAGACTCGCCTCCAAAAGATGCCTTACAAGCATATCGCCGCTCACTTGAAAAAGACCGAGCTGGCTTGTCGCCTTCATTACCATCAGCTGTCCCATGGAAGCAACCGCCGTAAGCGGACCAACTCTGTCGCTTCCTCCAATGGTGGATCTGCAATTCATTCTCCAGTGATACAGACTTCTATGCCATCTCCAATTAGCGAATCTGCAAACTTGCACGCTACCTCTCCAACCTACACCTACTCACCCGCATCTCCAATCCACGTTCAACTTCCATCTGCCTCGTCTCTTCTGCCTCGCTCGGTTGTGGATAACGCTTCCCGAAACATCATCCACCCCGTCGCCATCTTGCCAAAGCCAATGGTTCGTCGCACTCTCTCCGACCCGAACACCAACGCTCCTCTCCGTCTTGATTGCGGTATGGCTACCAACCCAATGAACGTAGCCAACGTTGACAAGGACCGCCTTCGTCAAATCTACGAAGCCCACCGCACGTCCTTCTGGGGCGTCATTGCCGCTGAATATGGACCAGGTGTGTCTCCTATGGTCCTCGAGGAGGCATGGAAGGCCACGGTCGTTTCCAACTCCCCGCCAACACCATGTATCTCACCCGATACTGCCCAAACCGGTAGCAGCTATCAAAGCTACAACAGCAAGCAGATGATGCACCAATTGCCAACTCCAGTTCAAGAAAACAAGAGCAGTGCTACCAGCATCTCTGCCTTGTTAGGTATTGTAAGTTGGTCCAGATCGGAAGCGAGAAACGGTCACTAATTGATTATATAGGACGCCAGCCCACGCAGCCCAAAAGAACGTGAAATGATCAAACGCATGGAAGCCAACAGAGATGTCGTCATGGCCTAGATTGACACCCTACAACCAGTTCTTCAATTTTCTAGGTGCATCTTTCCATGGTCTTCATCAAAACGTTCCAGGAGTTCAAGGGGGATGGTTGGAGTGGTCACGGTATCTTTACGGGGGTGGAAAAAAACAACGATTAGTTAATTCCAACAAGAGTTTCTAACCCATTCTCCTGTTTGATGACTGAACGAAAAAACTTGGGTTGGGGGGTTGGGGGCGGGTGGGCTTGGGACGTTTATGCTTTTTGTTTTGGCTTTTTTCTTTGATAGCGCTTCAGTTCTACAGCACGCGGTCATGAGGTGGGACTGCTATTTTTGGGGAGGAAAGACTGAGAGATTTCACACACATCACATCACACATTACATAGACAACGAGTAGTAGGAGCGAGAGAAATTCTATACAATTTGGCGGCTTGTACGATAGGCGAGACATGGCTTCATTTTCTCTACACCCAAATTCTTTCTTCCTTTCTGCTTTTAATAATAGAGGGTTTTTCGTCTTGGGGTGAACAACAGTACCAAACTTTACAGTTTTCCAACATGTTTCTGAGCTGGTTTTGCAATATTCATGCGCAGATATTGAGTTTTTCGCACCTGAGGTTGCATTGAAAGGGGGGGCAGTCGCATGTGAGACGAGATCATGGCGTCGGAAACGTGATGTGCGGTTTCAGGGGCTTCGGCTTCCCCACTAAGACCCCGTTGCTCGGTAAACATTGGGAATCGTATCGTATCGCTCGGTTCATCTCATGTTTTTGCATCCGACCACTTGTCATCCTGTCTTGACAGCTGGAGGACGGTGCGTGGATACGAAGGAAGATACGGACAAACTACTGTACAGCTAGTATCTAGCTTGCTGCAATGCAGCACCGTTGCGAACAGACTAACGCCAACGATTCGAAGTGCTCTAGCTAACGCGGGGTCAAACAACCTCCTCCTCTTCCATCTCCACCATCACCATGCTCTCCCATCCACCTTGACCCTCTACTTCCAGAAATGTCGAGATCCCTCCTCCGCCGTCTCTACACCACCGCTCCACAATCTCCATCTCCATCTCCATCTCCATCCGCCTCCCAAATCGCAGCTCAATTCCTGTCCCACGCCCAATCCCGCCCCCCTCACACGCAAACCCACCTCCTCGACGGCGCCCAACTCCACCGTCTCTCCGCAACCCTCTCCCGCACCGAATTCCGCTCCACGCCCCCCAATGGCACGAAAATCCCGCCGGCCTGGCACCTCGTGTATTTCACGCCCGCGCAGCTCGAAGAGGAACTAGGGCTTGATGGGACAGACACGACGTATAACGCTCCTCACCCGTTTACACGGCGGATGTGGGCGGGCGGGGAGCTGGAGTGGGTGAATGCTGAGGGTTTGGAGGTAGGGCAGACGGTGAAGGAGACGACGAGGTTGGTGGAGGCGAGCGCGAAGACTACGAGGACTGGGGAGGAAATGATTGTTGTGGGTGTGAGGAAGGAGTTTGAGAATGAGAGGGGGGTGGTTTTGGTTGATAAACGGTAAATCCCCTCTTGAGTTGAGGGAGGGTTAAGAGCTAATAAACGTAGTAATTGGATCTTCCGACCCCCCATCACCACCCCCCTCGCTCCCGTCGCACCCACAAACTTCGTCCCTATCTCAGATGCACACCACTACCGCGATTACATCCAATCCCCCGTGACCCTCTTCCGTTTCTCAGCGCTGACATTCAACGCGCATAAAATCCACTATAACCGCGAGTGGTGTCGCGAGGTGGAGGGACATCGCGATCTCGTCGTTCATGGCCCGCTGAATCTGGTTCATATGGTTGATCTGTGGAGGGATATGAATGGGAGGTGGCCGAGGAGGGTGACGTATCGGAATACGAAGCCCGTTTATGTGGGGGAGAGGTATAGGATTTTGATGGATGAGGAACGGGGCGCGGGGACGGAGTGCAGGTTGGTGGATGATTTTGGGGGGTTGGGGATGGTTGGGAGGGTTGAGGGGTGAGGGGTGAGGTTTGTTAGTTGAGTTGATGAGGTTGAGGATTTTGCTTGGGGACGTTATCTGGGTGAACTGCCTTCTATCGGTGCTCAATGTAGTGCGCATGGGCAGTCTATTGAAAGGTATGTGCTTTCCCTGGATTTGAAGTAGATGGTGATCACTAGCTTGATCAATGTTAATTGGTTCTGACCTTAGATAGCTTTTACTCTTTGTGAGGCATCTGTGTTTTTGTAGAGTTCTTTGCAATGCAGAGATATTCGCTTGTAGCAGTAAAGATGATCAGCCTAAACAACGCCTAACCTCTATAGACCTTTTCTGATATAAAACGGATCATGTTACCTTACAGAAAATATGTAATTATGGAATATGTCAATGCGTAAATCAAGCAACCTTGCGATATCAAGGTTTGGTATTTAAGTCAATAGGCTAACAGGAAGTTCGTTTTAGTATTAAAGAACTACCTAGGCTGGGTGATTATCTAATTTGGGACCTACTAGGTAGTACTGATATTCACTTATATAATCCTATCATCCGTCTGTAAAGCAAAAGAATGGACAAGGAAATAAGTAGTATTAGCAATAGGTCGATCTAATTAGATGCCTTGTCTTTTGATGGCTTTCTGTCGCAGAATAATATACAACCCTGATGCTCCCGAGTTATCCTGGTTTAAAGGGCCACCTAGACTACTAACTAGAACGAATGGCAACTTTAAGTTCAATGAAGGGCATTTCTTACGAAATCATACATGGCGGGAGAATTAGTGAAGGAAGGTGGATAAAGTAAGTAGATCAAGTTGTATCTTGAGAAAATGTTGCTGCTAGAATTTCTGGAGCTAAAGAAGGGGTCAGGGAGTCTGCATCATAGTAGACTGATTTCGGTAGATGAACCTGGCGGTTAGTCGTTCATGTAGGACTGCATTGATGGGAAATATGTTGTCTCGATCCGTGAAGGCAAATGTTGAAAAGATGGAATGTTCTTGTTACTTTGTGTTTCGTTTAGTTTTCAGCTGATTGGCGCAGGAGTTGCTGACCCAGCGTTTTGGGCGAGCTCTTTTCGGGAAAACTAGAGGCTTCGTGGAATAAGAGAAGGTATGGACTAGATGGTAGTTCAAGGGCTGGATTTGTGGTAATGAAGTGGGTAAGACTTGGTTTAATACCTAAACCCAGTAGTCTCCCCATCCCGTCCACTCCATTCAGACTTCTCAACACCCTTCTCCTCATCCCATTTCCCCTCTTCAAACTCCTCTTTACCCCAATCTTCCCCCATATTCTCCCCCTCTCCCACCCTTCCTCCCCTCCCTCCTCCTCTCCCTCTCCACCCTCCCTCGTTCCCGCTCCTCCCGTTCTCTCTCCCACTCCCTAAACCTGACCGCCAGCCTCAAATTCCGCATCGTCCGATCCCTGTACCACCTCACCTCTTCCACTAATATCAATCCGGTGAAGACACAGGCATAGAGCGCGAGGAAGACGATAAATAGAGCGAGGAGCTCTGTGTATTGGTGGGCGTGTTCGGGGATGAGGGGGTCGGGAGGGCGAAGAGGCATTTGTTGATGTGTTTGGTTAGGCGTGGTGGTGTGATGTCTGTGTATAGTGTGTAGAGTAGTTTGTTAGTGCGCTATAGTTAACAATTGATTCCCAACTATAATTGTCAGAACTTTTAAAAAATTTAAACAAGAAGAAATGTTCTAAAGTCATGAGCATTATTTGTATACCGACCACAATCACATTGTTCTGCTCCGACAAACAGGCACAAAAGTCACTATCTCACCCCTCCTTTTTTCTTTGTTATCCCTAGTGTTTTGCTTAAGCGAGGATTAAAAGGGGACTGTTCAGAACACTTAACATCTCAAGTCTCCACCAATTTACTTTTACAAATTTCCTTACCAATTTTCAAACTAGATTAATATATCAGTCGACACCTATAGCAACAAAGAGATATTCTACTTGTTATCACAAGTATATAGGTATATACAATATTTGAATTAGTATCTATATACACCCTTTAGCTGTGGCGAAAAGTCCCGTACTAAATAACGGTGTCTGCCACCTAAGATTAAGCAATTGTCAAGCAGTCAAAATACACCAGGGGGTCTTACAAGTAATTAAATGAGGGCAGAAGTTTATGGTACTAGCGGGGCATACTCCGTAGAGGTTTCTACTAACTGCCAAAATACACCTTACCAAATGTCCAATTCGGCGCTAATTTTCACGCTATACTTCGGAATTCAATCCATAGTACCTACCATATCATCTTATTATCACTCCTCCATATCTAAACCCAAGCGCTAACGAATACCCCTCGACAGTCCCCGACATAACATCCAGCGAAAAAGCCACTGAAAGAGGAATTACCCACAATGACATTTATCTTATATCCTATGTACCTAGCCAGATGATCCTCAAACGCAAATCATCATCTAAAACACGTCATTAAATCCATCGCAATCTCAAATCACAGACCGCAAATCTCGTAATGCATACCAAAACAAACTCGACGAGTATCCCCTCCACCAGCACTCCTCGTCGTCTTTGGGTGATCATAAGTTGCGTAAGATGTGCGTACCGACAGGAACGAGTATTCGGAGCAGTCGTTTCGTACATATCATCGAAGACCGTGGCTCGATTCGCGTGTATGGTACAGTTAGCAGGGATAAGAGGCGCCAACAAGTTCGACGAGAGAGACGTTATCTTTTTCCTGGACATCTCCGAATACATGGCTATTGCTCCAAGAGGCTCGTTGTTCGGAGATAGGAACTCTAAGTGAAATATTCCGGGCCAGGTTTCAGTGAAAGATACAATGATCGATCGACTCAATGAAATGTCGCGTACTTGTCTAACTATCTGTGTAAATACTTCAAAGGCACACCCCACCAGTCCGTATAAAGACAAGCCAGCCTTCAAGGGAGAAATAAAATGAGAAGTTCCGAAAGACCCGTCGCGCCTGCAAGAACCCATCGTGTTACGCCGCCTGCCGTGGTAAGGCGCCTCGGAAGATTGAATTTGACTCACCACATAGATGGGAGCTAAATCGTTAACTTGGCTGGACTTCGACTTTATAACCCACTCAAGTAATTTTAAGTGTACACAAACTGTACCACTACAGTAGGACAAAAGTTTACTTGCACTTCACATACATGTACACACTTCAGTACAAACTCAAACTCAATCTCAATCTCAATCTCAATACACACAATGCAACGCGGCAACGCTATCATTCCCCAACCTCAATCGCTCTCTGCTCTGAATCTCAGCCTCACCCTCACAAAAACCTACACCCTACAAGAACCTACACAAACGCTCCTTCTCTGATCCGAATCCCTATCCTTTCTCAAATCCACGTTTTAATGTCCCCACCATCCCTCCACCTCACATCCGTTCTCTTCCCCTGCCCCCCCACCCCCTATCCCCTCATTCCAACAAGAACAAAGCGCCAAAAAAAACACCAACGCCATCCTAATGCAGGGTATTTGCAAATCTGAAAAAAGCGAATAGAACCGAGAAAAAAGAGCCGTAAAGCAAAAACATGCATGCCCAATAAAGAATGCAAAGCCAGTCAGCCGAATAATAACCTCCCCGTCCCAATTCCTCCATGTGAAGATCACCGATTCGAATATCCCCAATCTATTTTAGTTCCCCCCCTCCCCCAGCCCTTACGACGTAAAGTTTAATAGCTGATCCCCCCCTCATCATCATCATCAAACCCGCCATCGTATATACCAGTCTCATTCCCATCGTCATCATTACTATTCATCCCAAACCCCCCACCAGAATTCTCCCTCTGAATCTTCAAAAAATAACTCTTCAACGTCCTCAGTCCCCTTAGAAACCCACGATCCGGTAACTCAGGGTGTCTCGGCGGACAAGGCCGATCGGTCTGTAAATCCTCTTTCGTGACACAATTCGCGAAATCCGCGATCTTGAAATCAATCTCCTTCTTTTTGGGCGGCTTGTCGTCCTTTTCCGTGGCCGCGCTGTCGGACTCGTCATCACCTTCCGTGTCGCCGTCGTAGAACATGAGGAGGCTGGCGGCGTAGAAGCGGTAGCCGGCGAGACTGCGGATGAGGACTTCGAGCTGAGAGAGTTTGTGGAGGATGGTGGGAATGTGGCGGAGGACGCTTGAATAGTCAACTCCATCGTATAAAAATCGTGTAAGAGCATCTTGGAATTGGCGTCCGGCTTTCAGATCTCGACCAAAGTACTTGTCTTGGAATATATACGTCTGGGTTTTGACATCCCATACCTGTAGACCGCAAAGTCGAACACCTAGTTGCTTAGACGTCGTAGCTTCACATTTCTGTCGTTGAGATTTCTGCTTCTTTTCATTCGCCTCGACTCCATATTGTCGAGTTCCCATTTTCAGATCCATTATACAAGGTCTTTTCATACCTGCCGTCAAATCTTCTAAGAGTAAAAAGTACTCGACACGTGAACCTTCTGGAGTTTGCACCTCTTGTGCTTCCCTTGGGTTGACCGGTCTAGGAATGTCAAGAAACTTGGCTGATAAACTAGAATCGGGAACTGCCGCTGGTTTGGAACTAGAAGGTGATGCCATGGAAGGTTCCTTTACAGCGTGTGTCTGGTCTGCTGCACCCGAAGCGGGCGAATCGCTAGTCGGCGTGATCGGCTCAGGGTCCATACTAAAGACTTCTTCTTCACCATCACCTTTGTATCCAGCATCATCTGCTTCTTCGAAATATTTTAAGTTACCACGACCATCCTCTACTTTCGAAGGCTTTCGTCTTAATCCACCACTTGAATATCGTCTCTTTGGCTTCTTCTGTGGTCCATTTTCACTACGAGAAATTTCCGGTTCAGGTGCACTAGTTCCTGCCTTTTCGTCAAACTCTGCCTCTTCCTCCAAGACCTTGCCATCCTTCTGCTCTAGTTGTTGTCCCTGCGAAGTGTCAGGAACACCATTCATTCGTTGCTCGGCGGCTGCTTTTAGCGCTCTCTTTCGAATTGACTCTTCTGCTGGATGTGATGACGAAATACCATGCTGCGCGGTCTTAAGGCTGGATTCGGAGTTTGAAGGTCGTAAATGATGACGACCATGGCGATGAGGTAAAGAACGATTTTGCGACGCAGGCTTCTTATGGCGATGAATTGGAATGGGTTGCTGCAAAAAAGCTTCGCCAAAGACTTCATTACGCAATCTTTTGTTGACAGTGGTGGCACCCCAGCTGACAGCATGTTTATCAGACAAGGTTGGCCTGAATGTGAATTGAGTGTCAGGCAACGGTGGTTGGGACTGAGGCTGATCGCGTGCAGGTACCGTAGCCCCATCACTCTTTGACCTATGCTGGATATCAATCGCGTGGGGATGCGGTTGTAGAAAGCTGGTGGGGATAATATGTCTATTGTTTGCAAAGGAAACTGTCGGAACAGGTACCGACGAGGAACTGAGGGATTGACTAATCATTCTCGTATGTGTTCGATCTTCACCAGCATGCCCATTTGTAGCTTGCGCTTGGGTTGGCTTTTCTTCTTTCTGATCTTGCGATTCATTTGTCGAAGAAATACCCTCGCGTTCGGTAGCTGCCTGACCAGTATCCTTTTTGGTAGACTTGCGACGTGTTTGCCTTTCAAATGTAACATTGAGAACACCAATATACCTATGAAAAACACATCTTACTGTCAGTTATGGAATTTGGTACGTGCAAATTTATTGGCAATTGCTAACTGAAAACACTCGATATAGAATACTAAACTACTTGATATGATGGAGATAATCTGTACGCACCTAGGTAAGAAGTTCAACAATTTGGGGTGATGACGCTCAACTTGTTCATAGAATTCATTTTCCCGGTTGTTCAATTGTTTACAGACAGCACGTTTGGAAAATCGCCACATCGTGGTATGACCACCAACTTGATGCCGATAGGGAATTAACTCAATAGCTTCCAAAGGCTGTGCAGGCTTCGCTGATTGGGCGGCTGAACTGTGTTTATGCGACTTGGACTGACGAGGCGTGTTCTTCGGAGACCCGGTCGGTGTGGTGTCTGGATCATCAGTGAGACTTGACTCATCTCCGGTAGTGGTATAATAACCATTGTCGTCATGCGAATCCTGCTCAAGATCAGAGATATCAGAAACACCATTGTGATCCTGTTCAATAACAGGAAATTTATGTGCATGAACTCCGCCAACTAACGTGGGCCGCCGGGTCTTGACATCTTTTTCAATGTACTTGTTGTCGACCTCATCAGAAGGCACTTCATGTTCTTCAAGCCACTGCTGCGAATGCGTCCGGTCCAATCGACGAGGGTCTAGTGCGCTTATTGTTTCTTTGGCGCAGACTTCGTCTCTAGGAAGTTCTGGCGATTCATGGGGTGTCTGATGGGGAACGAAGAGAGCCGAGGAAATCTGCTCTTCACCAGAATCCTCATCATCAGTACTTTTCACTTGAGTTAGTTCACTGCCATCTTCGTCTTCTTCTCCTGTTTGCGAGAGGGTTCCGTCAAATGGTGTTGCTCTTTCTGATGCCGTAACTGGAATGCTCCGCGAGAAAGAAGTACCAGGAGGAGCGCCTGGAGTCAAATTATGATGCTTTCGAATTTCTGCCAGCAATTGAGGAGGAAGTGTTCTTAACTCCTCTGCAGAATCTCTCGCGACGGGATGGGGTACATCGAAATATCCTTCTTCCGTGTTGAGGACCTGGGTAGGATTTAAGGATAATTCCTGTGCCCGCAAGGCTAGATCTTCATCCTGTTCCAGTGGTGACTGCAGCGCAGGCTTCGAGGCAGATTTGAGACTCTGAAGCGTTAAACTCTCCCGGGAGGCAGCACTCTTCCCATCCCATGGCTTGCCGTGCTCGTGCTCCGATGGGGTCTTTGGCCGGGTATTACCATCTTTCGATCGGCCGCGGCTTTTGGGATCGCGTCTCTTCGAACCGTCTTCTGGCAAGCCTTCCTTGAAGAAACCGAGACTGTGACTCGCTTTTCGACTCCGATTATTGTGCTCAATTCCCGCAAGAGCTTCTGTGATTGACTTCTCAACCTGCCCTCCACCATGACTATCTTTATTTCCCGGTTTACCAATTGACCATGCTTTTTCGGAGGGTTTGTTTTGACGAGCATCTCTCCATGATCGGTATTCTGCCCTTGGACCCTCGACCGGAATTTTGCTTGATATGGGATCTTCTGCCTTGGAAGCAGTCGCGGGAGGGGGGGTTGTCATGCCAGTATCTCCTAAATTCATAGAAAAAGTACCCTTTGGAACTTCGTGCACTCTCTTCTCCTTTTCCGTTCGCTCCAGAGATGTGCCACGTCCTCGCGTGCGATTGAACAGTTGTCGGTGTGCGAACAAAGCGTCAAAATTCTCCAGATCGCGCAGTAGAGTAAACTCTGACGACGTCGGAGACGCACCTAAGCTGACGGTCGCGCGCACATCGGCCATGGAGGCAGGAGCGATCGAAGTCATCTTGCCGGTAGGAACCTGTGAAGAGTTATGTGCGTCAAGACGCCCTCCATTGGGCCGCCATTGCTGTTCTGTGGTGGGGCTACGAGATATCAGGTCGGGGAAGTAGTGAGTAGATATATTGCCCGCCGCTGGAGAAGAATGATCTGCTGGTGTCCTTTGACCAGCTAAGGCTTGTGTCAACAAGGAGGTGGACGATGTAGCCCGCGACGAGAGGGCGTCCTTGGGTCTTCTAGTCGGGAAGACATGGTGGGAAATTTTGTTATCAGCATCTTGCTCAGGCCTCACCGGGGTGGTGGGTACGGCATTGTCGGGCTCAGGGGAACTTGACATGAGGAGGCTGACATTTAACGAATGCTCGCGCAATGTGGTGATCTGATTCGTATCTGTTGGGCCGCAATGGCTTCCGGGTTCTCTTGGAGGATGAACTCTCGAGATGGATAAACCAGCAGGGCCAGGGATATGCGACTGCCGCGAGGGGGCGCTAGAGCGGTTGTGCAATGCGAGTTGAAGCTCCGGGCGTGATCACGTTGCGGCCAGAAGAAATCCAGTGGTTTTCGAGACGAAGCGGTCCAAGTAAGACGGTCTGGGTCGGTTCAAGGCGCGGTGCGATGCGGTGCGGTGCGGTACGGTACGTTGCGGTGTGGTGAAGGTGGTGACGGTGATGTCGATTATTATTTGTTTTTGCGGCGTCGGAAGGAAAGGTGTGCGGAGCTGGGAGGTTAGCGGCAGGTAGGAATAGGTTAGTTTAGCTCACTCCAACGACTAAATCCAAAGACTAAATTGGTGGGTGAATCTGCCCTAGCGCATCGTGGGTCCAGTCTCTTTGTGCGGCTTTCGTCACTGGCTTGCGATGTCTTGCCACTGGCAGTCTGAGACCCATCATCCTGGATTACAGGTACGACCGTTGAGAGGATGTTTCATTTATTTGTTTGGCATGGATAATTAAGTTTAGATCTTTGATACTTGAATCAGGGACACGGAGACCTTATTAGGAGTCCCTCCGCAATCGAAACAGCTAGACTGACATTGAATAGAAATCCAAATCCACCACAAGCAACTATCTCCAAACCCCACTAGGCAATGCGGGCATGATTGATGATATGCTTAAAAGCCACCACAACCTCCAGTACAGGAACCGAAACATGTACACCAGAGAGTCTCTGGAACCGAACATATCTCATCCTCGAGATAATCAACATCCACCTTGCGCGACTTCCTCACCAATCCCCCTTCATGCCATCAAAGCTCCCCTGTCGATCTCAGAATCTGCCATATCAAACGCCAACCTATCGATCCTCAACGTGTCTCTGCTCCCATTGACCGCTCCTCGCTCCGCACCTCGATCTGGCATTCGCGAGATAAGTGATACGAACGAATCAAGCAACACGTATTCTTAGTGACATGATTTTAGGTATAGCACGAGAGTTATCACTTTATTTTGTACGTTAGGAGTTTTGGGGTTGGTCATTGGTCAATGGCTCGTATGCGGGTTGACTTATTTATTTGAGCTGGCTAACTTGTTTGGGTCGATGGATCCCCTCATCACGACGTGCGGAATCTTGTATATTGGATTGTACGACATGATTTATAATGAGATGAAGTCAGATGGTATCGCATGACGAACCTAGTGTAACAGATGGCCTTTTGAACAGCCGCAGAGCAGGAAGATGTGTGGGTTACATAGTGGGTATGCTCATAAGACATTTGCCTCGCTATAATGATTAGAATGCGTATTCACAAAGTCGAAGCTTCAAAGCATATCTAGTACCTAGTATCTAGAAAGAAGTAATCTTCAAGATTCTATCCTATTCTCTATTCACAGTCCAGAAAGGTGATTCATCAATCCTACTTCCTGAGCTTCAGATTCAGAGATGGAAAGTGTAAAAACCTAGGAGCTTACCATGCAGGCCAAATAAGCGAGGCGAAAGGGGGTAAAAGAAATCTATAAACAGTAAGATCTGGAAAGTAAACAATGGAGGTGGAATTGAGTGTGTGTGAAAGGCTAGAAGAACTTTGGTTTGACTCGAAATGTTTGTAGGACGTTCTCGTTTGCAGCTGAACACTTCGAACAGAACCATTGTGGATGCTGATCTGGTCAAGGAAAGATGAGGTGAAACCTATGAGGATTTTGGATAGAAGGGTTGATTTCAGCCTAGTGCTCAGCGCGAAGCCGCTACCCATCCTCGCATCTTTCCTAATGTCCCCAACGAAGTGTTACTAGAGTCGAGACGGATTTCGCAAATTTGGCTCCAGACAAAGACCACCCAAAGCAAACGAACTGAAACGAAGTACTAGACACCCGATCAACCATCAACGCCGGTGAATACAACCCAATAGCTCCCTGGTTACCACAAGTATGAAAATGAATCCCTTTCTCCCCCAGCTACACGCCATGGTACCTAAATCGTATGGGATTTGTGCAGGAAGGAAAGGGCGTGATTTTGGTTTATTAACATCGTACTCGGTCGTGGCTTTTGAAGCTTTCGCGCTCTACGTTTCCCCGTACTATCGGTGTATCCGCTCCTTAAACTTCACCAAGCATTACGATCCCAACTTGGATCTGATGGTCAATGTTAGCTTAGCTCATATAACTTCGCGAATGTAGGCTTTTTCAGATGTAAGATTTCCTGGCCTGAAAATTTCCATGTCATAAGAAAAAGCAAAAATATGCTCAACTGACCTTGCACAAACCCCGCCAACACCTTACTACCCGTCTGCAACAGAGGATGTCCGACCACAATCTGCAAGAATCTCTGTAGCCCCTCTCGTCTGTGTTCAATCACATCATCACTGAACCTATTGGTAAAGACCTTTCCAGGTAGAGGTGGGATCGTAACTCTCGCAGATTCGCGCTCCAAGATATCGCGAAAGTATTCAAAGTCCGAATAACGTCTGCGTACACTGCTATGTCGCAATTTGAAGGCGGGGATATTGGTTCGGCATACGATCTCGTAGTCTGTGTACATGTTGCGACCCATTCCGTGGGTTTTTGGATTTCGTACCTGAACAAGAGGGTTAGTAAGAGTGGGCATAGCTTTAGCAAGTGGAATGATTTGGAGAGGTTTTGCTGCGATTGAGCGCAATCGCTCCAGCGTCGGACATTCTCAGACTCACCTCTATCTCCAAGAAGTTCTCTGGAGGGCCGTAAATCTCCTCGAAACTCTGCTGGCGCGAATCTGGCATAGCCTGCATGATGGCGGTTCTTCTGTCAACTACCCAGAATGCTTCAGGATCGTAGCTCAATCGTTGCGCTGAAGTTGTTTTATCTCTGAGTCTGACGATCGAAGTTTTCGTAGCGTCGCGGGTGCGCAGGAAGGTCGTGTGATGCAATAGTTGTTTCGTGAGTATGGTGGTTCAAAATCGATGTGAGTTGGACTATGAATCAGCTCCCCTTAGCCTTGCCCAACCACAAATCGCGGGGCAACCAGCAGGGGTATCACGTGATATTCCTCGCAACCTTCTCGATTCAAAACAAGGTTCCCCTCCTGATGCCACCACTTATCCACCACTTATGTTGTTTATGTTTGCATGACGACGATCACCAAGGCTCTTTATCAGGCTGCCCGCATGTGATGTGGTACAGTATCTAGGCGCGTCAACCACCTTGATCTCCTCATTTGCTTCATTTCTTTTTCATATTCAAAAAACTCCGGAGAGTCTATCTGTTTTAGCCTTCAAAGCAAAGCAGTTCGGTTTTCATACTGCAAATTATATCGGGCATCAATTTCCTTCCCTTTGTTTTGCTATCTGAACTTACACCTCAGCCTTGAAGATGACGGGCCTTGCTAGATTCTTCCTTATTGGGGGACCGCTCGTGAGCATCATGGTTTCGCGGCTTCGAGGCCTTGATTGATCTCAGCATCACTAACAGTCGTAGGTATTAGTTCTATTGACAGCAGTTGCCGGGTAGGTACCGTCGCGACACATGGGCAGCATACGAAGCGTGTTGCTAATGCTGTCTGATCCAGTTATGCCTACTCGCAAATACGATATCTTGGCCTTCCTATTCCTGATGCACTTGCCCTTTTCACTGTCGTCCTACCCATCATCACTGGCATTTCCATGCAAGGTATATACGGTTTGATTCAGCGAGCATCGAAAACGGAGCCGTTCCAGCTTACCCTTCCTTTGGTTGCGGTTCTTGGCTTCCAATTGTTCTACGAAACTGTGGTTGGGACCCTTGCTCTGACCTATATCGTCCCTCCAACATCTTTACTATGCGGCTTGGATGATATGTGGGCGAGGCTTTACGTCGCTAATAATGGTCGTGCTGTCAAGAGGATCCAGGACACATTTGACTGTTGTGGTTTGAGGACTATCAAAGATCGTGCATATCCATTTGGGCACCAAGCTGCTTCTCAGTGTGCAAACCTTTTCGAACGGACAGGTAGCTGCCTTGGGCCGCTAAGAAAGAGTGAGCAGACACAAGCTGGCTTACTTCTTATGGTTGCCATTCTAGTATTTGTGGTAAAGGTGGGTTTCTGAGGCATTGTCTTTTTAATCACAGCTAATAGGGAAATGCAAGGTTATGTCCGTGGTCTTCCTCCTCACCAACCCTACAATGAGTCACGCTAGGACAAGCCGAGCTTTCAAACGAATTACAAACCGTTCTGATGACGATGAGGAAGATAGTAGAGCAACTATGAGGCGACTTATCGAGGAAAGTGCTAGCACAGAGCCCTACAGAGATAATCCAGAGGAGTCTGCGGATGTCAACCGGACTGAAAGTGTAGCGCCAAGGGTGCAGCCATCAGCACTGCTTGAAGGACACAACGAGTGGCGAGATGAGGAAGGACAAGAACGAAATTCATAAAGCTTCGATGAGTAAGGCTGTTATGCGATAAACAAGGTATATTGACTGGAATTATTTAGCGGTTCCCATGATTCTGATAGCGTTTTAATGGGTTTCACTTTTCGACACACGAAGCTTTTCCATGGCTTAATACTTTCATATAATACATGTATTTTTCTGGTCATAAACTTCACGGGTTTATGTCCAATAATGCTGGTGGATTTGGACGCATGTTTCTACAATTTGGCCAAATACCGCATACTCTTTCAAGAAGTTTAGTTGAATTTTGCAAGAACGTCTCCAACCAAGTAACCGAAAAGTTTCTTTCCCTAATCCACTTGAACATAAATCACAGAATTAACTCTAGATCTTATTTTCTTGCCTCTATCCCGCAGCCTCAGTAAAGGTACACGCTTCTAAGTCGAAAGAAAATTCAGAGCAAACTTGAATCTCTTGCCCTTTTATCATTCTGCAAAGGGGTAGCTCGCTTAAGTATTCCTCTACTAAGTGTGATTCCACTAATTGGGAAAACACAAAACCCCCCTCTTAATGGTCCACACGCCTTTCATGTCAATAACATTACAACATCCATACCACTATCGACTCAAACCTGTAGACCCATTCCACGGAAACACAGTCTTGCCTTCTTCGTACAAGCCACTAGCAGGTCTCCACATCACGGTCATACTCAGCGGACCGAGCTCCTGATCAAGTTGCTTCCATTCATCATCTGGATCATCTTTCTTGGGATTAAGAGGATTCTCAATAACTGTCACAAAGCCGTATTTTTTGTAGAGAGGCACTCCGTAAGGAGTAGCATCAAGCCACATTTCTACACCCATTTCCTGGGCTTTGGTGATTCCCCAGTTCATTATCAGATCGCCTGCTCCTTGGCGCCGGTAGTCGCTTCGTGTGAAGATGATGTTGAGATCTTTGAATAGAGATCTCGTGGTTAGATGCAGGTTTCAGAGCATGAGAGGAACACTTACAAACATGTGGTCTCCGACCCATGGTAGCTCTCGGCCGCCCAAAAATTTCCAAAGCTCCATTAACGTACTCCCTCTGTCCACCCTCAGGATACCAATAAGCTTCCTCATGATCCTCCTTCTCGAAGGGGTTTTCCGAGTACAACTTCCAAAGTGCACCAGCGACAATCTCCCCAGTCGCAGTGTCCGTAACTTTTTGCCAGTAACTACTAGGATCGCTACGATGCCATTCCAGTTGTCGTTGAGTACATTCTTCTAGAGACTCTTGACGAGCATTTGGCCCTGTTCCGCGAATGGGGCAAAATAAGCGGAAGAAAGTCTGGTGTGGGTTTTCGTAGGATTCCCACTCACAGGCGATGAGTTCCGTGAATTCGAAGTCCGTTTTCACTTCTGAGACCTTAAAGGGCATCTTGAAGGATGAAGCGCTCAAGTACAGAAGTTGTGGTATTACGTGCAGCGTGAGCTGGGTTTTCGTATTGAGCAAGTGCTGTAGTGGGCTCAGAATATGTATCAATGGATAGATGGGCTACGACGAATATATTGAAGCTGCTCAACGGTCAGAATTTCGTCTTTTTGTGTTTCTTGAGACTTGGGGACATCGATCTAAAGTTCTTTCAGAGGTCAACTATGCATTACAACGGCGAAGGAGCCGTTGTAGGCTAATTGATGTCAACCAACTCGCTTAATGTTTGTAGATTTAAACCACCCCACTTCTGTTGCCCCGATACCTTGTTAGTGTGGCAGTAAGCAATACATGACTGGGTGAGCCGGCGATTATTTACTTGTTGGATTCAAGGATATTGCCTCAAAGAACCTCGAATCAGGCTTTGTAGCAACACTTACTTGCGCTCAGCAAATAATGGTATCACTACGGTCACATAAACACGACTATGCGTGTATCTTTGACATCCCTATGCATCTAGGTATATTCGACAGCAATTTAAACTCATGAAAATGAGATCTGCCGTGGTTTACACTAGTATGTACAAGTTGGCCAATTCCCAATGTTGTTCAAAAACGGCGAGGAACGAATAAGTGAAATATACAAGACTCTATCTCTGTCTATAAGTAATTTTTCTGGCAGTATGATCATGACACAACCAGTGTTCTTTGCTCCTTAGACATTTAAATCTACTTGTATATAATGTAATACATACAAAAACGTAAGACCAGGCCCTAAAGAAGTTCCAGTGTTCTTTTTATTGCTTAATATTATGTAATATCAGCTATAAGGATTTGGTGAGTACCACTATCGGTGAGTCAAATACTACAGCTCCTTCGGAATTGAAGTACGTATGTTTTCTGATTGTGTTGACTGATCCACTACCAACTGCATGAATCAATATTGTGAGACTTTCGTCTACCTCGCCGCATGTACCAACAAACCGATTGAATACACCATATCCACTATGTCGGTTCAATTAATCTTACCTTCCACAGTACGGTCTGGTCAAGTCATGCTGTTGAAATTTGAAAATTGTAAATGAGTGAATTAAGGAAGAAATAGTAAAGTCTAGAATGCTATACGCTACTTCCATGGTGCGCCGCGTGATCAGCCAAATCTATTTGTTTTGATCTACAGTGAATCAACCGAATAAAGTTTTAAATTGGTGAATAAATTTCAGGGCAATAATCACAGCTGTTCCAGCGATCCTCAACTGATTGAGAACAGGACTGTGATGACTAGGACACTGAACTTTGTGTATTTATTTTATTTTTTGTCAACCCCCCAAAAGCGCAACGTTCAGACAGAAGCTACAGACCTGAAAGTTGAAAGCCTACCACCATGGGGCTTTTCGTAAGGTTCGACACCGAAGGGGAGATTGTTATGAATGGAGATTTAGTTGTGAGGAAAACGCCTCAGATCAGTTTCGCATACTATGATCGAGAACAGAATCAATATTCCCGAGCACAGAATCGCGGATATGACTATAATGAGTGAGTTCTCTTCGCCCCCTAGCGCAACGTGGCCTAACATTGCGTTAGAGTGAAGGCCCTTCGCCGTTCTCCACTTCATGAGGAGGCGTCTCACGAAAGCATTGGTAACAAGGGGATCGTTTTGGAAGCAAAGAGAGAAAGAGACCAGCAAACTGAGGACGTTAAATTTAATGGTAAAGGGACTTCCAAAAACACTGTGGAACGAGTGGGCACATTTTGCTTGGGCTACTTCCGCAAGACAATGCAAGAGATCGACGACGAGTTCCGCAGACAAGAAGCCGCATGGAAAATTACCGAAGAGTATCGCAAGTTCGTAGATCTCATCCAGGATTTGAAATGTCGAACCAATTCTAGCATTCGAAATGTGGTGGCGATGGGATGTGGAAGCCTTCATAACAATGTGGTAGAGGATCCTGCTACTGACACCTGGATGAGCTCTTGCTCAGCCCGGGACTTAGCGAGATCCCTCACTATAGCGGAAATCCTTGGAGGTGATGTTGCGTTCCACTTCCTGCTTGACTCATTTGTGCTAATGACTTTGAAGATGAGGGAAAGCCATTACCCTGCGTAATTCAAGACCCGTCTTACTCGGCTTTGGAAACGGAATACCTCAAGTCGCTGGGTTTAGAAGTCGTGCTAGATCCCGATATCTTCGCGAAGATAGAAACAGAATCGCTGGTATATTTCAGAGGCACCTACTTATCTTTGGCATGGTGGACTAGTGACGGTCTATGGCCCAGAGCAATGGTTACCGAAGACTGGAGTAATAGAGAAATCGCAGATTCAAAGCATTATCCATCAAGAGAGTTACCATTTCCAATACATGTGAGTCATGATTCGTGCTTTTGAATCTTCTGCTTCTTGTCACATCTCTGTAAAGTACTGATTTGGGAAATGTAGTGGTACAAAGAGGTCACGGAAATGTTCAAGCAATATGACAAGAAACGAATCCCCATGGATAGATTTCCTGTGAATGATTCCGGTCTCTCCGACGTCTACAATTGTTTCCTGTGGTGGTTGAAGGAGGAGGTTACTGTCAGTGGAGATTCTCAAGGTGCCTAAGATTGAGAGGACTGGGTTATGTACCGTGGTTTTAGGGAGATAATGTGACGGTGCTGCTTGGTACCATATCTCGATGATCGAGGGATTTGAGTCGAGTTGATATACTTCTCATTTAAGAAGCTCATGTATTTAACGAGAGACTAGTCAATGTGATGCTTTACTACAAAGTATAAGATGAGAGATCACTAGAGTGATAAAGTACCAGAAAATGTTAGCCCAGTTTCGTGTCTCATACCGTTCTCCATCCCAAGCCCGTCGTCGTGCTACTTTAACACGAATTCTTTCATCTCCCGACCCTCAATCCACTCCCCGTACATAACACCATGAACGAAAGCCTCACCAATTAAGACGTATTTCTCGTCGTCACATTTCCTAATCACATAAGGAAACTTTGCGCCAGAAAATACAACAACAATATCGCCTGCTTCTGCGTGTTTGGGAGCAAGTCCAACAAACCCTTTGCAAGTTATAAATGGCTTGCGCTCGACTTGTTGTGCCATCACGTTGTAGTAACTTCTGAGAGTGTTTGTGATGGGGAGCCCGGCGCTTAGCCCGTGGCTGGTACGCTGTATAAAATCTTCAATTACTTCTTCGTGGCCAAGACGACACTCATCAAATGTGGCTTTTCTAGTGAATTGAATACAGCATAGATCTGCTACAGGAACACACTGGGGCGCTCTTGATCGCAGGTAATTATCTGCATAGATTTCTTCACCTGATTCCTCGAATTTATTGTTGGATGTTTGACAAAGAGTATATATATCTTGGATATATGCACAGGCTTCGCGACGTTGGCTCATGCTTAGCCATGCTCCGTCGTTACATTGAGGTTTCAAAGATTCGATGAAATCGACAATGAATCCGTTGACCTTCAAGAAGGATGACGAGACGTCCTGTTCCATATTTGGCACAAACGTTCTAGTTCCTGACGCTGAATATGGCGAATTCCAATGATATTGTCCAAATGGCTGCTTCACTTCTTCTCGCCAATCAGGTACCCATGACGGCACTGTATGATCCTCCTTCGTCCACTGAGAAAAGGCGAGAACATCGGTGTGGCCAGACTGAATCATGGCTTTGGCCGCGTTAGAGTAGACGGAAGTACATGAAGTAGTGTCTGCGTAATCTGGATTGATTCCCAGAATCTCCCTGTCGGCCGCCATTCCAAGAAGTGCATAAATTCTGTCCTTGTCAACCGTGACTGATATGCCAACTCTGATTTTGGCAAGAAGCCGTATGAGGTCAACTTTGGGGTTGCCACCTCCTTGAAGAGTGACATGATATTGATGTCGTATGCCCAAAACTAAATTTGCGGGGAGCGATATAACAGTGGAGTTAATGGCATCAAATTGTGCTTCTAACTCGCAAAACTGCGAGGAGCTAATGTCCCCTGAATCCAACATTTCCATCAATTGCTCTTTAAGTCGCTTTGAAAGAAACGTTTTCATATAAATAGTGTAGAGCACGGCGGCATGGAGAACGGCATATTCGATTTTCAGCCTGCCGCAATATAGTTCGACGTTCTGAGACACCACTATCTCCTGCAGTATCCAAAGACGACTCCAGTATTCGCGCGAGAGAATTTCAGATATCCTTTTAAAGAGGCTCGTTAACTGGTCAATTTGGATGAGAGGGTTTTCTAGCATATCCTCGACGAGCTGTGCGGCTTCATGCTCAAGTTGTACGAAGAGCTGATCTCCGTCACCGAGTACAGCCATCCTAATTAAAAGTTCATAAATCCCACGATCAATAACTGCTCTCCCTACATGTGAAATATCAACCATAGTTTCGTCGCTTGTGGTGTCAGGAGGTCCGAGGAAAACTCTCGTATATCGAGCATTGGCATATATGTCTGTCATCATGTTTACTTGCATACCCTTCTCGTCATCATCCTCTTGATTGATGCATATCGCATCTACCCAGAGTATAACCTCGCTGTTCTCTTCCCGGAAACTTTGTAAAGCGAAATGGAGGTTTTGCGTTACAGCTTTCTGTATCCCATTTACATATATAGACAAAGCATTATCCCATGACCCCCACTGATACGATAGTGCCTCGTATCCATTTTTGCTGGCATCGACCGTGATAGGATAGAGCTCGCAATATATGGGTACTTGGCCTTCAATTTCATCAGCCGTTTCTGGAGCAGAAGCTCGAGGCAGAAGTCGTAAGAGCCGTATCTCTTTTGCCGCGTTGATTGGAGTGTGATATATGCTCATATTTAGAGATGCGTTTGATCAGAGACGACCAAGCTGAAAGTTTGTGCTTGTAAAGATGTTCATATTGAGGTATCAAGCTGAGGTAGTTGTGTTGACGTGCGGCTGAGCTTTCATGTGACGCCGGCATCGAGGCTGCTGCACGTGGACAAAAGAAGCCAGAGTCACTTTCACACAAGGCGGTCTGCTTGGTTTCTCAAAATGGTTATTCTGAGACTTGTATAACCAAGCACTACTTAGCATCCTCGCAGGCACTCATATTCTGCACTTCTTTATGATAGAATTGACATTGCATTCTCATATCGGCCGGAGAGTGTCTAAGAGTCATTATTTTAGCCTCGGGGGTGGTGTTAATATTTCTCTTTTCGCTTATAGTGAGTATATGGGAAGAGTTTCGATCGTTAATACAAAACTTTAGATATTCTCACGCCTTCTGACTATCAACAGTATCTTGATTGGCTAGGCCTACAGGCAGGACATTTCACCTGAACCGGAGTTGCTTGCCAGTTGCTCAACTGGGCAAACGTGATCAAGGGGATAATCGGGAGTTGAGAGTTAAGCCGCTCGAGCAGGATTAGGGATTAGAGAGACAGGATCGGTAAAGGCTTTACAGGAGATAATTCATCGAGTGTGGGAGATCTGGACAAGACATAGAAGATACCACTTTCTTCATGGGGCCCGCTGTCTACAAAATAATTCCAAAACATGAACTTAGCGGAAAGCCAAAGGACGCTGTCTTGCCTGGATAGCTGCTCGAACCTCCATAGTTGCGCCAGCTATCTCGCAAATATGAGAAACCAGTATACCATCGAGATTAGGCAAGTCAACTGAGGCCCCAGCCCTGAGGAGTGTCATTGCGATATCGGAATTCTTCATGTAAAGCGCAAGGTGCAAAGCAGTATTTCCACGCCCATCTCGCAAATCAAGCAACGCTCCTGCGTCCAACAGCAAATTCGTTATCACGAGGGTATTTGCAGTCCTGGTAGAAAGGAAAGAATGGGCCATCAGAGGCGTGACCCTAACCAATTGTCCCGAGAGTTGACGTTTGCTCCCATCCGCAAGAGTAGGTCGACTGCTTTGACGTTGCCTAGGATTGCAGCCCAAGCCAGCACTGTAGATTTCTGAAAACGACCTCCATTCTCGTCTGGTGCTAGAACGGGACGTCCACCCATTCGAGAGCAGTTGTTCATAGAATCAACAAGAGTGACGTGTCCAAGTATATCCACCAGACGATGTGGGTTCACTTGTAAGAGCAACCGCAGAATCTCAAGGCTAGCTTCACCCGCTGTCTCGACTGCACAATGCAGGACGGAAGCTCTTCGTGTTGATTTGCTGAAACCCCAATGTTGTTTCCAATCTAGTGCCAACCCTTGATCGTCCGAGTATTCCTTAACTTCAATCAACCCTTCTGGGTTGTCGCTGGAAGCAAGAATTGCACGGACTGCATCAACATCATTTTTCCATACCGCGTCAAACAAGGTCTGGGCCGAACCGGCGAGCGATTCATGGCCAATGTGGCTGAATTCGGCGACTGGTCTTCTCTTCGTTGCTATACTGGCAAATGCTTGTATCTGTCTGAGCACGCCCTGTGAGCCGACATAGCGACGCGTGGCCGCCGCAATCTCTTTCTTCTTCTTCGACTCCTCGAGGCCGACCTCCTCGAGGCCCCGATCTACATTGAAGCGGTAGTACCGTCCACTGTCGTCAAGATGTGCCTTGTCTCGGCGAAATCTCTCAGCCGTCTGCTCTGTCTCGGTCGCGATAGATACTAGCGTGTCCGTGATATGTAGGACATCGTCCCGAAATGGTTTCAACGAAGGAATACCGGTACCGATCGAGACCAGACATTTGGTCTTGCCTGCGAGCGGTTGCGGCCCCCAGAGCAGCTGGGCCTCGTTCCATACCTCCCACACTGGATTGTTGGCTCCCGCTGCACCATCCACAAACTCTTCTTCATAGGGGCCAATCGCGATCGGGTCGAAGAAAGGAGATGCGGCCGAAGTGGCACGACACGCTTCCCAGATCTTGACGCTGTTGAGAAGGTCCCTACTGCCACGCGGCGACGGGTAGCTCGTAAGACATACGTTTTCGCATGTTTGCTTACTCATTGCACACACGAACCTAGACCAATCAGGTAATTAGATACATAGTTCAAGCAGCTTTTGCAGGTCTTTCACTACCATCACCACCGCTTACACTTTACATGCACTGTCCGATCTGTCTTTCAGTAAGGCGTCTTTGTTGACGCCGCGGTCTACCAGAACATCCTTCACCGCTTGTGCCAGTTCCTCCGAGTCAAACCTGCCTTGAATATTGCCCTTTAGCGTCACACGATGTCCTTTCTTCTGAAAGATTCGGCTGGAGAGCAAAAGGTAAGCGTCGATGCACTCCTTGACACTCATCTGCAACCGGCCGAGCATGATGGCGATCAGCCTAGTCGATGTTGGTTAGCACAAACATCAATGTATGCCACGCTTGCAACCACTTACCCCCCAGTACTAGTTCCTCCGATCATGTCAAAGTAGTCGCACGGCTTTGGAGGATTCTCGGGGTCGATCGTCTCCATGAGCTGCTGCAAGATCATCAGCGCAGACAGACCGCGAACTCCGCCGCCGTCGAGCGCAAGCAGGCGAAGGTCCTTGTCCTGCATCGTTAAGAGGACGTTTTTTCAACGTTCCTTGAATTGTCGAGTCGGTAGACGTAGCGGGCTGTCCACTTGAGATCAAACGAAAGGTTGAAGTTAGAGTAAGGCCGGCGTGTATCGACTCAGCTGTCGTGGTGTAACGGCGGCAACCTAGTCAATCGCGAATGAAAAGCCATAAGTGCTCCTATTCAAATTACACAATCATCAGGACATGATAATTGATCTTAATTCCACGGATCTTGAGAGAAAGACATGCCCGACAGACATGGTTGGTCTTAAGAGAATTGTATTGGTTGCCAACAGCCTTTTTACTCAGGCGTGACAGTACCACTTTCCTGCCAATGCATCAAAGGAAACGCCGGACTGAAAGGTGCAAAGAGGATAGTGGCCTCTATTGGAGGAGATATTGTTAGATTCTGGTCGTTTGAAATTCTGGGAAGCGGCCATAACTTACGAGAGTAACATCTAAAGCTACCTAGGTACAACACAGAGCCCGAAAAGTTCTGGTTTTGTATCGACGACCGGCACTCTTCCCCCATGTCACAAAACGCGAGCTGGTGAGGTTATATTTTAACATTGCCCCCTAGCCGTTCAAAACATTTCTTCGATACTATTCCCTTAGTATGAGAACGTATTGTTAACTCAACCTAAAAGGAGTATTTGGTATGAGTGCCTGTAAACATACTCGGTGAGAGCCATATGAGATGATTCTGGAAACTGAAAGGCTGTAATAATGCTGAAGAAGGTTGCCAATCAATCAGCGTATATGGTGTATAAAAGGAACATATATGGCAGATCACTGACCTCTTAATCAAATGCGATACGCTTCCACAACTGGTGAATTGACATTAGCACTTGCCAATGATCCTGGAGAGACTGACGAACGATTCATTTCTACAAGACTTACAGGAATCTTAACCTTTGGGCTAGCAATTGAGGTATTATAAGGCAAAAATCAGATTTTAGTGAAGTAAAAGTGATATCCTCGACAACAACTCACAAGTAGCTACCTTGGCTATCATTGACTTCGAAGTCGTTGGCCAGGAATAATGCGAATCTACATATACCATCTTCCCCTGGTCGATCGTCGATGTGTTCGGCAGAAGATTCTAAGCTACGCATCCCGCTTCAGTGATGCCAGCAGTATTCGAAGATTCTGATGAACACATAACAAAGATCCTGATTTGAAACGAACACTTTCCGATATGTTCATTATCCGCTTGGTCTATGAGGAATCTATCCGGGTATGGCTTGTTATGAGCAAGACACCTCAAGCTCCAAAAGATCATGGATGCTCGATAGAGATTGACAAAAATGACCAGAGACAATGGTCCGTTGAATTGAGTCGATTTGAACATGGCTGAAAGGTTCCATATTGTAATTGTATGGGTTTCCTCATTTGAGAAACGTTGATGTGATTCATCTTGGGGTGTCTTCTCGAGCTCTAATGAGTCGAGCGCAACCGAAAAGGTTGACTTCCGCTGGAAATATTTTGGAATCCAACCTCATTTTCTGAAAAGATGACGAAATGTCTTTAGAAATACTAGATTCTCTCCTCATTTTCATAACGACACACGTACCAGACTACATATAGCTTAGCGGCTTTGCTTATCTTAGCGTCAAACCTCCGATAGAGAACATCTCAGCCTTATGGCTTCAACCTATCTATCATTCAAACGGACCATGTCCACCTCAGATCCATCATATACTGTGTTTATTCGGCTCCCGTTCCCAAGAGGAGACTTTGTAGATCCTCCCGCTGTAAGAAATTCTCATTCAGTCTTGTTACGTTCCTCTCTTACAAACTAGGTGGAATGGGACGCTTCAAAGGACAAGGCGTTATGGAAGACCCTCAACAAATACTCCAAGAATAGTGATATTGATTGTACGAACCCTTTCATTATATCGGATATTTGCTGACTCACGTGTAGGGAATGAGCTGTTAGTCTGCTTCTAACCTCCTTCATAAATTGAAGCTAACTTGCCGAAGAGCAACCAAATTCGAAGTCTCCCAAGCCTTTCTCCTCCAACAGGCAGCATGGCTCTACGAACAAAAACTGCTGCATGTTCGAGCACAAATGAGAAAAGTTGGAGCTTCGAAAGGCTCTGCGGCACCATCTCCAGTCCCCGGTAGCACATACGAAACGTCTGGCGGAGAGTTGATGGGGAGAACCAATTCCGGTGGAGGAGGTGGGTTACACCAAGCTCTTCTTGGGATGAAGGCTCATATATTAGCAGGTCCGAGAACATCATCAGCTCTGTCGGCTAGGAAGGAAATACCAGTGGCAAGAAATGATGCTATTCCAGGTACTCCGGTGGGGAGGGCAATGGGTATGTCAATCTTCAGATATACGAAGCAGTCACTAATACCGCCAGCACCTCCATTCTCCCGCACATCATCCGCGAATACAACAGTAACGTCACGGAATATGCCTCAAACCTCCCCACGTCTCGCACACGCAACGTTGAATCGACGGTCCCTCTCCCCCAAACCCCCCAGATCCCGACCCGCATCCATCGCCCACGACCCTCCCGCCATATCCCCCCAACCCGACCCCCTCTCATCTCCCTCCTCCGAACCAACATCCTCCTCAGACTCCGAACCCCCCGCTCAAAGCCGTCTCCTCCGCCGTCCCCCACGCTTCACAACCAAACACGGCCAATCCGAAGACGGCGACGGCTCCGACGACGAGCCAGCCTTCACCCAACACCACGATCCGAGCGCCACCCTCCGCGAAGACCCACGAAATACAACGAGACGAAACGTACCTACGCACAAGAAATCCATCGCCACGGTCAATCAATCACAGACATCAGATTCGTCTGCTAGTTCGGCGGCGACGCCCGCGAGAGCACGACCAGATCCTGTTCCGAAGGAGGGAGCACATAGACATAGACTTACGGGGCCGTTGTCACCTCGACGAACTGCGGAGTTGGCGGGGAGAAGTCCTATTTCGAAAGGGAAAGGGAGGGAGGGCAGTGATGGGACGCCGAGTATGGGGAGTAGTTTTAGCGACCTTGATGGTATGTTAACCTCGCTCTCCTCTTCTCCGTACCTATGTTAACCAAGAAATCTATAGATGCATCAGTAACGCAAAGCGCCCTCGAAGAAGCACTAGCTAGTAACATGCAAGCGGGAGGTGGAATGGCATCTCGCATGTCCAGCATAAGCCAGGCGTTGAGAAGTAAATATCTTAATTGAGCTAGGAATGACATATAGGCGTTCGTTCCGGTGGGTTGTGATATCAGCGCTGGGAGGTACATCCTGGATCAACAACTCTTCGCATGTTCTATCTTCCACAAACTTTGCTTAACGTATTTTCAATTTTTCTTAATCCCCCTACAAAAACTTATTCCCTTTTCCCACCAAACTAAACCCATCAGACCCTAAATCCCAGAATTTCATCTCTTAATCTCTCTTTCTCTGTTTATTCCACGTAAATCCGCTCTTAGATAACCCACCAATCACTTCTCCAAAAAATAATCCATCACATCACATATTGTTTCCTCGCACTTGTGTTGACCAAACAGAAAACCTCCCCTCCCAGCAAGCTCTCTCTCATACATAAATACCCCCATCTCCCATTCTACTATTCTGCCCTACATTCCTTCCTTCCTTCCACCATATTCTTCAGTATTTGTTTCATTGTTTCATTGTTAGTAAAGATTGTGAATGCCATTTATCACATTCATATCATAATTCGGGCAGCTTCAAGATATTGTTGTCTCATCCCCCCCCATTCACTAGCGTCACAATCCCATGGAGCAACAGGAATCGCAACAGCATCTAGCGAACGCATCTCTCGCCTCACCAGCCTAGAGTCTCAATGCGGGCTTTCTCCTCCAACGCCCTGACATGCGGTGGTTTACTGGTATCGACCTCGCCCCATGCGCTGGCGGACGCACTGTTCAGACCGTTTTTGGGGAGGGTTTGGCCCCATGCGCCGGCGGCACTGCTGGTGACTTCCCAGGAGTCATCGGCGGCGCCCCAGCTCGTGACGGGATCGTCGGGGTTCTTAACCTCTTGAATAACGAAATCTCCCTCCGCGTTTTCCGTCGTGGTGTTTGCGTTTGTCTCCCAAGCGTTATTGTTGTTGCTCTCACCCCATCCACCCGTCGACTCACCCCACGCATCATTGCCACTACCCTGAGGCCTCTCCTTTCCCCAGCGCGACCAACTGTTGATCTTTTGGCCGTTCCACTTGGAAGGAGGTTTTGCCACACCGTTCGGACTCCAGTCGTGCATGTACTTACATTCCGTGGCGCTGAACTGGCATTTCCCCCCGTTGGCCCAGAAATGGCAGGTGAATTTGTTCGGGGGCACGATGGTCGACTCTACAGGTGTGAAGCCGGCTTTTGAGCCTTGAAGATGTGAGCTCAGACGGACATTATGGCCCGCGGGGAGAGGACTGGCAGGACCGTCGATATCGGCGAGGGCGCCCCATGTAGGTTTGCCCATGCGAAGATTCGCGGGGTCAGCATTCGGGTCAGGGTCGGACCAGGCGTGGAGATCTCTACACTCTTCAGCAGTAAATCGGCAGTCTTTTCCGGGGGTGGCCCAGAACCTGGATGGCATGTTAGGAGATTGTGCGGCCGAGGGGCCGGAGGGAGGATGTGCGTACCAGCAGGTTGCGGTCTTGGGTTCGACCTTCTTGAGTGGCTCAATGATTTTACCGCTTGTCCTGGGTGGCCGGGTTCCTTTCAAAGGGCTGGCTGGGACGTTTCCGTTCTCAAGGAGCTTCTTGACCTAGGAATTTTGTCAATACAGATAACGTCTTTAACATTGGTTAGCTCTTACTCTCTCGTCGACAAGCTTGTCAACATCTTCTCGTGTCATACTGTGAACAACACTATCAGAGTCTTCACTCTTCGTATCTGCAAGCACAGCATATCTTGAGCTAGCTAGACCATTGGCGGCCGGCCTGAACGGAGAAGGAGCAACAGTCCTGGCTCGAGTCGTGACAGGAACCTCATCCCATTCCGAAGCATTGACGCGTTCGAATCCTTCGACCCTACCGGTAGGCTGGGCGACAGCAGAACGCCTTGTATTGTTTGAAGCAGCACTTTGTGCTCCAGAGGGCCGGCGAAAGATAGCCTCATTGAATTGGCCTGATTTCCCTGTCCTCAGATTCTGGCCGTGGTGAAAAGCGCCAGACACGTGCTTCAGGACTTTGATTTGGTCACCTTCCAGAACCTCAATTCGGAGCTGGCCCGGTGCTGCTTCCTGATAGCTTTGGGCAACTAGGATGGTGCCAAGAGCAACATTCAAATGCGGAATTGCAGAGCCTGGATTAAGGGTAGCGACAACGCCGGCGATTGATTTCGACACGGAGGTCTTTATAGGTCTGATGCTGGTAGCTCTTGATGCGGGACGACTTGTAAGTGGTGTAAATCCGCTATTGTTGGGTTGATAGATATCGTTGACGCTTTTTGGCATCCGTCCGTGAGTTCTGATAAAGTCATTGACCATTTGCGTTTTCGGGTCTGTTGCAGGCGCGGTATTGGCCTGTGATCCAATTCCAGAGGCCCAGTTGTGAATTCTGCTGTCTTCGTCAGTCGTAGCGGGAGAAGGATAGTCGTGGTTGGCAGAAGGTTCTTGGTACGTCTCCTCGCCGGTCCAAGGATCGCGTTCAGAGTCATCAGGAGATGGATACGAGTTTTGAACTCGTTTGCTTGACTTTTTCTTATCACCTGCCTTTGTCAAACCAGCATTGAACGCCTTGAGCTCGTCCAATTGTTCCTTGGAATAATATGCAAGACCGCCATTAGCCGGTCGGTTAATTGATTCGCGCTTGACCAGCTCCTCGAATGGTTTCTCCTCAGTCTCTGGTGCTTGAGAAGGTGGCTGTGAGAGACCCGAGGACAAATCGAATGATGACTCTTCAGCTGGCTCTTCTTCAAATCGTTCAGGCTCTTGAGGTGGCTGTGAGAGGTCGGACGATAAATCGAAGGAGTGTTCTTCCGAGTCCAATTTTGCGGGTTCAGACGCAGACGCAGGCTCTTCGTCGGAGGAGATCTCGAGAGATTGAGGAATTGGGGTTTCGAAAGATGTAGTGTCGGCCTGTGTGGGTTTATCGGAGGCGGGAATAGTAGCATCAGTCGAGACATCTGCTGCAAGACTAGCAGAAAGGCTCTGGTCCTTGACGGCATTGTCAATTTCGAGATTGTTTTCGTTCTCTACTTCTTTTTTTGTGTCGACTACAGGATCTTCGATATTGTTCTTCGCAGATAATTCGTTGGTATCTACTAGCTCTGAGTGCAAATCCGGAGTAGGGGTAGCCGCTTTTCCATCATCGAAGCTCATCAATTCGTCTTCTAAAAAGTTGGTGGTCGGAGGGCCGCTGGTAAAAACATATTGTCCCTTGTGAATTAAACCGTCGATCTTGACCCATTCGTCCTCAGTAAAATAGTCTGCTCCGTAAAGCATACTCAGGCCCTGCGAGTAAGGAGGTTAGCATCGAAATTGTGTATGGGTAAAGAGACCGTGGACGAGTCCTACATTCTTCACCTGCTCCAAAGCTCGAGCGGCTTTACCGTTTAACGCCATGGTTAGGATGTTTTATGATGTGATAGATGATCAATTGGCCGTATGTGCCTCGATTAAACCGGAAGACAGACAGGTAAATGTCTCCTGGGAAAAGGAAGATGTTGTATGTCTGCTGGTGGTGGGTGATCGATGCGGAAGCTAGCCGTAGCTAAACTGTGGGAAATCTTAGCGTCAACGCGAAATCCCGCAATTCCCCAGAACCAATGTTTCAATGGAATGAATAAAAATATGCTTCAAGAGGGAATGAATATCAATTTGTAGAATTGTGGCATCCGGGGTAAAAGCTTAAGCCCTTTGCAGGGGTCTCACAATCGAAATTTCCTTTATCTTATCAATAATTCAAAGTCGTTTCACACCGACTTTTTTCAAGCAAAAGACATCCGCTAAACCGCCTTTGAAGCAAATATCAATGCATCGACGCAAGCTGGGAAGCGGGCACCAATGAGTAGACAAGACTATGGCCGTTCAAGCCGTTTTGAATCTCAGACGCGGTCTGGTGGGTTTGGGAGCTGTCAAAGGAACGCGCCGTCCGCACAGACCAGATTCACGCGTTGAGGGGTTTTTTATGTCGTTTGTATGTTTTGTGAATTGCAAACCAACAAGCAAGAAATTTGTCAACTGAATTGAAGATTTTTTGGACAAAAGAAGATTCCAAGAAATCTGCGTGGTATTTGGGAAAAAATATATATCACAAAATTCGGTTGGGTGCGGTTGGGTGTTGTTGTGGCTCAGAAGCACATGATGCATGCAGCACGGCCAACGTGTTGCAGCTTTGGTAAAACTTGTGTCCAATCATGACAATCATGACGCTAGCAAACTAGCAAGTGGCTTCATTACTTTTGCTATTGATGATTGTCTTGAGATTGTTTGAGCTTGCTCCTCCAAGTAAACAACAGACAAAGTATCCTTTAACCTTAACGTCAATTAATGCGGAACGAGAAACCACCCGTGGGGAGAAAAAAAAGGGTAAAAATTCATAATCGAGCTACCTTTAAGATATATTATTGGAATTAATGTTATTATATTCTATAATCAACTCTCAATCGGTATTCGATTTACAATAGCAAAATGTTACGTTATGGCAAGCCAATGGTTGTGCCGTTGACGGCGTCGGGAAGTTTCCCCCTACTCCATCACAACGATTAACTTATTCCTGGCGTTCGGCGCTTTAGCAAGAAACTTAATCCCAAGAAGAGTATATTCCTTAAGTTTCAAGACACAAAGTGAAAGAAAATGGGGTTGCCGAGTTTATCCGGACAGAAGGGTTTCAGCGTAGGTAATAAGATAATTGCAGTCACGCTACTCGTATATACGAATTCCTCAACATTTCCTCTAAGTTAACTGACTTGGGAACCCGAACTTGGAACAATCTTTAAAGCAAGTAAATGATTTTATGTGCTAGAGCTGTGGTTACAATAAGAATCCGTGCCACCCGATCGAACACAGTGTAGACAAAGCCCAATACTGTTGTTCAGCGTGTCCAAGCTCCAACGACGGTTTTCCCTGTACTCTGGCGCAGCATGTTTGTACTTGTAAGTACATGCAATACTTGGCTCCCCAGGTATTGGATCAGGCATCTTTTCTGCTAAGTCTATTGCCTTAGAGAGAGAGAGATGGAGCAAGCGCGCTGGCCAAAGATCCTTCTCTTCGAGCAACTTTAAATATGCATATGCATATTTACTTGTCCATCCACACTTATGAACACAAATCCCAGTCCCGTCATTTATCCCAGCTATGAGTATTTCAGCTAGTTCCAGCCTTGCAAAGCTTCTTTGTCCTTCTAGCAAATCTTTAGATTGGCTTGTTAGTCGCAAGCCCAAAATTAATCAGTAGGCTACTTACAGAATACTCTCCAGGTTATAGCAGATTCAACCTCTTCGCATGAGAGAGCAAGGTAGGGACCATCATGATTGAGTATCAATTGTCTCGTGATCTCTTTAAAAGCTTTTGCGTTCTGGAATAAATATGCCGCGGCAGTAAGAAGCATTAGATCCCCAGGTTCGTTTTTACCGGGCAGAAGCCAATTTCCACTGGCAAATTTCAGAGCATCAACACAATCATACTTGTCCGCTGTGACGGCAACCTCTAGAACGTCGCCTGCAGCAAGGGTTTGAGGCACCTGATTGTTCCGGTGGTGAATGATGGCACAGATGAACTTTAGCGCACTGGCATTGTCTTCGGGTAGTAGTAGCTCCACTGGACCATCCCGACCGAGCATATCATGGCCTTCCTTCCAGTCGGGGCCAAACATAGCGGAGAATGGTTTCGAAGCCGTCTTCAGAAATAGTGAAAAAACCCGAAGCTTCATCTTTTCCGGACCAACAACCAGAATAACGTCGCCATCTGCAGCGATATTGATAACGGAACTTAGCTTGTTGTCGGTCGGATCGTCCATGTTGGTTTCTATAGTAATCCCGTCGATATGGTGCTGAAATTATCTCGCTAGCTGGAACCCACAGGCGTCACGATGAAATTACCATATATTCAAGGTATATCTCTCAGCACGCTATTCCAAAAAAAGTTCGCCACCTCGGCAAGAGTACTGATCTGCGTGGCAAGTTCAGATAAATCTGCATGGTAGAGCCGCCACAAGGCTTGAAAGTTATTTCAGGGCATAGTATTTGATATATATTACTCAGGCAATACGCTATATAAAAAGTAGAAGTGAGAGAAGCACTAGGGTCGAGCTTTAGGAAAGGAACTATATTATATCCTTCAAGCGAAGGCATGCTATAAATCAAGCTAAAGAAAAGCTTGTAGCAAAAAAAATCTTAGTTAAGGGGCTCAATATGATTAGAATTAACTATAGAACATAGCTAGTACAAAAAATGTAGGGGTCGCCTCTTTTATTCAGGATTCTTTTCGTTTTGAGTAAAGTACACACAAAATTTCTCGGCACGGGTGATTTCTCGTTACGCATGGATGGACGTTACACTACTTTTGTGAAGTTTCCTGATGCCAACAATGGGTACTCTGTGTCGAAAGAAAGAAACAAACAACGGAAGGCTAAGATTTTTTTGCGTCAAATTCTGTAACAAAGAGGTTTTTATGAGGTAGATACGTATCGCTTGGCACTTCCAAGTTGTACGCAAGATAGAACAGAAGAGAGGGTTTGGGCATCAAGGCAATGCTGGAAATAACTTCCTGGATATAGGGTGAGTATATCTGAGCAATAGAAACCGAGCAACAGCTTGCATATCTTCATTTACATGTTGGGATACTCAGTCTGCTACTCTTGAGACCCAGATCAGTCTTGAAGCCCATATTGTGTTCCGTAATGATTGATGTTGAGTGAAATCAGTGGATCATAAATTCCGCACACCAGCTCGGTCGTAAAGAAGCTTACAGACAGTAGTTCTGAGGCTATTTGGATATTAAACATTGGTGGCGTATCACTTCGAATTAAGTAGGCAGATATGTATCGCAATAGCCAGATATTTAATTGCGTTGGTTGTTGTCACGAGAAAGACAAAAAGAGACGTCGTGAGGAGGTTTATGCAAATGTTTATGAAAGTTGTGCATACATTGTGAAGATTTCCTCACAGATCACGCTTGTAGGAACGACCACCAGCGTAACATCAGCCATCCAGTAATACCCCGCCAGTATCTCAGCCTTACTGCACAATCTTAGTCAATATCTCCCGTTGATATTCATCTCCACGGTTCGAATTGCCCTTTATATCGTTCAAGAACAATCCAGCTCTGCTTCTCGATACCCCTCATCAACAATCTTTTGCATCGCAGACCAAGCGATTATCGACGAGCAAGAAATGATGCTCAGACATGCCTTCGCCCCAGCCGCCGAAGCGTAAAGAGAGACCCTGCGATGCTTGTGTGAGTGATCAACCCAATTACTCTCGTATATCCACATCAAAATTCTCCCTATTCTGAACCTATGTACATCAAATGTTTCTGGAATTGTAATTCCACAACAGTTTGACGATCACCAGCTATCTCGTTCCTTGAGAACACCATCTCGAGTGCGATAGAAGGAACTATACTAACTGAGCTGAACAGAGAAAGAGGAAGAGCAGATGCGTCCTCGAAGACGATTCTCCAATATGTGTATTGTGTAGATTTCACAACCAGGAATGCACCTTTCTACACAATCCGCAATCCCGCAAGAGGAAAGCTCCTCCAGCGGATGCGATAAATGACAATCATGCAAATGAAGCCGAAAGCCATCACTCACGAAGACGGTGTGTCATGCACCACAGATCCTGTCACGTTCATTGCTTATGTAAAGACAGTCTTTCTAGTGCTTCAAATATCTCAAGAAAGTCGACCGTGGTGCAAAGTCGTATGATTAGAACGACGAACGGCACCGGTGTTGAGGAGTATGCGGACCTCGATGGGTCAATGCCGAGTCTTCTCAAAAGGACCTTGGGCCTACAGAATAACCATCACAGTCAATATATCGGAGCCACGAGAGGACTTGAACCTTCCCTACTCGGCCGACCTTCCGATGTACAGATACAGATTCAACTTGCCGAGGGAACTTTGCGACGGATGAGCTCCACAGAAGCTTTTGTCCTTCTTCCAGATTCTGGGACCCAAGGATATGCAGAGGAGCTTTCAGATCTTGATTCCATCGAGGAAATCGTGTCACCTCATGGTAGAGCCCTGGTTGATCTCTACTTCCGCATAGTCTTTCCTAGCTTCCCAATTCTACACAAGGGAGTATATCTCGAAAAGTACAATCGATCCTTTCGCGAGTTCTCCCCGCCACTGCTAGCCGCTGTTTACCTTCTGGCGTCACATTATTGGACATACGATGATGCGCTCAGCAAGCAGACGAAGCCAGACTTTAAAAGTCTCGAAAAGCTGGCAAGGAAGGCCCTAAGCGACACAATACATCGACCAAAACTTTCTACTGTCCAAGCAGGGCTTCTCCTCCTACAACACACCGATACTGATTCAGCAGAGCTTACCGCCCAGCTAGTCAGTGTCGCCTATGGGCTCGGTCTTCATCTCGATGCATCCGAGTGGGAAATACCCGCATGGGAGAAAGGCCTTCGAAAACGTCTGGGTTGGGGACTTTTCATGCAGTCCTACTGGACCTCTCTTGGAAGCGGGAGACCACCATTTATACATACTTCAAACTGGGGCCTACAGCCAGTCACTGATAGCGACTTTCCTGAGAATGCTTCCCACGAGGACGATCAGGAAGGTAGCTCAGAAGTTGAAAAGGGCAGAATTCTTTTCACCCACATGATCAGCTTATCTGAGATTCTTGCAGAGTTATTGGAGACTGTCTTTGGCGTCAAGGCCATGCGAGAGATTTCCTCTGCGGGAGTCAACGAGTTGGCTTTAGTTCTTGAGAAGGTTAAGCCTGTTCAAATTAAACTGAAAGAGTGGTTCTCTAGTCTCCCAGACTGCCTGTCAATGGAGTCAACTCATATTTTGAAGCTCAACGCTGTCGGTTACTTAAGGCTTGCTTATGTTGCGACTGAAATTACTCTACATCGGCGCATCATTCTTGCTCTCAGTCCTACCACTGATCCTCGACTTCAACAAATTTGTCGCTCGGTAGCGCATGAGAGGTTCATGTTTGCGATCGATTTTGTACAGTCTCTGAAACCTCAACACCTCTCATCCTTCTGGTACTTTGCGTCGCCTCAGAACTTCGCACTAATTGGAGTGTTTGGCACACTGTTACTATCTACGGCACCAAATACTGAGGAAGCTGATTTCTACAGATCGAAACTCAGAGAATATCGATGGATATTGAAGATCAACAGCGAAAATGGTGCTCGATATATGAAACCAGCTATGGCTCTCCTCGATGCAAACATGGCGCTGCTGACTGCCGCGGAAACTCACAATGGGACTAATAAATCTCACATGGCCTCCAAGCAAGCAGTTCCAGCGGCATCTTCTTCCTCGACTGCGCTCACAAATAGCGGATTTACACCTATCGATCGGTATACTATGGACGAACAATACTACTCATCTACCGGCGGAGTTGATTTATCGGTTTCTCCTGCAGTATATTCTCCAACATCCGTGTCGCAGGCTCAGGACTATGGATATGAAGTTGACGGCAGAAGCATGTGGGCGTTTTGACCGATTTAGAACTGAGTGCTTCATTGCATTCCCTTAAATATTTTATGGCCATGAGCCTGAATCTCGAAATCTTGCGGAATGAGATTGAGGTCACTTTTTCGCTCTCAGTCTATGCTGTCAACCATAGAAGTGACTTTACACCACTTTGGATGCGGTCCTATTATAGAGTATTCCGCAGAACAGAGTTTCACGAGCTGAGCGAGATCATGACCACCTCCAACTTATCAAGCGGAGCAGCTGCAACGCCTCGATATTTTCAATGCCTCTCAGATGCACTGTGCGTCAGAAAAGGAGTGCACTTCGTAGAAGGCTCTAATCCCATACGCGGGCGTCAAATTTCAATCCTCCTCATCACGCGACCGCCAAGCTATCACACATAAATTGTTGCATCTCGCAGATCTAATCTACTGCCGTCTCAGATACCCGACGGACGCAACATCCCTTCATAATTTTCCGAATGGAACGGTGAGTAAGCGCCATGCAATGGATTGGTCCCAAAGAGGAAAGTCGTAAATCCCCGCAATATGTACCATGGAACTGGATGACTGGGATGTTGTTAGGGTTTATGGGCGCTTAGAGGTGTGATATTTGGGATTGGGATATGGTGGGGATTATGGGAGTTTGTGAGGGAGTCGAGTTTGAAATGGTCATGCATTTTGGTCAATTGGAACCATGTCAATGAGGATTTCAATCTCTTTCAAGACCGAAATAGCAGCATGCCAGATTCGCAGTGAGCTGCTGAATCGATTGGAATTTTTATACTACAAAACTGCTTTTCGACTTTGAGCTCTCAACGAGACCTGATTCGGATCGAAACCCATTATCGGCGAGCCGAGTAAACGCTCGGAGACTGATAACCAGACTGACGTGTTATGGACGACGAATCACCAAATTCATTTCAATAAGAGGGTCAAGAGATTTCAACGAAAAACACAACCAGCGATAACAAAATTTGACATAGCATATGCAAAGCCCGGTATCTCAAACGCCAGATCATGCAAATGCCCACGGTCCTACAATCAAACAATTCAAATATCTCACGCTTTACTCTCTCCAGAAATGCCCTCCTCAAAAACAGCAGCAATATCCAACACCCTCCCATCATACCCACTTCCTCCCAAAAACGTCACCCCAAACGGCAGCTTCTCCCCTGTCCACCCCGCATTCACGCTCACACCACACAAATCAACCACATTCCCCGCATGCGTAAACGTGCCCATCTTCGCATTCAAACTCAACGGCTCCGCCTCCATCTCCGCAATCGTCGGATGACACGGCGTGCTCGGCACGAGCAGCACGTCGATCCCGCCTTCGAGCGTGTCGAATGTGCGTTGGGCCGCCATGGTGTATTGTCTTTGCAGGTCTTGGTCGTGGAAGACTTGCCAGGGTTTGAGGTCTGTGGTGAGGGCGGATGCGAAGAGGGATTGTGTTGTTGGGTGCAGCGAGGTGAGGTGTGTGGTTAGGAAGGAGTGGCCGATGCTGGAGAGGCGTTCGTGGACTAGGGAGGCGTTGTAGAGGAGGCCGGAGGCCTGGGCGAAGGGCGTGTAGTCTATTTCGACGAGGCGGCCGCCGAGGGAACGCAGTTTTTCTACGGTGCCGGCGAAGAGGGTTGCGTATTCCTCTGTACACGCTGAGAGTTCTGACGGCGGCGGGATGGCGAATGTGAACCCCCCATTTCTAGCACCGCGATAATCACTTTTCCACAAATTCAACGACAGCGGCGGTTTAGCATACGGATCCAACGCGTCGTGCACGTCGAGGATATACCACACGCTCCTCGCTTCCGCCAGCGTCGGCGCCATAATTGACAGCGTATCGAGGGATTTACACGCCGGCACGACGCCACGCGCGGAAATCGTGCCTTTGGTCGGTTTGAATCCCACGATACCGTTTAGTGCCGCAGGAACACGACCGCTGCCCGCGGTGTCGGTGCCGAGGGTGAAGGAGACGAGGCCGGCTGCCACTGCTACGGCCGAGCCAGACGAGGAGCCACCGGAGATGTGGGATGTGCTGTAGACGCTGTGGGGAGTACCGTAGGGGGAGCGGCAGCCTGAGAGGCCGGTGGCGAGCTGGTCCATGTTGAGTTTGCCGATGTAGAGGGCGCCGGCGTCGAGGAGGTGTTGGACTGCTGGGGCGGTAGAGGTGGGTGTGTAAGCGAATTGAGGGCAGGTTGCTGTTGTGGGGATGCCGGAGACGTCGATGTTGTCTTTTAGTGCGAAGGGAATGCCATAGAGTGGTGGGAGTGGTTTGCCGGCGTATTTTGCGGAGAGGGCTTTTGCTGCTAAGAGAACTTGCTCTTTTGGTTGGATTGAGATCCAGACTGCTGGGTCGATTGCTTTGTATTTTTCGATGCGTTCGAATACTGAGGTTACGGTTGTCTCGGGGTCAAATAGACCACTTTTGTAACCTTTTTGAAGTTCGGAAATTGAAGGCAATATATCCTCTGTTGCAGGTGGTGTAGTTGGTGGTGTAAGCGTGTTAGCTTTTGATGCCGCCGCAAGAAAATCCGTACTATCGCCAATATACCCGAATAATCCATCTTGACCACAGATGATATCCATAGAAGTAGTAACCATCTGCTGATCAAACCCACCCGTACAATCAGACAGAATACAGCACTCAAACCCCCGATCATTACACTCCCTCAACGTCGTAGTAACACAACACCTTCAAAAGTCAGCAAACGAACTCAACCCCCCAATCTCAAAAAACTTACTCCGTCGTAACCCCCGCAAACAAAATATGCGTAATCCCCCTCGCAAGCAACACCCGATGCAACCCCGTCCCCCAAAAACTCCCCTTGCCTGGTTTATCAATCACCGGCTCCCCAGGTAACTGTCTTAGCTCGTCAATAATCTCATGCCCGTACTCCCCGCGCACCAATAACCGGCCCATGGGTCCCTGATCCCCAATCCCCATGCTATGATGCCCATTCGGCGCGTTCACCTGCCGCACTTTCTTGGACTGCGGGAGGTCTGACAGGTCCGGGCGATGGCCTTCGCGGGTATGTATCACTTGCATCCCGAGAGACCGCGAGACCTCAAGGACGCGCTGTAGTGTAGGCACGATTTTGCGCACCGCTGAGAAGATCTCGGGGTTGCCGCATTGGATGGAGCCGAAGCCTGAGGGGTCGACAAAGTCGCGTTGCATGTCGATGAGGAGGAGGGCGGTGGTTGAGGGGGGGAAGGTGTAGGTGTAGGGGCGGGCGGTGGGGAGGGATAGTGAGGAGGCCATTTTTGTTGGTGGAAGGTTGGGAATGAGAGGATTTGAGATCGTAAGAGTGTTTTGAAGTGTGCAATTGCTGGTATATGAGCTGCGTTGACTGACTTTCTCCTGTCGTGGTAGGATGGATCTTCAACTACAACCAAAATATATAAAGCTTGATATGAAACGATCGCAAGTCACCACCTTTCAAACACAGAAAAAAACGATTATAAATAGGAAAAGACGCGATGATAGACGAGAAATCCCAAATATACTCACCCCAAAGGCCCGTCGCCAGCCAGACGGGCCGACATCAACAAAGCTATCACCACCGTCGGCGGAGGGGTTGTGAGGGCGTAGGCCGCCGGCAGTGGGGTGCTGGATTAAGCGAGATAGGCATGATAAGGGGGAGTGGGATATAAGAGGTTGGGTTTGAGATTTGCTTTTTGTGCACTTTTGAGGGCAGGGGCGCAAGTCTGAGAGGTGTGATGGCTGGTTTCCCTTTGCTTGGAATTCTTCTGGTTTGTATATGAAGTGCTCTCATTTCGATCCATACATTATTGTTTTGAAGTTCTTGGGTACAGTGGAGACGGGAGTGGTCTGCTCGCTTATTTTATAATGTGGGGGACATTTGAGAACATTGAACATTTGAGCACGTTGTAAATTTGAGGGGCAGTCAACCCTCTTCTTGATTTTTTAATACACATCTTCTCACAGATGTATTAACTGTTCTTATATCGAGACAAATCCTCTTCATGTTTGATCTACATTGTCCACTGCTTTGCATCAATTCTTTATGAGTGTGTAACTTCATGATCTTCGGGCCTAAAACGGCGTTTGAAGGTCGATCCTGACATGTTTTCTGTGAAGGAAGACCTTCTCAAGTTCTGGAATGAGTGTCAAAAGGTCAATACCCAGTCTCTGAATTGGGAAATTCCCGAAACCCCCTCAGAGAATGAACGTTTAGAGCTTACCGATCACGTTGACGGCCCTTTGACCTTGTGTCACTCGCTCATCCAATTGGAAATTATTTCCAGCCACAGAGTCGTTTTCTGGCTCTTTCCGACCTCTCATACCGCTGGCTTGGAACGCCCATGCAGTTTCCCTCACATGAACGACCCGTGGTTGGACGGTCATAACTTTCTCTCTAGACTTGGACCTCTTGATCTGGGGAAGAGGGTCCAGAGTGCCGATGGCATCTGGGATAAGTGCGTCGCCTACGGCCAGCGGCGGCGAATGACCCTTATCACCCACCATAACACCGCGTTTCTTGGGAACGGAGCCCTAAATCTATCGCAATCGCTGATACACATCTGGAAATCAACATCACCGTCATGACAAGTGATAGCGAAAGAAATTCCAAGAGGGTTGGTGCGGAAAGTGCATATAATGAGCTCTATTCCTCAATGGAATTCCGTTCATCAGCATCGGCAAAAAAGAAGACGATATTAACAGATTGACACCAGCTTGTTACACAATCAGAATCGATATGGCTAACGTATTTCGCCATCGTGTGACTGCGATCAAGGATGGCGCAATTGAGAAGAGGAAGCTTTCTGGATGGATCATTCCAAAGGAAAAGTCCAGTTTTGGGGACGAAGATGCCTGGTAGAATCTCTACATCTTCTTTCATTTCGACCCTTCTAATCATTCTCAAGGACCAATATTGACACAGATGTCACGCCTCTCGAACGCCGAACATGGACTGCCTGGACCATGGGCGGTTATTGGTTCTCGGATGCATTGAATGCTCAAAGTTGGATGGCACCGGCAAGTATTATTGCTGTTGGGCTCACCTGGTAAACAAGTCGTCAAAAACTGCGAAATTCATATCACTGACATCTCTAGGCGGGAGTCGATCGTCTGCATCATCTTCGGTAGCTTGGTCTGCACAGTACCTCTTGTTCTCAACGGTGCTATTGGACAGCGTCTTCATGTTCCATTCCCCGTAGCACTCAAATCTGGATTTGGATGGCATTTTGCTCGATTTGCAGTTGTTGTCCGAATGATTACTGCTCTCTTCTGGCATGCTATTCAAACTTATACTGGATCTACTGCTATGACCCAATGTATCCGTGCCATCTGGCCATCTTACCTCGACATTCCGAACCATATTCCTGAATCTGTTGGTATCACCACGCAGCAGATGGTGTCCCACTTCATTTTCTGGTCTATTCAATTTCCGATTTTGTTGACTCCACCTCATAAACTGATGTGGTTCTTCATCTTCAAAGCTTGTAAGTTCTACTCTTCTTTTGTACTCGGTCATGCGACTAACATCTTCAGTCGTGGTGACTGTTACTTGTGTTGGAGTTGTTATTGCCATGACCCAAAAGGCCGGCGGCTCAGGCGATATCTGGAACCAGAAATACGAAGTGTTTGGTGCCAAACGCTCATGGCTCATTCTGTCAAGCTTGTCATCCATCACTGGAGGATGGGCTACTATGGCTACAAATATCCCTGATTTCACCGTAAGTCTAATCTCAGCAAGACACCTTACTGATCATTGCTGACCATGACTCCGCTAGCGATACATTGGTGACAAACACAAGAACGCAATCTACTACCAAGTCGCATTTCTTCCACTGATCCAACTTGTTCTCGGACTCTTCGGTATCATTTCCTGCTCAGCGGCAAAAGTCGTGTATGGAGAATATATCTGGGATCCCCTCACCCTAGCCTCTCACTGGGACGGACCAGGTGGTAGAGCAGGTGCCTTCTTTGTCGGCTTTTCCTGGGTCGTTGCTCAAATCGGTACCAATCTTTCAGCCAACGTCATCTCTTTCGCCAACGATCTCACCTCCTTATTTCCTAAATACTGCAACATTCGTCGTGGAGTTATCGTCGGAACGATCATTGCATCTTGGATCATGGTGCCATGGAAGATCATTCACTCCGCTGCCTCTCTCCTGAGCTTTATGAGCGGTCTCGGAATTTTCCTCGCTCCTATTGCAGCTATCTTGGCGTCCGACTTCTGGGTTGTCAAGAAACAACATGTTGATGTACCAGCATTGTACCGACGACATGGACGTTATCGCTACAACGCTGCTGGTACTAATTGGCGCGCTGTTGTTGCGTTTCTTATCTCGATCGTTCCAAATCTCCCCGGTATGGCAGCTCAAGTCAACAGTGACCTCAAAGTTGGTGGTGCGCAATACATCTACAATATGTTCTACCTTTATGGGTTCACTAGCGCTTTCGTAGTCTATGCTGCGCTCAGTCACTTCTTCCCTGCGACCGAAACTCTTATTCCAGAGACCATCACCGAGGAGATCGAGATCATTGGCGGTGTTGAATACAGAAATGATGGATTGAGTACTCCTGTCGAGGCAGGTGGCTCTACTGGTAGCCATGATGGAGACGAGAAAGCCGTCATGACCAGCGCTGATTACAAAGTTTAAATTTGATCACTGATTTTAATTGGAACCACAGGGTTGCCAGAGGAGCAAGGTGTTTTTGGAGAACTATGGTCGATACCTTTCTGTTATTATTTGCGAATTGGACCAAGGATGTGGTTAGGTTACTGCTTATTTTCTGTTGATCTCAATATAATATACGCTCTTTTACGAAGATTCTTCTTTTGTTCCATCTCCCACTCAAAACTCAGCCTCTTCCTCCATTTCTCTTGCGAGATTTGTTCTTCTTTTCCATTATTTTCGGCTTCTAAGCGAGATGAAAAAGTATCGAGGTGTATTTCTCAATGCACTCGGGTGTGATTCCAAACCTGTTTATTCTGCGACGAACAACGAGCTGGCAAGGTCCTCATTGTCTTTTTCTCGGCTGTGGATGGCAATTCACAGGAACTCGTAGCAACACTTGTCTGCAGCGAGAAGCTGTTGAGCAAACAGACCCTCTGAATATGTCCGTCCTCGTACATTTCTCGCTTAGAGTCCTACCGAACGAGCAGTTTCCCCTATTTGCATCACTGCCACTTCAGTCCGTGCAATTGTTCGAAGAGCACCCCGCAATCTCATGTGAACATCTCAGTGGTCTCATGCGAAAATCGTAAAGACATCTCGCTTACCAACAAAGCTTCTGGATGCATCTTCCAAAATCTCATTACGCCGAACAGTTCTGCAATAGGAAACTGTCGAAAAAGCAAGCCGTCGTATGTAGAAATTAGCGTAAATACACAATAAATATTCCCGCGCTAATTGCCTGAGCCGAGACGAGCAATCTAACGGATCTCCCGGCCGAAATCATAGAGTAACCTTTTCTCCTTATCCGTCGCCATGATCCTTGACCGGGCTCCGAGCGCTCCCCACAGTCTAAACATCTTTATTCCCGGTTGCCCGCAGACTTGGACTTGGGTCGTGATACTTGATCTCGCAAGAGCTCATGCTTGAGGTTGTGTTCAACCTTGAGGGTTGTTGGAATCGTCTAGGAGGGCTTTATAACATTGTTGGGCGTTAGTTTCAAATACACCGCTGTTCAGCAACTGGCTTTTTATCGCTCTAAATACTGCTGCCTAATTAACCCCATTATTGATACTGGTCGAATACAAATACCTTGCGTTGGATCGAGACAACCCCACATCGTTTCTTGTGATCTCACCAATAATGGCGCTCTGAGATCGCGAGTGTCTCTTCATCGTCACTTTTCTCGGTTAGCGCAGTGATCACACAGGATACGCTCCCTGCAATACTTCGGCACCTGTTTAATAGGATCTACAGTCGCTAGGTTCTTGTAACATTAAGCGCGAATCAGATTGGGGTTTCTAGAGACAACAGTCCACTTGCATCCACATATTGTATAGGGAATGAATGGAAAAGTGGAAGGTCGAACCATTTGGAGTGGCTGTGATTTGAGATAAATAGTGAAATGATAGCGTGGCATGGAGTCTGGCATTGCGGTGTAGCCAAAGTGGTGTTTGATGCACACCAAGAATGCTCTGAAGATTAATAGACGGACTAATTATGCCATTTCAGCGTAGTTGCTTTGTGAAACCATTTTGTTTCTCCTGAGATTTAGCGTCAGGATCTCAAAGTGCGTGTAAGCGAGCTCCGAGGTGTGATTTCGAATTTCTTTACTTTCGCTGAGAAGTTTGAAGGACTAATTAGATGTGTGTTAGTACTGAGTACACTTTTATATTGAATGACAATGACGAATAGCCTCTACCTCTATCCGGACGTGTATTCTTCAGTCACATGCTTAATTTCGAAAGAGCAGGATTACCCCTCGAACCCTAGCCTAGTCCCGTCGGTGCACCTCAACGTATCGGGCAACTCGTCCAGATCAAGTCCCAGAAATTATGCCCCACACTTCGGTACAAGAAACCCCCACCGCCAGGCGCCATGACTTCCAAGGGACGTGACGACCAAACTGTCCAGCAAACAGCTGTTGAGACTCCATCCTTTGAAGAAAGGAAGTAATCCTCTACAACACCTCACGGAGTTGTCGTCCACAGTTGCCAAGACCTTCATGCTCTCAATGTCGACTGGCAGAGGCCACTACTTCAATGATAGAGGATTCCAAACCCATTGTTGGCCTTCGGCGCACACATAGAAAATCTCGGACGGGGTGTAAAACTTGTAGAGAAAGACACATTCGATGTGACGAGGAGACACCGGTCTGGTAAGCGATGTCTAGTTGGATTAAGGGTATGGAGAAGCTAATGTGGATAGTCGCAATTGTGAGAAGAGCGGGCGACGATGTCTTTATGGTGAGTCTTGCAGAAGCATCGTGAAATGGCAGACGTTGATCATCAAAAGTTACCAAAACCAAGGAAGAAGCGCCCGATAATGCACCACCAGTCAGTCTTGTGTACAGTTTTCCGGAACTGCAAGCGACGAAACTACCGCCACAAGAGATATTTTTCCTCCAATATCTCACGACTTTCAGCCGGGAATTTCAGTTTCTCGACAACAAATATTCTGCTTGGATGCGCAAAATCCCGACGTAAGTTGTTAAAGCGCATCTGAGACTTCAAACATGCTAATTTCGTTATCAGACTTGTTGGCGAGCATAGATTTGTCCTGGATGCTACTTTGGGGCTGTCTGCGGCTCATCATAGTCTGGCAAAATCGGAACCAGACTCAGCTCAGCTTGCGTTGTATTATCGAGGACGTGGTTTGAAAGGACTCCAAGATGCCTTGGGCAACTTTTCAGAAAGTAATGCTGATGCTGTACTTGCTGCCTCGATTCTTTTGACTTGGTACATGTGTGACTGGTAGGTGATTTACATTTGAATCCGGACTGTTTCCACTAAACGTTTGAAAGGAAAGAATGGTCTTCCCTGACCCACGGAATCCGAGCAATACAAACGACCATGCAACCATACGCTGAGCGATCTGCATTCCTCGCTCTAATTGAAGAACAAGCCATCATCCCAGAAGAGCTTCTACCTGCACCTTCAACTACTACCGAGTCCTTACCACCGGGACCATGCGACATAGCAGCATTGGACGAGCTTCTTGAAAGACTTGAACACGTTCAAATTTATTTATCCCAGTACCCTGATGAGGCTGAGATAAAGCTCATACGTCAGATTATCGATTTTGCAAAAATGTTGAAGAGTAAGATTCCTATGACATCTACGCACGATCAATTCGAATCATCCAGGATGTTACGGGTCGCTTTAGTGCAAGTTCCTACCACCATGCTCCAACGAATCCGAAGGAATCCGAGGACGATAGTGGTTGTATGCTATTTCTATGCTACTGCACTTGCAGTTGCGCCATTATTTCCCGCAATGGGTGCCATGGTAAATAAACTTTCCTACATCTCCTTTCTGTGCTGATAATTTAGTTCTTCGGGCATCTAGCTCTGGCGCCAATCACTGGACTTGCGCGATATATGGAAGATCAAAGAAATGACCCAGTTGCAGCAAGAAAATACAATTGGGATGAAGCAGCTGGATATATGGCTTACGCTATGGAGACCGTAAAACGATTTCGGACACGGCTGGGTTGGTCGACACCCCCGTCACCTCTTTCGCCGACATCTTATACTACCCCGTCGCCGTCGACCGCTGGCTCTTATGCCTCTCCATTTCCGCATGAACATCCACCCGGTTGAACTCCGACAACCTCAGCTGTATCGACCGCTTCCACTATCGAAACCTCGCGGTTCGGCAATCTATGGAAGATACTTGTTGCTAAGAAGAATTATAGTAATTCAATTGATCGAAGTTGCAACAAATCTAACGGTGCTTGAATCGTGTACAGATGAGAGGGTCATGGCTGTTATCGACTACCAACAGCTTCTTGTGTTAAGACAATTGGCCGCACGCCTCGAAAATACTTGCACGCTGTACATGAGCTCACACAAGCATCACATGCGTTGCGCACGCTGAAGGCCGATCACCCCAGAGAGATATTCTCAGAGCCATTGTAAACGACGATGCCAAACCGAAATCTCGCGACCCCCCAAAAAATGTCAAAAAAAATAACCTCGGAAGTCCCACAACACCACAACCTCCATCAACCACGCCCACAAGACCCTACCAAAGACGAAAAAAGAAAACTTCAAAAGATCACTATGCCCGTAGGCCCCCAGTGTCTAAACAGGAGTTGCGGTAGCGACCCGCTCCCCCCATTTACTTTTCAGGGTATTTCTTTCTGTCTTTCTGTCTTGCTAGCTTTACATGTTTAACGACGGGAAAGCTACAAATCAGTCCGGCGGAACCTCGATTTGATTGGTGAAAGAAATATGCGTATTTGGGAATATAAAGGGTTGAAAGGTGAATTGGATTTGTTTGTGGGGCGGGTGTTGGCGAGGGTATTAGGACTCGTTGCCAGGTTATTCTTGGCGGTGTATGATCTTTTGAGAGTTGGACCTCTGGTTTCTGAGGGTGGACGTCTGGGGGGAAGTCTGGGGGGTCTTGTTCTTCTGGTTCAAAGGAATGGAATACATCACTCCTCAAGTCCTCAGTCAAGATTGGGCTTCGGATTTTCAACAGGCAGATCTGACAACCGGAGGGACGAAGTGATTATAAGACACAGCACAGGACATCGGCTTAACCTGATAATACCCAAGATTTGTTCAATTCCTTGCGGTTATACCACGAAACTGCTCACGGTATCCAGTCCGGCCTGGGTACACCATGATTCGGACATTGGAGCGTTGATTGGGGCTGATTAAAAACTATCAAGCATCCAAGTCAATTGGGACCACAAGACACCAAATCGACCGCCGGTTGGATCATGTCATGTCAACATGGAGGGTCGCTGAAAGACCGATCATCCAAGCCAAAATTAAAAGATTAGACGTCAGTGATGCGGGACGGGCCTCTTTGATGGAATGACAAAATATCCAAAACGATGCCCTTGTTATCATGAGTCTTTTATAGTGAGATAATAATTGACCAAAACTAAAGTTCTTGCGCGAATTCACTTTTCCATAGCCAAGGCGTGGAAAGAATTAACGAATATACAACAAATCTCAGCTGAATTCACCTTCTCGACGGAGACATCCGCGAGATGACCATTTATCTACCAGCGAGGTTATTCACACCACAACACCCTCCTATACCCTCCTCAAAAGGAAGGGCATAAAAGGCTTTCCCCTTCCCAAAGCTCGTGTCAAATAACAAGTATTTACCACTCCTTTACAAATACAAGTCAAACCACCACAACCATCTCACCACACCACCAGCCAAACACCCTCAAAATGCATCTCCACCTCCTCACCCTCCTCTTCACCACCACCACCCTCGCCCACACCACCCTCTCCCGCCCCTGTCCCACCTACGGCGGCGACCCAGCCCTCTGCAGCAACGGCATCTCCATCCTCCCCATCATCGCCCACGAAACACTTGGTAAACCATGTCCAACGTACGGAGGCAACCCGGCGCTATGTAAAGATGGGACGTCGATTTCTGAAGAGCCGTGTCCGTCGGTGCATGCGAGGAGTTCGGAGGCTATGCCGCCGGCGCGAACCACGCCGGCGCTTTCGTCGGGCACGAATCCGAAGATGACGATTCAGACTAGCTGGGCGACTGTTGAGCGGACCGTGTCTCGTCCTTGTGTGCCGTGTGCTACAGAGAGCGCGGGGACATGTACGGAAAGCCAGTCGGCTTCGAGTTCATCTGGGACGCCGCCAAAACCATCATCAGGAACGGCAACTACTGCAAAATCTTCATCTGCTCAAGGTTCAGCGACGGCAACTTCGCCAAAGACATCATCAGGTTCAGCGACGACTTCAGTCGCAGCGACATTGACGAAAAATCCTAATACAACAGTAACGTCCATGACGGTCATCACACCTGCCCCATCAGCTTCCCCAGCTTCGAGCAGGACCACCAGTGCCGCAGCATCCTCGACTGCCGTGCAAGCGAACGTCGCTGCCCAACCAGCCGTTGGCCGAATAGGTTTCTTGATCGGAGGTTTAGTGGGAGTTTGGGCTATTCTTTAATCGGAGGACATGATATGGTAAAGGAAATACGTTTAGATGGGTCTCTAATCTATGAATGGCTACGAGAACATGAGCGAAATAATAGGGGAAGCAGGATTTTCCAAAGCAGACTTGCAGCGGGGTTATGTAGTTATCTGACTCATTGAAAATTACGTTGTTTTCTTCCCCCTTGCGTTCGTTGGTTCAGTGATGTGTTGTGGTCGCGGTAAGGTATCGGTAGTATAGCGGTAGAGGAATGAGTTCAGATGGATTATGTGATGGACTCTTGTCGTTCGAGGTGACGGTGTTGGGGGGTGATAAGTCTAAATTAGGACGAGAAAACCAGACGTGCAGCGGGCTTCTGTATTTTATCTCTCTGATCGATGATATGTGCGCTTCTTTCCTTGGGTTATGCGTGTGTTTATGTCTGAGCTATTAAGGTGAGTGCTATGGCTACGGTGGGAGAGAGTGAGACGCAGCGACAGCCTATGTAGTGCGAATTTGAAAAAAAAAAAAAACGTTAGGTTTAGACTTATAACCTATCATCCTCCCTGCTCCAGGGGTTGAAAGGGAGAAGGAAATATGAAATGTCCAACGCGATTACTCCACCCCAAAATCCCAGTTACGCTTCTGCTCTATTTCCATACAGCAAATATCCACTCCTATCATTACGCTATGCTTATGTTTTTGAAGTGTTGAAGTATCATCACAGCCGCGAAATATATACCAGGGTGATAATCACATCTTGATATCACTTCACGCTCTATTTCACAACCCATCCCATCTCCACATTACATACAACCATAAACCCAAAAATACAGCAGCCTCCTCAATCCATTTCCCCGATCAACAAACACACACTCCTCCCTCAACCTACGCGTATGCTTTCGAAGTCAAGTAACCCTCCAATCCCATCCCACCAGCCAGACTAACCGAGACAGAAATCTCGTTGTGAGGTTCGGTGCGGATACTCCCGAGATGGAGGAGAAACAAGCTCAGCTATTAAGGTAATCAAGTAAATGACCTAGACAGCGGGAAGGGCAAGGGAGTTCCCGCCCCAAGTGAATCAAGTCGAGCATACACACATACCAATATATGAGCGGATCCGACATCTTGCTCACCCCAAGAATCACATCTAATTTCACACAAAGTCAAAATTTATAACAACAAACGAAACATCTCATTTACGCCCCTCACAGTTATTTACACCCCCGACCTCATCCACTCCACCTCTAGACCCCTCCACCCCTCCATCCCTCCACTCATCCAAAACCATCTCATCTAACCAACGCACCCCTCAAAACCCCCTAAAATACATCCTCTCAATCTTTTACAGTCCGAAAAACTCCTCTCATGGTATAATCTCACTAAAAAGACTCAAAACGCCATCCCAATGCGAATCCAACCCCATGTCCCATATTAAAACATTAAGAGCCAGCCTCGAACGTTTTCCAATCCCATCCCATCCCATCCCGCTGTACAATGATTTGTTAAGAAATTGGGAAATCCATATGCTAGACTGATTTGATCTCTAAAACTGATTCTGATCTCGTGGTTGACTTGAATTCGCCCATTGTTCTGATGGGTTTTGAACTTGTCTTCTATCCTGTCGCCTCTGTTCGATATACAAATCCGCCGCTGTAGGTGGAGGATATGGTTGCTGAACGTAATGTCCCTCGTATGGGCTCGTCTCACTCACCGCCATTCCTATACTTTCTTGCGAGTAAGGCTGATAGTGCATGGCTGGCGAAGCAAGATTCTGTCCCTGCGTCCTTTCTGGGCTTGCATCATTTCTCACTTTCTCATAACCACCCGGCCCGATGTCATGCCCGTCAATATCGTATCTCTCTTTCGCAGGCACGTATCCGGTGCTAGCATTCAATGGGTTTGGCTGAGCATGAGCAATCAATCCAGCGCCTTCCTCGCCGGGTGTTCGTCCAGGTTCTGTAGCGAGTGGCATACCAAATCTGCTCCGGCGGAATTCGTCGGCGATAGGTAGATTTACACTTTGCTTATATCCCGTGGTGTTAGGTGATTGCAAGACCATGTCGTTATCATCTGCTATGTTGCGCATATATGAAGTGTCGGTCTCTCGATTTTTTCGACCAACAAACAACCATCTCATAGATCTTGCAAATGCCTTTACCAAATCCCAAGGATTCATAGCATCGACGAAAGCTTTCCAACCCAAAAATCCTCCTTGCTTCTCTCCATGTATATTCTTAGACGGCTCGCCAGATATTGAAGATAGTCTCGGATAATCGGTTGGCGCAGCTTTGGGTCCATACGGCTGCCAGGGGAATGCAAATAGATGCAAAAACGCAAAGATAGCCATCTCGATGCAAAGAAGTAGTGATGGGATTCCCACCTTCAAATCCGGGTACGCGAGTTTTGCTGTTGGTTTTACAACGTTGAACGTTGCCGAAGTGAGAATACTAATTGTAAAGGTCTGCCAGAAAGAAAGGAAAATAACGAGCTTGATAGCCAAAACCTTGAGGAATGGGCTGTGAGGTGCCAAATCGGTTCGTAGCTGAACATAAAACTGAATCAAGCAGAACATTGCGACAGTGACCGCCGTAGCATTGATTACCATTGTCTAGATCCATTAGCCGGTATCCCTAAGGGTTCAAATCGTACTTACCCAAATATGCGAAAACAATGGCGAATTGGAAGACTCGCAGTAGCGTCCGAAATACTGTGTAACAACAGATGTGATCGTCATCGCGACTCGGATGAAGCAGTATTGGTAAACTCCCAACCAGACAATATTGAACCACGTCAGACCACTTCTCGGCGTCCTCCATGGACCTCTATCCCCACAACAGCATGATTTCATCCATGAAACAGGCCATACCCATCCTTTAGGTTGTATAGTCCGGAAATAATGTTTTTGTTCGTGGAGACTCGGCGCAATGTAGTGACATAGCAGGGCAAAGAACGAGGCGATTGCGAATGCTTCGTAGCAATCAGATATGACCTGGAAATAGATGGCGTGCCAGTAGAATCGGAAGGAGAGAAATGCAGATGTCGCATACACTGGTATCATGAAGAGAATGCGAATAATGCTGTGCTAGTCAGCGCGTGTTCTAGCATTTGGAGGGTGACACTTACTGCCTCTGCTCGTATGGCTTCGTGTAATGTGTCGCATGCATGAAGATAAGGTAGAAAGAAAGTAGCACAGCGATCAGAGAACATGATGGCGCAATTACGAGACCTAGAGAGTGGAAAGTCCAGGTCCCGACTAAAGGTATTTCCGAGTTGCCAACTGCTACCAGTTAGCTCATCCTCCAAGTGTTTCAACACAACATTGAGATACACATACTCCGTAGATCATCCAGCGTTGAATTACATGTCGCATTGTAACCCAATATTAACGTCATCCTGGCGGTTGCCGCTCATTCGAGCCGTCAATAGACCGTCGGCAGTAGCGGAGGTGTTGGCTTCCCAAATGAGTTCGTAAATGCTCGTCTTCTTCTCAAGCCTCTATAGCCCCTTTATCTCGTTGATCGATGTGATACGGTAATGGGAGTCGTCTCTAGTGGTCGTCGCAAGATCGATTATCGTCCCTGAAGAACTATCGACGAGGGGTTTGACGTCGTTCAGCTCCTCAGAATGGGTCAGTAATATGGGTGAATCAAGTCGTCGTAATCGCAGGTAATTGTTTGGGTGATTGCGTTTAATTTCGAAAGTGTCATGAATTGTTGTATGCTGAGAAGAGTTTGGAATTGTTGGAAAGGTCTGATTAATTGCTCGGAGGTTAGTTCGTACCGTACTCGTCGTTCCTCACTGCCGTGCAGGGTGCAGTATTGGCGCGTCGTGTGGCTGAGCCAGGCGAACCCGCTGGAAAAGCTCGTGTTACAACATTTATGGCTTGATAAAACGAGCACGACGAGGTTAGATTGACACGCCAACAATTCTACGAGAGATGCAAGTTTTCTGGTCGACAATACCTTTTGTAGACATCCCTTCGACATCAAGCGTCCGCCATATCAAAGTTATTCTTGTCTAGCAGGAGTAATCCGACCTCGAGGGAACAAAAGAGCCACTGCTGTGCCCGCTCTTGAGGTGATCTTGGCCGTGTTCCAGCAGAGAGCTGACGAGAATCTGGGCATTGGAACCACCAAAATGCTTGTCGTTTCTTTGACTTTGGAGACGAGTCCAGAGCGTGCTTCCTTCTCCCACCACTCAGAGTATTGTAGTTTACGTCGAGTTTTGACATAAATCTACGAGTTGCAGCGCACAACATCTGTCACGACCGGTCCTCATGCAGATCAAACCGTTCTTCGGACGCCGGGATGGACCTTTGAGGGACGGTTGAACTACCAAGGTGAGGTGAAACTGCGAAACACAGTTGGCCACCGAGCTTGGAGATCTTCGACGTGTACGCTGGCGACGCTATTCTGGATGTGGAATTTGTGACGAACGCCTGCCTCTATCTTAAAGATGACTGTGGCTCCCAATTAATTCTCCGATCGACAAAATTCAACTCGAGGGATACCCGTATCTACAAAGTTAGATCAGATGAATGGAACAGAAGTTCGGGAGACGCGGTGGTATATGTATTTCCTAGAGATATCCTGTGATGCAATCTCGTCTGCTTGAAACTCCTATGCGTACGATGACTGAGGTACGACCACACTCGCCATCTTCCGTATTCCCTTAGATGACACGAAAGATACGACTCCCAATACCGGAGCTGATCTACAAGACTACAATTGAATCAAAACTAGCATTAGCTAGTAATAGACCAAACACGGTGTGCAAATGGCAATACTACTATAATAACAGTCCAATAAAGATAGGCTTCCAATCGCTCAATCACATTACTGGTTATCCAAGAGTGTCCGAGTGGACAATTTCATAGATCGCAAGTACATATTTATAGCAACGCTAAATTCAGACAAGTTCTAATATACAGCACCACTATTATAACCTTAACATTTCCATATGAAGATTCCCGAGTCCAGCTCTTAAGACCGGTTTAAAAGCAAGGGTATTAACAACAGATTCTCTCAACTGTTCTCCGCCCACTGCTCTATCCTTTCGAGTAAATCCGTCTTTTTACCAGCAGTGGACAGTCCCTTCGACGCCAGCCAGTGCTTCAGGTCAGTGACAGTGTGCTTCGTCAAGCCGTTGTCTCTCGCCGCTTTTTTAACCTCGTCAACACTCATGTCTTCAAGAGACTGTGCCTTCACTTTGACTTTCTTTGCAGGTGGTCCAACATCATCATCATCCAACTCATGCTTCATAGTTTTCAACACCTTGGTCGACTCAGCTAGAATTTTTCCCCAGTTGTTAATGAATTCTCCAGCACGATTGTTGATCTGACGATATTTAGGAATAGTCTTGTCGTCTGGACTCTCTGGTACATCTTCTTCTAGCGCCATGGCCTGGAGAATTTTATAATGCCATTGTAATGACGGGTTCGGATATTTGCTTGGATCATATCTCGCCTTCGGTAGCTGCAATTGCTGAACGATCTTGCGCATCTCATCAATAAGCTCATCAGGAGCAACGACAGGTGCTGGGAGTTCTGGTAGAGATCGAATGTCATCCGCAAACGGGATTGGATAAAGCCATAAACCAGCAGGAATGACTTGGGTGCTACCGGGGCCTTCTTCGAAACGTTCCTGAGATGGAAGTATAGCTACAAGAAGTGGCGTGGCATTGTTTCGAGCAACGTACCAGGCGATGCCCATCTTTTTGTCTTTTAATAGCTTCTTCCAGAGCGCGGCAAAGACCCGGGTCGAGCCCACGTAATCGTCCTCACTAGGATATATGAACGTTGACTTTTTGACTGATGCCCAAAATGGAAGCATATTTTGAGGCTTGAACCCAATAATTCGTAAAATTGGCGACCCATAGCTCTTTAATTCCTTTTGCTCTTCGGGCGTGAAAAGTACTTGAGCTCCCCCAAACTTGTATGCCTTTTTGATTTCTGCTTTCTGCACGTCTTTGCCACTGTCCGCGTCTAGTCTAGACGTAGTACCTACTGCGATCTGTGGCTTTTCCCCATCGAGCCAGACATAGCAACTTCGAGCTGGGGCTTGCTTTTGTAAAAGGTTGTATCCCTTTACCGAAATTCGAAAGCCGGGTCCGATTTCAAACGGTAAGTTGGAGAAAAGAGCACGTTTTGCAACTTGCTTTGAATTGATATCTGCAATGAGGCTACTAAGGAGTGATATTCCGCTTCCAGATGATTTCAGAGTGGTTGGTCCGAGAGCAAGATCACTACCTTCAATAGGGTCGCGATATATGATGTCCTGTAAACTTTAGCACTGCTCCTGTACGAAACGAGCAGCGAAACTTACATCGTAGAATTTTGATCTATCAAAGTCATGATCCGGATGTGAGATGGGAAAGAGTTCAATCACAACACCCAAGTCATACAAGTCTTTGGCCCTTACCGTCGCCTGAGATCTTGCTTGCTTATCTGAGCTATGAGGATCATCTTTGTCTGTGATTATGAATAACCTTCGAGATCCAAAGTTTGGCGCTCTGGTGGTGAAAATCTGGTTGGCACAAAAGAGAAGATTTGACATGGATATTTGTTCATCCGTGGGCACTAACAAGCTATTTGCTTCATCCTCGTCTTCCACAATAGCTTTCAACGCTTTTACATCCTCGGCTGAAGGAACATTCAGGTCGCTCAGAAGATAGCAATGTGGGTATGGGTTATTTCCCCGTGTAGTCCCATCCTCGTCATGAAATTTTGACTGTTCGGTGCCATATAATAGAACGCCCATCATATCCTTGGGGCTAGATATGATTCTTTGTTGCATTATCTGGTACGCACACTTAATCGCGGCAACTGTCGGGCTGTCTGTTTCCGAATTCCTGGCATCGGAAGCAGGTGGAGCAGCCAACATGCTCGAACTGACATCGATCGCGAAAAGGACGGCATCTTTCTGTGCAATATAGCTCTAGAGGAAAGTTAGGTATTGAAAATTTGGCTCAAGGAACTACGCACTGCTTCATCAAGCTCTTCCTCCTCTTCTTCATCCTCGTTCTTCCAACTTTCCCTGGAGTCTGCCATGTTGAATTTGGCCCCTCAACTACAGTCAAGATTAGTGTGTAGAAGAACTCGCGTACCGTATGTTATGCAGAGAGTCTTTAAAACAGTATACCCTTTATCTATGCTGTTTGCCGGATGGAAATGCGTCCTGTCGATGAAATGCTTCGCAAACGGTCTTGTCAATAATAGGCAGACGCGACTTTGCTCCACTCCCGTCGCGACGTCAGCTGACATTTTGACTGGAATGATTACAGCCAATGGAAGTCCACTTACGAAACGTCTGCCCCTCTTCGGCAATTACCTCTTTAGACTCCGAGCACCACTGCAAGCTTATTCGACCCTGGTAGATATTATTGGTGCCACCTTGAGGATCCAGTCCAGAAGCTCACAAGCATCATCGCTTTCTTTCCACAGCCTCGGCCATGATTTTATAATAGTAGCTGGCTTCTCCTCATTTCAATTCAGCAGCCAAAAGATGCTTCCAATTATGTCTCTCCGAACGCCCATAATCCAGCTCACGAAAAGAGCTTCAAAATCCACAATCTCAAAGCTTACAACACCAGCAAGCTCACTATGGCAGCGCAATGCGAACGATCAATCGAGGTCATTTGCTACGCCAGCTCCACCCGTCACACAAAATGCCACGAGTTCAAAGGGACCTACCGCTATGGTGTTTATGAACATGGGTGGACCTTCAACGACTGACGAAGTGGGAGATTTCTTGAGCAGACTGTTTGTAAGTTGCCACGAAAATTATTTAATGGGTAACAAAGTTGACAGTCTCTAGGCAGATGCGGATCTTATTCCTCTCGGAAGATTTCAAAATTATCTTGGCCCTCTGATTTCGAAACGTCGAACCCCCAAGATTCAAAAACAATATGCAGCGATTGGTGGCGGATCACCTATTCGAAAATGGTCAGAGTATCAAGCCGAAGAGATGTGTAAAATACTAGACAAAACTTCCCCGGAAACTGCTCCTCACAAGCCATATGTTGCATTTCGTTATGCAAACCCTCTTACAGAAGAAATGTACAGTCAATTATTGGAGGATGGTTTTGGTAACGGAAAAGGTGGAAGAGCTGTAGCATTCACACAATATCCACAATACAGTTGCTCCACCACAGGGAGCAGTCTGAACGAACTATGGAAATGGCGTCAAAAGCTAGAAGGAAAAAGTGCTGGACCAACCACAGCAAATGATGGATCAATTACTTGGAGCGTGATCGATAGATGGCCGTCTCATCCTGGACTCGTGGACGCAATCGCACTCAACATTGAAGCCAAACTCCAAGAATATCCTGAGGATGTACGAGATGATGTTGTACTACTATTCTCGGCTCACAGTCTTCCAATGGATGTTGTGAACAGAGGTATGTGGTTCTTAAATTTGTTTTGGCACGGTACTAATATGAACAGGTGACCCTTACCCAGCTGAGGTTGCAGCCACAGTGGCGGCCGTCATGCAAAGATTAGGACATACCCATCCATACAGATTGGTATGGCAATCACAGGTTGGACCAAAAGCTTGGCTTGGAGCTCAAACCAGTGATACTGTAAGCAATTACATCGCCAAAGGACAAAAGAATATGATTTTGATACCTGTCGCTTTTACCTCTGATCACATCGAGACTTTGTACGAGTTGGACGAAGAGGTCATCGGGGAGTCTGGCCATAAGGATACTATCAAGCGTGCTGAGAGTTTGAATGGGTCACCTGTGTTCATCAAGGCGTTGGCTGATATCGCTAAAACTCACCTTGATAGTGGTATCATTTGCAGCAAGCAGATGGGTTTGAGATGTCCGGGATGTACCAATGAGCGATGCGCTGCAAGCAAAAAGTTCTTTGCTGGGCAAGGTCTGGGTGAAACTTTTGCTGTTTGATTGTACTGTTTCAAGCATTTCTGCAGGATGTACTTATGTGGTTATAGATGTTGTACATACAAAATTCAAGCGCTCGATCAAAACTATGCTGACACTATTTTCTAATCCCTGCGATGTGCTTCGAATACTCAGTTACGGCTGTTAACTTGGCACGTCCAGAGATGGTCGTTGCGATTCAATATTGTACTGCTGTTTGCTGATCCATTTAGATACTACGGATGAGACAACTCCGCTTGGAAATCGGAAGTTGTTCAATAAGACAGTAAGCCAGCAAGCAAAATATCCCATTCTCAAGATTCTAACAATTATATCCACAGTCTACAATTAAAATATACATCTCTATCCCTCACCACATCACTCACAAGCCCAGCTTGCACCCGAGTCCCCACACACCTAACAATCCATCTACGGAATAACCGACCTAACCCACGAATTAGCATTCATCCCTTCTCTCCCCTTCCACGTTCTCCCATGAAATTCAACTCACCACACAATAGGCACCTCCACCAAATCAAATTCCCCGCCCTGCAAAATATTGAATAGCCCACTCGTCGCAGCTAGATCCGTATCCGCGCACTCAGCGCATTCACCGGCGATACCGACGATGACGACCCGTTCGCCGTTGCCGATTGAGACTTTGGAGCCGCATGGGAGGTTTGCTGAGGCGGGGAGGGAGACCAGGAGTTCGGAGCCCTGAGACGGAGGTTAGTGAGGAGATGAGAGGATGAGGGGATGAGGGGAGGGGGAAAGGAAGAGAGGGTATAGGGAGGGATGGTGGAGAGGTACATCAACGACTTGGCCACATTCCAGCGGCCCATCTGAGGGGCCGAAGAAACCTAGGGTTATGGCGTTGCCGATTATGTTTGATTGAGCCGCGATGGTGGTTATGAAGGGGGTGAGGACGGCGAGGATGGTGATTGGGGAGTGCATTTTGAAGGTTTGGTTGGGGTTGGGATTGGGATTGGGAAGGTGGTGAGGTGTTGGTGGAGTGAGTTAAGTTGGTGAGTTTATTGGTGAGTTCGTTTGGATTGTAGTGTATTAGTGGAGTGGGGATATGTATGTTATATAGAACTCTTCAAATATCGATACATGTAGAATACTCTTCCGTACATCTCACCTACATAACAAGAAACTCGGCTTCTCTACCATCAACTCCCCCTCGGCTTTTCGCACACATCGTTCACGTAAAAACTTACTTTCTCCCAGCAAACCTTGGTGGAGAGGATTTTATTGTGCCATGAACTGAATGTGCTCTCGACGGAAATATCCCATCTCCGTGTCTTGCGGCATTTCGGTACTCGAAAACCTTGTTTGGAGGTTTGATCCTGAAGGGGCTGAGTCACGTGATGGGTGTTAGGATTTAACCGTGAGGTTTCGAGGACAGCGATTGGGCAGGCCGTCTAATGAAGCTTGGATTGGAGGAGTGTTTGGGTTTGCCACAGGAGAGCATAGGAGTTGGATAGATGGATGAATGTGAAGGTTAAGAGGAGACGTAGAAGAGAAGGAGATTGGAGATTTTTGGAGGAATGTTTGGAGGTCGAATCGCACTAGGGGAATGAGTTGGGATGTTGAGAATGGGAGATGTGTGAGTTGAAGAGAAAAGTTCAAGAACCTCTGTTATAAGGTTGATGAATGTTGTGTTTAGATTTATAAATCCTGCAAAACTAGCTTTGTTGTTAGATGTCTCTTGCAGTGATTTACAACCTGGAGAGTGCTAAGTCGAGCGCTCACTGCAATTGTTATAGAATTCTGATGATTGATAGGGAGACTTTGAGGAGATTTCAAAAGCCACCTCCTTTAATTTCTTTGGATATGAGTTCGATTCATTAACATTGATCTTGCGATAGTAGTATCATTCCAATCACCCGGTTGAGTTGAGTGGTGACAGCGATAACCGAGACATTTCGGCTGCTTCCGACTGCTAATCCACGGACCGTGTTTGCTGGCAGCTTGAAGTCTAAACGCACGTTCATGCAGCTGGTTGGTGGAGTTGAAATACTTGGTGTCGTCATCATTCTGGCTTATTGGAATCGCAGACAACAACGTGTTTCTACTTCGACTCTCGAAGAATTGGGGAATTATAAAATGGTACCTGTAATGCTCGCGTCATACAACAGATAGAATTCGTCTTATCTCTCTCACAAATGATAGCAACAAGTAACATGAGAGTTGTCTGCACGATACCTGCTTCATTCCGTAGGGACGGCGCAGACATCAGGGCCGGTCTTTCGAAACTCCCTTGTTCCGCGATCTCCTGGGGGTTTTTGAGCTAGGATCTCGACTTGTATTATCAAGCATTTTGACGCGCAACAACGATAGATGGGGAAACATATCTTGACCACACCCTCCGACCTTTGTGATATATTTCTGTATCTTGAGCTCCCTGTCAGCCATCCCTCCATCATCCATCCCAAGTCCCAAGATACATAGTCGCGTGGGAACAAGCTCGCTGCAATCGCCCGCCAGTCCTCGGTCAGATGCACCCCTGCGCACTAACGATCCAGATCTCGGTCACCAATATCCTGTTGTGGATGCTGTGAATGATAACACCCACCTTGGATCGTGGATGTCCGCAGCTCTTGTGCAATAATCCGGAATCGTCAAATTTGCTTTTGATGTTCGGGAGGTAGTTTGAATCTCAAATTCCCGTTGAAAGGTGGATTACGTTTGAACCGACACGCGCGAGTGCGACACGATCGAAGCCACTGATACTTCGCCTCAGCGAGGTGCTACACCGGAACCATGACCCACGAGAATGAGAGCCCGCCTCCGGAGTACGATGGTGATACCAGTAGACGGACCTGGGGCGCAGAACGGTCTCTAAGTCGAAGTTTGAAGAAAGATGGGCCGTTGATCGCTGGAGAGGCATCTCCATTGTTGGGGAGTGGTAGTAGAGATGGAGACGAGTTTCCACCGGAGAATAGAAGAGATGAAGAACAAGCTGAATGGGAGGGGATGGTGGATTTTCAACATCTGCCATGGTGGAGGACACCATCTGTAAGTTGTGCTTACTTCTGGATGTATCATCGCTAACACAAGTAGATATACTGGCTAGTACCTTCGTTCTTCCTCTACGCCCTCGCTTTTGGTGGAATTATAGTTCCAAAGATCAACCTAATACTCGAATTGATATGCTGGGAATACTATTTGGAGTTATCAAAAGGCGATCCTGCGATGAACCCAACGCTGTTGTTTGGAGATGGTGGCGGAAGCGAGCAATGTCGCCACAACCCAGATATACAAGCTATCGTCACAAAGTTCACTTTACTGTTGACAGTAATCATTGGCGCGCTGAGCGCTGTCATGTCGCCCAAGATAGGAGCTTTGTCAGATCGCAATGGCCGTGTCAAGCTTCTCGTTATCACGAGTCTGGGGGGCTTCATGACGGAAGTCATTACTATCTTGGCATACAAGTACCCCGAAGCTGTTAACTATAAATGGCTACTGGCCGGCGCCATCTTTGAAGGGTTCTGTGGGTCATTTACGGCTGGTTTTGCGGTAACTCACGCCTACGCTGCGGATTGTACCGCACCGCCCAAGCGATCCGTTGCGTTCGGATACTTCCACGCATGCTTGTTCTCAGGTATAGCTCTGGGACCTATGGCTGTGGCGGCAATTCTGAGATCAGGAGGTACTTTGATTATGGTCTTCTACATTGCATTAGGTATTCATACCTTCTTCATGCTATTTGTCCTTTTCGTCGTACCCGAGTCTCTAAGCAAGAAACGTCAAGAAATTGCTCAAGAGAAGTATAGGGCAGGCAGAGGAAGCGATGCAGCCGATGGATATACTTGGAAATGGGCTCTCAAGTCCGCGAATATTCTGTCTCCTCTCACCATTCTTTGGCCAACAGGTCCAGGTACATCCAGTCGACTGAGAGCGAATCTCATTCTACTCTCAATCGTGGATACCACAATCTTTGGAGTTGCCATGGGAGCTTTGAACGTCCTAGTCCTTTACACAGGCTATGCCTTTGACTGGAAAACCGAAGACACCAGCGTTTTCATCTCCGAAGTCAACGTAATCCGAGTCTTCGGTCTCCTCGTCATCCTCCCATCCCTCAACTACCTAGTCCGCCGCCGTCGCCAATACACTCAACGCCGTGACTCTGGCTTCGTCAGCGCAGACCCAACCTCTGGATCCGATCTCTTCGACCTCTCCATCATCAGAGTCGCCATTTTCCTCGAAGTCGCCGGATATTTCGGCTATGCCACTGCTACCACAGGTCAAATGTTCGTCGCATCAGGTGTTCTCGCAGCACTTGGTGGTATCGCTAGTCCTACACTACAAGCCTCCCTCACCAAACACGTGCCTCAAGACCAGATTGGCCAGTTATTAGGTGCCACCGGTCTCCTCCACGCCCTGGCTCGAATCATCGCGCCTACGATATTCGGGCTGATTTACGCCAAGACCGTCGCGACGGTTCCTTCGACCGTGTTTATAGTCCTCACGTCCTTCTTCGTCGTAGCTTTCTTCTTCTCGTGGTTTATAAGACCGCATGGTAAGTACCTCTATCTGAAATCTGATTCTGCATGCTAATTCTGCTGTAGTATATATCGAAGACCAAAGCACCTCCACAACGACGCCTGAGACTGTAAATCCTGTATACGACCCTGATGTCCTCGTAGACGAGGAGATCACCGGTAACTAATCTTGGTGTTTCCTTGCTTGGTGCATGTTTATATTTGTTTCAAGGCGTACATGGGTTGGGATTCTTATATTGGAATATACACGAGCATTGGGATGGATATTTGATGGAGTTTTGGATATGAGATGGATTTTGATATTTCTGATAGATAGAGGTAGATAGGGATACAGGGGTAGATTTAGAGCCAGATGCGAGCGGGATTTGATGACGATTGGCTGTGTAATCTGGATTGAATATATGTGTTATGAATGATTCTCTCGTTTAGTGGTTTTTGCATTTCGTAGTCCGACCAGAAGTACGTTCGGTGAGACTGGGGATTCACTATGCTTGTGCAATTTATGACACGTGTGGGTCTGTGATTTTGCGTGTGCATGTTTTGGTGATCTATTTGAGCATATATAAGAAATATCTCGAGATCTCTTGATTGTGGACTTTTCTCGTCTGATGGACCATATGTTTACTGAAATTGTGTTTTGCGTTGGGGGAATGGCTGCGATGTGCAACAAATCTCTGTTCTGCTCTCGATTTCTCGGGTGGGTTGTGTTGTCTGATAGCTTCTGGGATTCGCTTAAATTATTTGATGGTGTGGGCTGGAATGACAGAATGACTGCGGTATGCAACAAAGCCCTGTTCTGCGTCCAATTTCTCGGATGCTTCTTAATCTCATCTGAAAGCCGCCACAATGTGTCTCTGTACAATCTGCGATCTTTTCGTGGGTTGAGAGAATGGGTGCGATATGCAACAAACCTGTGTTTCCTCTCTCGATTTCTCGGGTAGTAGTTGTCGTCTGATACTCGCCAGAATTCCACTCGAATCTTTTGGAATTGTGTATGGGGTTAGAGGAATGGGTGCGATATGCAACAAATTTCTATCCTTGCTCAATTACTCGGATGATTATTCTCATCTGAAAGCCTCTGATTCGCTTCAATCATTCGACGGCGTGTGTTGGAGTGAGGGAATGGGTGCGATATGCAACAAACATCTACTCCCCTCTCGATGTTCTCGTCTGATACTCAATTAAGTTTACGAAGGTTTTCCGACGATTCCGCTATTACATTGACAGAACGACTGCGAAATGCAACAAACCTTTTTTCTCCCACCGTTCCTTCTCGATGATGACGTTGTGTTACGCGTGCGATATACAACATAGCGCCTCCCCACAAGTAAACTTCAAGTGAATGAATACTATTACAGTGAGATGATATGGCATGATCCGAATATGACGTTGTAAAGGGTTGCGATGTGCAACAAAACTCTCTTCCTTCCGCTCGATGTCTTGCGAGTAGTTTGTTTCGTCTGATAGACGAGAGAATCGACTCTAGTTTCTCGACGAGACTTCGGGTGGAATGACGGAATGGGTGCGATATGCAACAAAATATCTTGGGTGAATAAAGGGAGAATGGACGTAAGGTTGTATATAGGTAAGTGCGAGAAATAAACAGAAGAGTGAAGACTGCGTTTATGCGATGACGGTGTAGGCATAGAAAAGCGTAAAGTGTAACAAAACATTTCAGTTTCCTGAGCAGTGTTGCTGTCATGCTTAATTGATGTGCAATAATTCTAAAAGACAATCATGTATGGATTTGTGGATGTGTGGGAGTGGGTGTCACAGAAGCAAAACTCGGGAAGTAGTGATTTTTAGACACGCTGATGATAGGACATTTCGCCGACGACGTGAGGAAGTTCGGTATGCAAGAAAATTGCATGACGACTGCCGAGTGAGAAGTGGGATTAGTGAATGGAGAGACGGTGGGTTGAGCGTCATGGTTAATAAAGCTTTTCGGTAGTCTCTCGTCGAAATTTGATACAGAAAGTGGGACGTATAACACAATAACACGGCATATGACAGATTCGAAGATTAATACGCGAAGCTAATGCGTGATTAGAAAGTCCTGCAAATAACAGCTCGACAGTGTCGGAAATGTGCGATATGTAATAAAAGGGGATCTCTAGATGATGTTATTAAGTTGAGACACTATCTAGCTGGCTAGAGGAATTATAAAAATTCAAAACCGTGTGGTTTGCAACAAAACTCATTGACGATTTTGAGGAACTGTATCTTCGTGATGATTATGCCATGATTACCTGAAGATGGTTATGGTGAATCAGTTCTTGTGATCGAAGGAAGATAAGTGAAAAAATGAAGCGAGGAAGTGATTGGTGAGGGCTAGAAATCGTAATGCAACAGTGTCGTTATTCTATGTTCATATGGAAAAGTGCAATATGTAAAAAAACTCTTGGGACCTTCATATAGGGGATGTTAGTTTACTAGCTACTCAACATGTAACGGTTGGTAATACTGCTCTATTGCGCAGTCGTCATGAATGAATGATGTTCAATCGAACGACTTTCCATGTTTGTTAGACTTCGAGAACACATAGTTTACGGTATGCTAATCAAACTTCGTATCGATCGGCAATTTCCCAAGTTAGTAGGTCCGGAGTACCAAGGATAGTTTGTCAGTGTCGTGTTAATATTGACAAAGAACACATAAAACGCAACAATCTTGTATACAGAGAACTCACAGCAAAATTCTAAGACACAATTTCCACCTATTTCCTCAACTCCTTTTAATCCACAACTTACATATACAGCACCTCCAGCACCTCCCAAACCTCAAAATACCCACCACATTACCAATTCCCGGAAATCACCTCTTCCGCGCCATCTTGTTTGTAAGCTCCTGCGCGAATGTAGACAGGCTCCTCTATCTACTTTGGCTGCGCGAGACATCACCATCGGTAATCTGATCGTCGGGTTTGAGGTGTTGATCATGGATGGAGGATTCGCGAGGCGAGGGGGGTGGCTCGCTTAATCTTTGCCGAGGGAGGGGGGGCCAAGGGGGTTGGTGAATATACTATTGGTTTTGTTCCCGTAGAAGAGTAGTGAATTTGCATCTGTGAAAAAAAAAATCAGATATCGTTGTTATGTGTACGGGTTTGGGAGATTAAAAGGTTCACGATGTTAATGTTTTATTGAATCTTCGGGCAAGGGGGAGGGGGTCGTTTGTGATAGTTGGTTCTTCTACATATTCCATAGCGACGCAAATTCTCGAATTGAATTTCAAAGGATACTACACTGTTCATTTTCAATACTCAAAGCAATTCCAGAGCCCTCGAGTCGCCTCTCATATCTCGAGCAAATTGAAAATCAAAGCTGTAACGTCATCCGAAAGGATTCTCTGCTTAAGCGAGTTTGAAACCCATCTCGCGAGTTACAACCCTCCCACACCGCATACTCTCTCTCAGCAGCAAATAATCTCGCTCGTCTAGATCAAGTAAACAACCTGAGGCTCGTCTGATCATCTCACGACATCCCATCCTTCACAAATCGCTATCGCATGAATTTTAAGTCTTCCTATCTCGTGTTTGAGGCTACCAATTGCGTGATGATGCGAGATTTGGAATCGTCATGGAAAATTCATGGAAGGAGTGGAGATCGGATTTCGTATGGATGGGATGAAGTGTTTGTTTAGTCTTTGTGCAGATCTGAGCTGGAGGAATGGCGTGGTGAAAGGGTATATATCAGGCATTTCTCGAGGGTTCCTGGAATGAGTATCTCTTTTGGTGTTCAGTGCAATTACAGTCTTTTCAAATATTTTCTTCCAGTCTCTCTTTTTTCATCAACATCACCTCACGCTCATTCTCAAAAATCAAGCACAGCACACCATCAAAATGCATTTCTCCCTTCTGACCCTCCCACTCTTCTCTTCCCTCGTAAGTGCCCTTGCCCTTCTATCTCTCTTCTATCTAACACACCCAGATCCTCGCCACAACCCTCAAATCCCCAATACCCTACACAACAGGCACACCGTCCTACAACCTTTCCCAAAACGGCACCCTCACAAACACCACTCTCCCTTCCGGAACAGCCTACCCCACAAACCTCTATCCAAAACCCACAGGCCTCGTCTCAGCCTCGCCTATCCCCTCTTCTATCCTCTCAAAATTCATTCCTGAACGACGGAATGTGAAAGGGAAGAGAGGTTACGACATGCCAACCGGGACAGGAATCCCGCTTATCACCGGGACTGGAGTACCGCTTGTTACTGGAACCGGAGGTGTGAGTGCACCTACAGCTGCGGTGGAGGGAGTGATGACTTTAAGAAAAGTCGTGAAGCCAACGACGAGGGGAGTGGAGAGGGGGAGTTACACTATGGTTGAGAGATCGTAGATCTTGGAATTTCTTTGTATTGTCTTTTCCTTTTTCCATAGACGAGACGTGGGCTGCATCCTAGATCTTTGTTTGGGGCTCGGTGTCTATACAGGGTAGACGGGCTGGGACTGTGGAGTTTTCTTTTGGTTGTCTTCAGGGAAGATTTTGTTCATTTCATTGTACCATTCTGCTGGATTTGGATTGGGAAATAGACCTGGTGTCTGAGATATGTATATGATACTAGATATGATTGAACGAGAGCTAGATCTTAAATGGCATGTTCATTTTATGTTCTTGACTGTGGGTATCCTGTTCGCGTGAATGTAGGAATAAAAGGATGTGAATAAGTAGAAAATATTGACTTTCATCAAGTGGATATTATATTTATTGCTGATGAGAGAACGATAGAATGGTCTCAAAGTAGGTCGGGCAGAGTATGAAACCTTACGTGAACATAGAGCCATTATGGTAGTTACACAAGAAAATACTAGCTATCCCAGCGTTCTCGATAGATGAGTATCCAATGGGTTATCAGTAGTAGGGCTGGATTGGATTCCCTATGAATTGGCCGAACTCCTGACTAGTTGGTTAGAATTAGGTGTTCTCTAAATCCATAGTTATTCATTATAGAGTTCTTTATGTAATGACTTAATTCACCTTTGTCACTTGGTAGGAATATCAAACTTTTCACTACCTGACTCAGTTAATTCACTACAGCCTAACAACAACTTATTAACACGACATTACTTCACTATACACAGTCACAATTTGTAACGCGTAGAAGGTGATTGATTCTGGTACCTGTTTCTCTTCAAAGTGAAAGAGGTGGAATGACTCGTTGTAGATTAGGGAGCGCATCTGAGCTCTATGAGTATAGAATTGGCAGATATAGCTTGTTGACTATTGAATTTCCACTGACATGGAATTTTGTTGTAGGCTAAGGACCTTAGCCTAAGGTAGATTCCTTAGCAGTTAATTATCGGCAACCTCCAAAGTTAATGCTAAGCTACCATCTAGAGCATGGGGCTACTCTTACAATGCCTATCAACGAATACCAAATCCTAATTAAATCCCCAAGTTATCGCACCAGACCCTCTGGATTTCTCCATGAATAAATACTCCATTGATCCCATTAGCCAACCCACAGCAACAGCACAAAGCTTTTCTTCCATTTCCCAATAACCAATTTCAGAATTCACATACCCCCAACTCTCCTCTCACATCCCCACAATCCCCTCATCACACCCTCATACTTCACCGCTTCATAAACCTCCCATCCACTTCACCGCCCAAGCCATAACCCCCTACAAAACAGCAATCCCAACCATCACCCCACCAGTCCCCAGCACCACACCCCGCAAACTCATCCCCAACGCCGACGCCGTACTATTAGCCGCCTCCGTCTCATTACATCCAGACTGACATCCCTTCTCAGGTTTTGGTTTCTTGGGCTTCTTCTTTTTCTTATATTTGTTGCCGGAGAAGCGCGGAGCGGATCCGCTGGAATCGCTGCCGTCTCTGTGTTGGGCTTCGTCGATTGCAACGTCGTTGTCGGTGACTGAAGAGGCATAGGAGGTTGTTACAGCGAGGATTAAGCCGAGGATTAACGCGAGGCGGGAGATTTGCATTATGAATGAGGAGCAGGTATTTCGTGTTTGAGGTTTAAGGTTTGGGATCGGGATGTTGAGATGGTGGTAGATAGATTGAGAATTTATACCAGTTTCTGGTATCCTGTTATGAATTCAAAACACAGATCGTATATGGCGTCAGCTGCATAGCCCCAACTCATGTTGTATCCATTCATCACCGCGTTATAATTCACTCTATCCTCCTCACGGTGCCAACATCTTATTCAGTTTTCTAGTGGGTCACACGACTTCTTAACCAATTCGTATACCAATACCGTCCAAGAACGATGATTCACGCTTTTCTGTTAAAGTAAGACTGGGCTTTTCGGTTTAAGAAAGTATGGATCGGTTGTAAAGGTAAGATACTGATGCCGATGTGAATAGATTTTTTCTGGAAGCCTTGATAGCTATTCAAGAATCTCCTTTGAGTGTGAACGTTGTTGTCCTTCAGGGTATACTCTTAATTCTTAAGCTTTGAGTCTAAGGATTTAAGGTAATATAGAAGAAAATCACTAACAAGCGTAATTGGAATCCTCTCGGGGCTCTCTTATAGTCGACATTTTTCATCCTGCTATTACTAGTAACCTTACACGCTACACTTAACTAACAGGTCACTATTCTGTATAATAGTAGCCTGTTAGTATATTAAGTTAGTAGCTAATAGATGTGTAAAGAAATATATCAAAGGTAAAATTCAATAAATTTCGAAGAACATATTACACAGCTTCTATTTAGCATTAGCTCCAACACATTAACAGACCAAGACCTGAAGAGCCAACGCCTGAAGACATCGGTCGATAAAATATCGAGAAAGTACTCTCTAACACTAGGACTTGATGTGATCTCGCTCCTCGCTATAGGGGAAAACAACTCAAAGTTTCACCGAGCAAAACAAAATCTTGAAGTATTCGGCACTGTGTCTAAATATTAAGAAAGACACGCTAATATGGCTGGCTGCATGTACCATCAGCTGTTCTTTCCCTAGACCGAAGGATTATGTACAAACCATCAGAACGCCTCTAGAATCCCTTAAACCTCCGGACGTATCTTTCCCACATTTCCATCGCTCTTGCCAAACATCAAGTCGTGCTGAGACAGACCTACCTCACATACGAAGCGTCGGAGATTCAGTCCCTCTCTTCTTCGTATACGCACAACAATACCGCGACTCGACACTTCAAAGCCGCTCGCAGCTCATCATCTAAGGACTCGGAGCAATTCAATGTACCGTGGCTCGTTGCTGAGGTTTGATGTTGGCAGGGTATTCCAAACAAAGTACAATGATATTAGGGATGGGTTCAATGTGCTTATTTCGTCAGAACGACATTGAAAAGGAATGTGTTGAGGGCAGTATTGTCTTGTGGGGTTTATATGGGTCTGGGACCATAAAACGGCTGGACCGGAAGTGGATGGGAGGGGAAAAGAGTGATATGTGTTTGTTTATCTGTATGGTGATGTTTGTGTGGTACGTACGTTTCATTGACTTTTGGTATTCTCGTGTACGAAATCCACCTTTCTCATATGTCCTTTCTGATTTCCGTAATCATGGATTTATATAGATGTTTTTCTTATAGTATACTGTTGTAGCCACCCAGCAAACTAAACTACAGTTGAATCTCTGCCTCTAAAATATCACATTCCAAAACCAACATAACTAAGCTCATCTCACATCACCTCTCGCCACTTCGCCATAAAACCCTCTTCTCTACATATCACGCCTCGAAACCCACTCCCGCCCACCTCACTCCCCAAACGCTCGCTCCATCTCTCCCCTCTAACCCCCATATCTCTACACCACCACAACCATTCCCACGACCCCCAAAACCCCAATCCCAACCCCAAACGCTCCCCCTAATCTCAAAGCTACACCCTCACTCTTCTGACTGCCTCCACCACCACCTCCACCACCACCAGCAACAACCGTCCCCCCCGAGCCAGACCCAGTACGTGCCCCCCCACCCACCACCACCACCACCTCCCTTACCGCCTTTACGTCTCGTTCCGTTGAACGCCACGTCGAGATCCGTATCGATGGTTGGAGTTGTAGCTGTGACAAGTGAGAGCAGAGCTACTAGGGCTGTGAATTTAGGGAAGTGCATTTTTGTGCGAGGGGATGAGATGAGTTGATATGCGAGCGTGATGATTGAGACGAGGAGTTTAAGGGTGATAACGAGGAGATTTGAGATGCTATTTTGGAGATGGATAGATTTCTTATATCAACGATGCGCGCTACGAGGTTGGTAATGTGGTTCATGTGGATGTTATGCTTAAGTCTGGCGGCTGGTGTTGATCACCTGAATAGGTTGTGTGGGAATGTTTGTTGGTGTGTGTATGTGAATACTTGGGTGGACTATGGATGGGAGCAAAGGCAGGTGAAACTGATCGGAGCTGATGGACGAAGTGTCGTGTTGGGCCGTTGTGATGTGTCTGAAGAGCTGGTGTTGAAATCCACAGAACTGGAGAGGAAGATCCAAATTTGAAAAGTATGGAATATGGCTGCGAACTTGGGCGCTTGAACATAGTAGTGGGACGAAGATAGATATTGTATAGTTCCCTATTCCTGTTCAGCGCTTGAACATAAGAGTTGGATGGATTTAGATGTTGTATAGTCCCTATTTCTCAGACCCCTCAGCGGCAGGCACAGGAGGCAACGGCTTCTCCATCACCGTCGCCTCCTTTGACAGATTAGAATCTTTCTCCGATAATTCCTCCCCTCCCTCTCCATACCGCGGTCTATCAATATAATTCCACACCTCGTCCCCATCATCCAACAACATATCACCTTCACACTCCCTCTCCATCCTCACCCTCTCACGATGAGCATCCCGAATAGCAACATATCTCCTCCCAACATACACCATCTTTCTGCAAACCGAATAAACCAACGGTGAAACCACCGCGCTCAAGATGGCAACGATCAACACCCAAAATCTAAAAGGCCCAAGATTATTATACAAATTCGAACTCCGTCGTAAATATTCGCGCCGTAAACTTCCTATCTTTCCAAACTCGTCAAAATCTTGACGATATATATATCGGTACCATGGTTGACTATCCATATCTTCACAACGCCACGAGAATCTCCCGCACACCTTGAGATCTTCGGGAAGTACAGAAGGATTTGGTTCGTCGCCTCGTCTCCGCGTCCTGACACTCTTGACGACAAATTTGTGATTGAATGGGTTGTGCGTCCGGAAATTCTCGTCTTTCAGAATGATCTCGATATATCGTTGTTCTGCCGAGGATAAAAGGGTGTTGTGGCCCGCTATCCCAGCTCCGAGGACGTTGAATTTGAGGGTTGGTACATAGTTATGGATCTCGCGGTTCGGGTCGTCGCGAGGACGTACTGATCGTTCGTAGTCGATTTCAAAGTGCGCAGCGTTGGTGTATTTGTATACCCTTCTCTGTTCGAATTCCGTGAGAGACTCTGAGGTCTGCGGGACGCTGAATCGCGGTGGGATGTTTGCGTCTAGGAGAGGGAGGATGGGTTGGTCTTGCAGAAGAAGATGTCGTTGATCGTGGCTGATGGTGAAATTGAAGACCAGAGCGCTCTGGAGCGGTTCCCCATATTGCTGTTCCCAATCCCAGAGGAGGAGGTCGGGTGTATTAAGGGAGATGAGATAACTGCGACCTTGTTCCAGCTCTTTGATTCCTCGCGTGGAGGAGTCTTTGCCTTTGAATCTCTGAAATGCTGTCGCGATGAGGGGGAAAAGAAATAAGGATAAACGAGTGACAATCATGGTTAAAGATATATAATGTGATGGGTTTCACGACTGCGAAAACACCAATTTGCCCTCGCACTTGGTCGAGTTGGTCAAGCTCGTATTCTCGAGGCAAACACCGCTCCTTCCGAAGTTGTGATGGGTTTGTCCATGCATTGCAATGCCAAGCCTAGAAAATGAGGCACAATGTCGCCCCCACTTGGTAGACTGTCCAGCTACTAAGCTGTACATTGATGAAGTATATCGCCTTTTAGATGTCAATTCGGGTAGCTTTGTATCTGTAAGTAACAGAGATCTATAGCTGCGAAGCTACAGAAGTTGTTGGAAGCAAAAGAAGTGTTCAAACCGTGCAAAATCAGACCGTCTCGTTCTATCTGCGACGAGTTCTAGTCGGACGTCAGCTGTGGACATCGTTCATGCCGCATAGGATTGCACTGCTTTGCACTGCTTTATTGTTCCGGAAGACGACGAAGAGACATGGTTGGTTTGGATATTGGCAACATTGGAATGAAAAGAGAAATGAAGGCATTCCCAAAATCAAAGAAATGCAGCCACAGTTGATGTGGCTTATCGATAAGGGGTGCTGCATAAATCGCCGTCGCTAATCCCCTTAGATACCCTGCAGGGCTGAACGCCAATGGAATGCATCATCTACCCCACGTGCTGGCTTGAGACTCAACCTCATCCCATCCCGCCAGAAATGCAACATGTCCAGTTGTGCCCGCAGGAGGGCGGGAATGGGTTCCCAAGAGAGCCCTGGTAAGCAAGCATGGAGTGAGTTTACAAAACCATTGTGCTTGGCCTCTCAGCAGATTTTGGAGGAAGAGGAGAAGAAGGAACATGCTGATGGTGTGTAGAAAAGATACAACAGACAAGGAACTCGAACAGTATTATAGCGTGGGACAATGTTCTTTTTCCATGACGCACAAACCGCAATTATCACGAGTGTGAGCCGCTGAAACGGTCCCAAGTCTATTGATGGTTTATACGGGGCATTGGTTCCAAGACCTCGTGGCCTCAATATGGCCATCTACAGGTCAAGCCGTGAGGCATACTTCAAAGCAATATACATGGTGCGGCTTTGGGAGAAGAAGAATAACAGCGGTGGCTTTTCTTTTATCTTCACGCCTTGATGGATTACCCCTGAAGTCCCAAGTCTTGAACACAGAAACGGTAAAAGTACCCAATGTGTGTGTGCTGTTGAGTGTTTGAAGTCATGCAGCTTTGGGATACAATATCAGATTGGACGTTCTATTTCCATTTTCCTCCGGTATTGGAAATATTGGCCAATCTCCACGAACAGCGGAACTCTTTTACGAAAGCTTCCACTCCAATCCATGCAAAAGAAATTCCAGAAAAGACGCTCAGCTCAACTGGCAAACAATTCCACCATTCACAAGTTCGGTAACGAGCACAGTTCTTTCTGCTGGCTAGACAGATCTACCGTGCCCTTGCCAATGGCGCCAGATGTCTTGCTCTGTCCCCTCGGTAATATGTTCCAGATTGCACATGTCGAGGGAGGAAGGCGTATGCGGTCCCAAACCCCCGGCACCGCCCTCGTTTCCGCATGTCAAGAACGGGCGAGGACGGGGGGTAAGTGGGGTTTGCAGTTCATTTGACAAGGCGTGGAGAGAGAGGGCTTGTTCCGAGTTGGCGTTTCTTGCCTCAACCTCCAAACTCTGTCTGTCTGGTGCTGAGAATCTTTGCCGAGAGGAAACAATATAACAATTAGGGGAACCCGCATCGATAGGTCGACCTCCTGGTCGTAACGCATGCAGCTCGCAACGTCTCACTCTACCATACACTGTTGAGAGTTCTTGTGTAGCGTACAGTCAGCTATCGTCACCGATTCAACCTTGATACTACCTTGATCTCGGCTGAGGTTATCATCCAGGTATCTCACTGATCAACCAACAACTTTCTTAACAACTTCAAAACTCTCCTCTAGAACCGGGACTCCTCAATATCGCATCAACAAGATCTATCATTTTGTCCTTCTTCAATTCTGGCAGCCTTCAAGGCTGATGCGCTGCTGCCATGAATGGCTATCTTCCAGAGCCGGCCCTCTCGCGCAACGTTCCACGCACTGAAGGAGGAAACGGTGCTTTTCACAATTTTCACAATGATTATTCCCACATCAGTGATCCTAACCTTCGGCGAAGATTGGCGCTTGCTGAGATAGACAAGGTGAGAAGCGCACTAGTTACTAGTCTATCCTATGCTAACTCGTCTAGGTACCCTTTGGATGGTATCATGTACGAGCAGTAATGGTCGCAGGTATCGGCTTTTTCACCGATTCTTACAATATATTCGCTATCAATTTAGTCACGTCGCTGTTAGGGATCGTCTTCTGGCAAGGTGAACCGATACCTGGATCCAACGCAGGAGGAAACCATGGAGTGCTGCCACAGGCAGTTAGTACGGCACTGAAGGCTGCCACGTCTGGAGGAGCAGTAATTGGGCAATTGGGATTCGGCTGGCTGGCTGATGTAGTTGGCAGACGGAAAATGTACGGAGTGGAGTTGGGAATAATCATCATTGCAACATTCGCCCAGGCATTAGCTGCACCCAGTTATGCGGTTACTATGACAGGACTGATGATCTTCTGGAGAGTTCTTATGGGGATTGGGATTGGAGGAGATTATCCTCTATCTGCGGTCATCACATCAGAGTGAGTCTTATTTCATTTCACGGCTTTTGTCATTATTGGAAGTCTCAGATATCAGCCTCTACGTTAATTTGCCTGTCGCACCAAAGTTATGATGGTAGTATTTGTGCTAAAAGTGTCTAGGTTTGCACCCACACGATGGCGCGGTGCCATGATGGCAGCTGTCTTTTCCATGCAAGGAACCGGACAATTTGCCGCTGCTGTCGTAGCTCTGATTACAACTATCTCATTTAAAGGCGCCCTTGAGGACACCACAAGTTCATTCGATAGCTGCCATGACGCCTGCCAAAAAGCTGGAGATAGAGCATGGCGTATCATCATTGGATTCGGAGCGGTACCAGCTGTCTTTGCAATGTATTGGCGTCTCACCATTCCCGAGACACCAAGATACACTTTTGATGTTGCACACGATATTGAGAAAGCACATGCTGATATCAAGGCATACATGAACAACGAGGCTGAGGGGGTTGTTGATCCGATCCTCCAGGAAAAGACAAAATTGAGACAAGGCAGAAACCTCAGAGCTCCTAAAGCGTCGTGGAGGGATGCCTTTGACTATTTTTCACAGTGGAAAAATTTCAAGGTTTTGTTCGGGACTACGGCCTCGTGGTTTCTACTAGACCTTGCATTTTAGTACGTCCTCTTTTTCACTTATCCATATTTTAACCGCAATCTTTCAACGTCTTAGATTACACTGGCCAGAAACCAGCTGACAGCTTTCTAGCGGCCTAGGTCTCAACAACAGCATAATTCTCAACGCAATCGGCTACTCTCATGGTGACACAATTTATCAAACCCTTATAAACAACGCCCTGGGTAGTCTCATCCTCGTCTGCGCCGGTGCCATCCCCGGATACTGGCTCACAGTCTTCACAATCGACACCATCGGCCGCAAACCTATCCAAATAATCGGATTCGCTATCCTCACCATTCTTTTTTGCATCATCGGATTTGCATACAAATCCCTCTCCTCCGGCGCCCTCCTCGCCCTCTACATTCTCGCCCAACTATTCTTCAACTTCGGCCCCAACACTACCACCTTCATCATTCCAGGCGAATGCTTCCCAACCCGCTACCGCTCCACAGGCCACGGTCTCTCAGCCGCAATGGGCAAAATCGGTGCCGTAATCGCACAAGTCATAGCTCAACCGCTCATGTCCAAAGGCGCACCTCCACATTGTCGAGGCACGGAATGCCAGCCCTGGCTCAACCACCTCATGCAAATCTTCGCCTTCTTCATGTTCTGCGGCACGCTCGTCTCCTTCCTGCTCCCCGAGACCAAAGGCCGTACGCTCGAAGAATTAGCGGGAGAAGGCGAGGAAGACGAGGGACCGAAACCCAGCTGGCGGAGTCGAATTCGCATCTTTGGAGGTGGCAAACCAGCTGGGTTCGAGACTATGAAGTCGCCTAATTTATTACCGCGCAGTCCTGGGTTGAGGGGGAAGCAGATGAGAGTCGGGATCATGGGTAGTCCTGAACTCCTGCCGAAAGCGGGGATGAAGGGGAAGAAGAGGAAGGGGAATTCGTTTGAGAGTGTCAATGAGGGGTATACTGGGAGTGTGAGTAGTGCTGGGAGGACGGTGAGGGAGGAGGAGGAGTTTAGGAGTGGCGGGGTACTGCCGGGGTGGAGTGCTGGGTGGGGGTTCAGGGCGATGGGAGGGGTGGGAATGGGAATGGGAGGGTGGAGAGTATTATGTTGAATGATGTTGGGAGGTTGTTGAAGTAGAATTAGAAGGTGTTTAAGTGGGGTTTTAAAGATCGACATTTATTCAACGTGGTAAAGAAATGAAAAAAGAATTAAATTATACTGTTATCGGATGTGCACGGTCTTCCATCCCGCATCGATGTGTGAGCAGTATAACCCGAAACTGAGCAAGCGAACCCCCTATTCCTCGCTTAGCTAAAACCCCCTATCCAAACCACAACTTCACTTCACCACTCACTACACAGCTCAAACACGAGTCTTTGTTGCAAATCGCACGATTTTTCTCGTTTTACCTGAGAGTCTGCATTCATTTAGATCATTTGTGCAGGTTTGTCCCATGTCGCATTATTTCAGGTATATTGGACGGCGTCGTGTCTTAGAAGAACAGAAATAAATTGTTGTATACCATGGCTTATCCAGCCAAGAGTAGCAGATTCATTGATTGCATATCGCACTCCCTATGTCGATGAGATTAGGATACTGTCGAGACGAAGATTCTAGAAATCGCTTACTAGTTGTTTTCGCTCACTTGCGTTTCGTGATTTGCTTGTGTATAGTCGTGGGTTTTTTACAATATAGCGCGACACACTCTCCCCCCTATCATTGTCAATCATTGCTATTTTACTTCAGTCGGCTCTGTTGACGGGGTGTTATTATTTCGAGAGGTATGTCGAGGATGTACGGCGCGTGGGTAGTATAACCACGCTAATACGGGGAGAAGGGGGCGTTGCTGCATGTCGTAGTCAGACGTTTATCATGACGGAGGTGCTGTTGATGGAGGAGAGTGGAGATGGGACGATAGTAATGACGGGGATTTTTTTCGTTGTACTGGTATTCACTAAAAGGATAACGCGTTATCTCGACGGAGACTTTGTTGTATATCACAGTCATTACGTCAGGTTGACTGAGATGATGTTGAAGGAATTGACTGGGGTGAGGTGACTAGGGTTGATTGCGATACTTGCGATTTTATAATTCATACTCTCTCACGATTCTACTAGCATTCACTTAAAATTGGTTCTATAGCCGTGTTTTGTTGCATATCGCATTATTTCTGAAGCCAATTGAGGGCTTGAATGGACTTTAGGGCCTATATGGGATGAGAGCAAGACTTTCGATACTGCTTGCCTCCGTCACGTCATTGGGGATTTCTTTTTATTGTACTAGTACTCACTTGAGAGTCATCTCTCGGGCCGGTAAGTCGGAAATGTAGCATAGCGTCAGTATCGGAAACAGAAGAGTTTTGTTGCATACAGTCGGCTTCGAATGCGGTGTCCTCCTTTCATACTCTCTACATGTTTATACAAGCCACACCTCGCTTAAGCACCAGGCCTAATATGGTTAGCCTCTCCATGCCAGTATTATGGCCCGCAAGTCCACGTTGTCATCCTCGAAGGTTTGCTTGCTGACCTTTAGCAAACGTTACCACCTTTCCCTAACAGTGGTCAGCACGTAGACATGGCGCCACGTCTTGTAAAGTCGCAGGTTACTCTAGTCACTGACATGCTCTTAAGTGGATTATTTACAAATTCTGAGATTGCGACAGCAGCTAATTGTAGTCCTCGCGGTGTGCGAAGGATACGTTCAAACGTTCGATACTATGGCTCCCCCCAAGCCCCTTAAAACATCGGAGGACGAAAGCGAAGTATCTCACCGATCATGCTAGATGCTCTCTGTAATCACTTGCTAGAAAAGCCTGGGCTATATCAGTACACCGTGGATAGAGTGATCTTTAGTCAGATATTCTAAGGTACCACCGATGGCGAAGTTTTTAAGAGGTTTATTGAGCAGCTCTTACCTCTCTGCGGTAGGTGGCCAGAGCCAAAATCAGTGCTTGTCATGGACAATGCATCTTTTCACTATACCGACCGTATTCGTCAGATGTGTGCCGATACTAGAGTTAAACTCGTGTACTTACCTCCCTATTCTCCAGATCTTAACCCGATTAAGGAGTTTTTTGCGGAACTGAAAGCATTTATTAAACGGAATTGGCAAGTCTACGAAGCCAGTCCAGCCTAAGGTTTTGATCATTTCTTACAATGGTGTATCGATGTAGTAGGAGAACGGGAACGGAGTGCCCAGGGTCACTTTAGGCATGCAGGCTTGAGGATAGAGGACTTGGAGACTTGACTAGATTACTTAGATAATACATTAGCCGACTCACTTTTCTATAGTGATCGTCTGACAATTACTCAATCCTGACTCTTTTGTACTACTGAAACCATTCTTCGATATTATAGACGACATGTAAGGCAACCCCCCTTTTAACGCCAGCCTTGATTAAGAAGTCCGGATTTGGATCTCGAAGAATTAGCTGTAAGGTCATAGCGTTTTCCTTTATTACTTTGTGGCCCTTTCTATAATCTATTTCTGCGCTAGATCCTCGAACTTAGATTCGTGCCAAGTCAAATATTCATCCACGGCTTTGTCACGGAAGCTAGGGATACTAAGAGAAGTTGGAGGCGTTGGTTCCGGAACAATTGAAGGCCTTTGATGGCAATTTTGACAGGACGATGTGGGCATCGTGTTTGTGATATGGATAGGGGGAAAGTTTGCAATAGATGTGCTAGCTTTCTTGCGTTTAGCATTAAGGGATTACTGTTCTTCTGCAAATAATTGCTGCTAGATCTCTTCTGGTACGTCACGGTGTGTCTCTAAAATGCCGCCTTGTTCTACAAAGCTGATAAGGCTCTTAAGATGGCGTGGCCTTAACGGATAATGCTTCTTGCCAACAGGATTACACCAACAATGAGGTCCTTTTTCGCACGGAGAACCGGGGCACTGCATAGTTTCATATACCTTCTTCCAAATAGCTGGTTCTCTAGTCAATTCCTCATCCCTTTCAAGTTGCGTGTCCAGCTCGGCGAGCCTTCGCTGAGTGGTTGAACGTCTTTGATCGGTGTTCCTTGATATAGTTAATGGCTGACTTGTCTTGACATAATTATAGTTAAATAAAATAGCGACTCTAAGTTTCTTGCCTACAAGAAACAGGTGTCCCCATAAAATAAGCTGCGTCTCCACCACTGACTAGTCAATGTTAGTCTCATTAAAACTTTTGGTGATAGGGGATTCCGAGCGTTGTTGTGTGACTGTTATCACAATTTTTGTATCCTTAGCCTGTAAGTCTCGCTTCTTCGACCTGATTTTACGGAGCACGACCTCCTCAAGCTTAGACTTTAAGAACAGTCGCCAGTACGACGCTGGTGCCAGAACGAGGTCTTGTTCTGTCTCCTTCGACACTTCTCTGTTATTTATCCTGAGCTTCTACTCTATTGAATAGTGTACACAGGTTAGAGGCTGTTCATTATATGTCTTCTCCTCGTCCTAGTCAGATAGTTGACAGAATCCAAGCTGGTCCACCTGTTGCGTTTCTTGCTGGCTAGGCATGTCATCCTCCAAAGGGTCCTATTGCTCATAGTCGAGCGATTCGGCACTAGAAAGGGGACAGGCCATTGTTGGGGGGCAGACTAGACGGAGTCGTTAGGAGTGGAATTGCACCTGGACTCGTTTTCTGTGTATATTAAAAAAGATACCGCGACAAGTACAATGCTTTCGCAGACTAGCAGATATTGACACTCGCTGGCGAACGTTTACTAGGGCTCTTCGCGAAGAAGGACACGGCCGGTTTAGCCATCCACGATTGGTCCGTGCACGCTGTTTTGCATTTTGTTTACACGGTTGCTACAGTATGTACTCTAAGCATCGTTGACAGCATAGGCAGAAATCAAGCAGGAATTAACTAATCGGGCAAAATAGACCTCAATAGAAATGTGTGGAAATGTTAATGGAAAGGCCTAGTTTTTTAACGCTCTAAGTTAGTGATTTATAAATTCTGGGCGATTGTCTGAAGGTTCAGACAATGCTTAGTAATCATAGTTGTGATCACGTGATCCACCAGATCTACCGTGATCTATCGAGCCGTACCAGAGATGATGGAGTTCTGGCCACATTTCCTTGGATAACCTACAACTATCTTGAATCCACGCAGGTCCTAGGCCACCTTGGAGAATGACAAGTGAAGTCACCGACCAGCTAGCACTGAATGTGCGCGTCATGCTGCGTATCCTGCGCATACCTGAAGTTGCGGAAGAAGATCTACCTGAGTTAATTTCTCGTCTTGGTCGAGTTAGTAAGTCAGAGCTGCTACAACTTTTTAATGGTCTGCTAAACCTGCATTGTCCAACAACATTGTGTCGAGAAGAACGGAGAAGTAGGTCTCGTATTATGCCCTATCGATTTTGCCCCTTAAACTCTCCCCCTAAGCCCCTTATCCTTAAGGGAAGATGTACCCACAGACCGCCGCTCCTCTGAACGTCTAGCATCTTGCCTCGTTAAAAGAGCCTACATTAAGCAGACAGGAAGCTATGCAAAACGTAGATCCAAGAGACCAAAGGCTGTGGTTTCCGACAATAAAGGCAGGGGCACTATTATAAATGAGTTGAGGCTTGGTGGGCTCGATATTGAAGATAGCAATGGGACTGGATGCGCCATGGATTATTTGATGGACACCGACGCTGCAATCTCCACTTCTGGAGAACTTGCTACTTTAGAGACTCTCGCGGGCGAGGCACATCGCCAGCTTCCTGAAGAAACATTGTCACGAACCAGCCAACGAGTCGTCGACATAGAGAAGGAGAAGCATACACACGCCTTTGACTATAATGATAGGATATATATATTAGAGGAATACTTCTCTTAACCGGATCCTCAGTTGCTAAGTGCGGAGGAGGTGACTACCCGTCTAAGCTGTTGTGCGAATTAAGCCACTCCCGCCGTGTCCTTACTTGTACACCAGCCTCTACCAGCTCCTGGGCCTTGTGCAACACAGCTCATAGAAGCCTCGCCAACGAAGCCTGTCTCTAATACATTTTATGTAGACGCAAAACTGCCGAGCGCGACTATACAATCCCCTTCGACCAAGCGTGCAATCCTCGATGAGCCAGGCTATTAACTAGACGATGTAATGAATGCCCTCAGCAGCGCTAATGATACTGGTCGTATACCCGATTCCTGTATTCCAGGTTTACTAGACCACTCACATAGCGGGAGCTCCTCCACGGAATACCCGAAAATTCTGTCCAGTATCTCATTAAATTGTGTTGAGTACAACCGTCAAACGGCAAGGCCAGTACTCGACATTGAGCAGGAAAGACTACGAAACTTTAAGAGAGATAAATTAAGGCGTGTTGCCGAAGATCGGCAACAGTTATACGTAACGCTTCCCGCACGAATTGTATCAGAGAACAACTTGCACCAGTATACTAAGCGTCTAAAGAAGACCACAGAAAACTCTATCGCCCGTCTAGACATACGAGACCTTACGGAAAAGGCGATATTAGATACTATATCTGAACCAATTAAGCTGACCGGTGAATTTAAAGACGAGAGCGATTATACAAGTGTTATTAACTATATTAAGAAAGAAATAGCTTATAACACGGGAAAATACCAGCGGAGTCTATAGAAAGAAACTTATTTCTAGCCTATGATTCAGCAACGCGCGAAAATGATTGGACATCTTCCTATTCCGCTAGGCCGCAAAACAGTAATCACTCCGCAGGAGAAGACTACAGCCAAACAGCTTGTACATACTATGGGATACGGCACATGTAGAGATAGTGTTTTTAAGTGGACGTTGTACTGGAGACTCCTCTCAGACCTTCGCCTTAAGGGAGCGATATCTTTGCTTCTCTACCGTTCTAGTGAGTTCAAGATGTATTTCTTTCGCTATACTAAAGGACTAGACACGCTACTTTTATGGAATTATATCTTTAACTTCCCGCTTGAACAACTTCGATCCCGGGTCATAGCTAAAGAAGAAGGTGACTTTTCTGGCAAGTGTGAAATCGAGGACAGACGAGTATTTAAAAGACTTCGTACTACACGATCGGGCGCTTGGGCAGACGACCTCAGCGGGTGGAATAACGACGAAACAGAATATAAGAACTTTCTCGCTAATCACAGTGTGACGGCCACATCCGGGAAATCAAACAAGCATGTTCTTCGCCACGGTATTAAAGGTAAGCTTACTACAAACAAATCTGTTTTCGTGGCTATAGTCCCTTACGAGGGCGAGTCCGAGAAACGGGTGATTGGCAACAAGCCTGCTTCGACAAAATTATATTCTATATCTCCACTAGTCTCTGTGACTCTAGGTGACTTCCTCGGGATATTTTCTAGAAGGCTTCGATATGTAGATCAGAAGCCGTTAAAAGCTATCACGGGACCCGTTCCGGGCCTTTGGCTAGACCATTTAGAAATACCAGGAAAGCTTAATCAGATGAAGGTTGCAAAGCGCGGAGAGAAGTCGAATGTTTGTCTCGCGTGGGAGGGAGTGAACGAGGCAAAAGAAGAGAAGTCTTTCTGCCAGTATTGGAGAGTTTTGGTTGTGGCCACGAGAGAAATTATGCCATTCGACCAACTCATTCGCCCTTCTTGAGTAGATATTCCAAACAACTTACTAATATCGCAATGAAGGGAGGGGAGGGGAATTGCTATAATAGAGAGAGGTGCACGCGATTCTAGATGTTTTTCATAAGAGCAATAATATAACGACATATAACTTGTCTAATCAGTGAATCATCCTTCAGGAGCACCGCAAACCACATCCACTACAGTCGCCCGTATAGTCGCTTGCATAACCGGCTTCCCCTTTATTGCAGCCGACAACACGTAAATGTCAAGGCTCTTTTAGACTATTCCCTTCGCCTTCACATTAGACTTGATTCGATGCTTGTAGCCCCACGACAATTGCCATCCCAGAACAAGGACGGGGATGCCCAAGAGGAGGAGACAAACGAGTGCCCACAATAGCACGACCGCGATGGAGAATACCCAGAATGTACGGCCTATTCCTTGTAGATCATTGCTACGTTCTTCGAACCATAACAACTCTGTAGGTACCGAAAGAACTACCTGCATGGACGAAAGGACGAGCGAGAGAGTAGCAAAGATAAAGACAATAGGAAAGGTATAGTCCGCCACGAAATCGCTAATGGACGAGTGTGGGAGCTCGTAGAACCACATATTATGGGCGTGCTGGGGACGGAAGACTCGGACGAGCCAATTGAGTCGCGAAAGGCGCAGCTGTCCATAGTGGTAACGTCTAGCGACATCCTCGTCTCTAATTTGCCGGAAGTGGCAAATGAATTTGGACCACTGCACCCAGTCTATGTCTTTTGGCACCAGATATGTCTCCTTGGCGATGTCGAGATCGAGAGGATGCAAGATGAGCAAGGAATACGAGCGCAGGAATCCCACTGCCATTAAACAGTCGAAAGTTACCGCTGCAGATTCGGACGAGGCCGCCATAGTGGGACTATCTGCGCAACGCTTTGGCCCGACGGACGATATATATGCTACCCAGACATCGTAGTTGGTCAGGAAGACAGGCATAGGTTTGAGGTACACTTTATCGTGGTCCCAGATGAGATGCAGCCTCGGATCATCCGTAGGGACAATCGTGCGCCCCTTCACTCTATGGGTCTGTAGCGCGTCGATATGACGGCCCGACGGTGTGCCAACTAGCCATAGCTTGTCATACAGTTCATCTAGAAGCGGAGTGTCTAGCTCGTGGGAAAGGTGCGCACAGATCTCGTTGGGGATGAGAGGGATGGCCGGGTAGCCTGGTAGATAGTCGACCACTGTGTGATCAGCCTTTTGGTCGGAGTGCAACGAGATGGGTGGAGAGGGAGAGGGGAGAGGGAGAGGGAGAGGGAGCAGGAGTGTCGGAAGAAAGGCGGAAACGGTCTCTGTTCAGAGCACACGCTTGCGGGAAGGGCACTGGAAGATCTGTATACGACATTGTGTGTTGGAAGACAGAGTCCGAGAAGCGCTGCTCGCAAGTTGGGGAGAGCCTTTGTGCGGTATCATGTGATACGTGTGTAATAGCAGTATCTCAGCCCTCAGCCTCCATCTACAAGGCAATGCACACAGCCTCGTTCTGTAGAGACTTTACCATCATCGTGAACGACAGCTAGTTGCTCCATCTGCTTTCTTGCTTGTCTTTGTTTTCCATAGTTCAAACATTCTCTTCCGAATCGAAAACCCTGCTTACAATACTCTCTCTGCCAGAACTTCACTGGACCGAGCCACGAGCCACAAGCCTTGCCTAGTATGGCTCCAGCTTTCATCATATCCACCGCCCTCCTCTCTCTTCTCGGCACTACAACTTCAGTCATATTCACCACCGTAGCCCTTCTCCTCGGCATTGTTTTCCTCTACGACAAGGTAACAAAGAATATTATAACTCGCCGTGGAGCCGGAAATGGGCCGAATGCTTCATTCGGGCTTGAATCAGCACACACCTACAAGTTGCCTGCGCCGGCAGGCGGGATTGAGTAAGGCAAAGCATTCATCTTAGATCTTGGAGAGGGTTCTGACACAAGTACATACTAACTGTACGTAGTATCATTTTTATCCACGGGCTCGGATCGAATCCCGACACGACATGGCAGGCAACCGCCTCCCCTGAGAGCAAGGAACACGTGACATGGGTCCGCGACTTCCTTCCTATTGATTTAGTCTCCGATGGCGGTCACCAAGACATTCGACTCTTTTTCTACAACTATGATTCTTACTGGAAGAGAGATGCTCTGCCTGAGCGACTCACGACTCTTGGAAGTGCTCTTGTTGGTTGGATAACGAGTCAAATCCGTACTACGGATGCGGTGCGTATATAAGTACTCCTAATAACCATTGAGTTGGCTATGCGGCAATACTAACGATGAGTTCATGCCAGGAGCGAAGCCGGCACCTAGTATTTGTGGCCCATAGTTACGGGGGCCTGGTTGTTAAGAAGGTATGTGCGTGGAAAAACGGCGCTAAGGAACTAGCCTTTAATAAGTACAGGCGCTCCTTCACGCCCAAGGCGACCCCAGCCTCAGCTACGTTGCCGAAAATACCAAGGCTATCTTCTTCTTGGGTACACCGCATAGTGGATCGAGCTTTAGTGTATGGGGCCGGTGGCAAGCGCGAGCACTCTCGCTTCTTAGATCTAACTCATCCATTCTAGCCGATTTAGACTGCGACTCGATTCTATTGCGAGATCTTCACCATGAATTTGCAAGAATTGACCGAGCGACTATCTTTAACTTCTATGAGCAGCGGCCGATACAATTGGCTCGGCTATGGTTCTTTACGTGGGAGGAATATGTAAATAGTAAGCTTCTATGCCTAAGGGGAAAGTACTAACGGCAAGCACAGTGTGTCAGCGAATCCTCTGCTACGTACGCAGGGCCCAGAGTTAAGAATTTTGGCCTGTCCGTTGACCACTATGGTCTGAATAAGTTCGGTTCGCGCGACGTTAACTATCGAAATGTGCTAGGGAAGCTTAACGAAGTCACACTCTCCTTAGCTGCTGAAGCTAAATGCTCCTACGTCGTCCCGCTAGAGACAGTAGAAAGCTACACGCAGCGAAAGGATTTATGGAGCGAGTTGGAAGACAAGATGCGTATACGGCACGATAATGCAAGCGTTCCATATGCAGTCGCTATCTCCGGGCTGGGAGGTGTAGGCAAATCACAGCTTGCACTCAAGTTTGCAGAAACCCACAAAGATCATTACAACCCAATACTGTGGGTTGATGCAACTGATAAAGAGCTAGTGCTGTCGAGCTTCCAGCGACTTGCTACGGAACTTCAGCTTCAGATCAATGCGAACACGAAGCACGGGTCAGTTCTTATAGACGACGGTAACGTCCAAGCAGTACTTCGGTGGCTTAGTAAGGCAGATGGCAAATGGCTGGTTATTATTGATAATGCAGATGATTTCACCTTTGGAATCAAAAACGTCATACCCAAAGGGCCTCGCGGGAGCGTGTTAATTACTAGCCAGAATGAGCTGAGTATAAAACTTATTCCACGGGGCTGTGAACAAATCCAAGTCGGAGACATGTCCCCACAAGAGTCAACAACGCTACTTCTTCACCACCTTCGCCTAAGTATTGACAGTCCAGTCACTGAAATCGTCACTACGGGTTGTAAACAAGTGGCAGAAAAACTCGGATATCTAGCGCTTGCTATTGACCTTGCAGGCGCATATATTGGGAACGAGGCAGATCCAGAAGATGCATTGACTCAGTATCTCGACGACTTTACTAGGCATGGCGATGCGCTTTTACAGATAGATCGATTTCAGGAACTCCGGCCGACTCAGAAGACAGTCTGGACAGTATGGGATACTACGCTCCAACAAAATCAATAGGGATCACCCCCAGTTGAATCCTAGTCTTCTATTAACATTTCTTGCACAATTCCAGGGCACGATTGTCGAGGATGAGATTCTAAGACTAGCAGCGCTTGGCATTCCAGAAGTCCAGTTTAAGATAGAGGAAGAATTGCCGGTCCTATTACAAGAATTTATATCTTTCAGTGAAGGGAAGTGGGACAGTTTCCAATACCGACAAAGCTGCAAGGTATTGCTCCGCTATAGCCTCTTAAAGTTGCTGGCAGGTGGCCAGGCGTAACAATGCACGGGCTCGTTCGGTGGCGGGCGCTCAAGAGTAGGGACAAAGAAGGCATTCCGCAATGGAAAGATTGGTATATAGTGGTCATTATAGCTGCGTGCTATCAGATGACAAAATCGTCAGACCAACCTGAGTTTCGCCGACATTTGATGGCTCATCTGCCGCAGACATACGAGTTAGCGCGACACAATTCATTTATACAGACCACATTAGCTAGAGTCTACTGCGATGAGGGCCGTTGGAAGGAGGCGGAGGACTTAGAAGTGCTAGTGATGGAGACGAGGAAGAGGGTGTTGGGCCAGGAGCATCCTTCTACGCTAAGTAGTATAGCGAACCTGGCCTCGACTATTTTGGAACCAGGGCCGCTGGAAGGAGGCGGA